CAACAGCATGGGATTCAATCGACAATGAACGACACAGCAGGTTGAAGCACAAAGCATATAGGACTCATGAACACCAGTGAATGCACCCACATGAAGACGTGCATCAAGTCAGCCACAACTTTTGCGGACAACATCTTTCATGACTAGGGACCGATTTTCCAAAAACTCAGGACAGATATGGTAGACAGCAAAGCGATCTGACCTGTGGCTTCCTCCCACCACCACCTGCCCTCACGCTCATGCTGATTTGGCAACACCGGCCGGGTGCATGGCTCACAGCCTATGGAGATGAATCCCTGGGCATGCAGCGAGTTTGTGGGGACACCCTGCAGTACAAAAGCAAATGGAAGACGTGAAAGTCCACTCAAAAAAACAGCTCAAAATTGCCAGACTCAACTGTCAAACAAGTGATACATATGTTGCGGAGAGAATTCGGCACCCTGTGCAAAATCTTGTTCATGGTATGTTCCATGTACTTTGCTGACCAGATAATCACGGGAACAGAGAACAAAATTTGCAACAAAACAGACAGTTCGCTCATTAACCACTGATGAGCGATGCTTGCAATTCGCTGTTGCGACAGAACACACAAATTTTGAAATGGAATAATGAATACTAACGATACTTTAGTGTTAAGCTTGTCAGCCAGCTGTATCAACCAGATGTCGAACAGGAAGGGGATGGCAAAGCTTCTCGCCCCACTGCCCTGACACATGGCCAGCACGCAGCAGCTCATCCACAGAATACAGCAAGGCAGGAAAATTGAGAAGGATATCAGAAATCTAAGCATCAATCCTTGTTTGGGCTGTTCTGTCTCTAAAGGCTACTGGTACAACACAGTCGTCTTCCCGCAGGTAGCCTAATAATAAACAAAAACAGCAAGTATAACAACTGATATTCCTTAAAATTATGGCTGAAATGACTCACGCACGAATACCGGAACGACATAACCTCAATGAAAGCAGTTTCGTTCGATAGAGTTTAGCGCATAGTCTGTTGACTCCAAGACCAATGCTTTGCCACGTCATTGACAGTTATACCATTCAAGATTTACAATTCAATTACAGCATGACTCACCATCACCCTCAAGAAGTTCCACACTTCCGCAGAAGTCATGTTGGAGAGCGGGTTATATTTCACAAGGCTCCCAGGGCCACCTTCAAGGCCTTCAAACACAGGGTCGACCTGAACCACGGGGACGGCTGACCTGGTGCCAGGGCTCTGGTCCTTTCGCTGTCCAGTGATCCAGGCCTTCAGACCCTTGAGCTGCTTTCTAAGTGGACGCACCTGCAGGCAGGAAGCGAAATTAAACGGGCACGTAGCAGATTCGATCCCGGACTGTGGTTTTAGCATAGAGTTCCTGGAGATATGGAGACTGCATTCTCAGCACACTGTGGATGGGCTCCTGGTCAAATCGCCTTGCAGATGCAACAGGAGTGCATCACCAAATTTTTGGCACGTGCCATCAAAACATTCAAAAAAGTGGGTGGGCACTGCCTGCATCATACTGGCCCTGTCTACACTGGTTCTCACTGGTGCATAGCCTGTAAACCATCAAATGAATGGTGCAGGCATAACAAAGCAACAACCCCAGTCCTTAACATCAAATCTTGCTTCCAAAATAATTGATGAACTGGGTGGCTTCAGTGATATGAAGCACATTGCTCAGCCCAAGCATCGGCATATCTGGGAAAATATATTCCAAAATAATATTCCATATTGACTTCATGTTGAAAAAAGTTATGCAATGCTGCCCTTGCTTTAGTTGGGAATGACAGTAGGCACTGTCACAACAATACACACTTGCATATGCACAATGCAAAAGACAGTAGGCATTATCTCCACAGAACATACGCACATATCCATACACATCTGCCCATGTCAACAAATATCCAAGAATATGTGCAACTCTTTCATCCCTGGGTGCTTTTTTTCCAGCTAGATGTGCTAGTGTTGCATTCCAGGTTCTCCCACTGCCACATTCGCATGGGCGATGACCCTTCATCGATTGAGCAAAATTCCTTTGGTCGGATCAATTCAAACATTTCCCAGCAGCTGTGGTGCTGAACCATGCAATTGCATTGTAAAGGGCAGTGGTGGATTCCAGATACAAGTAAACAACAACCCTGCCGGTGTGTGTCCACATCAATTGGCAGGCACACAATTCCGTCCATCAGTGCCATATACATGGTGTTTGCATGCCAACACATAAATGCCTGCTGCAGCATTGCAAGGAAAAAGCAATCCCGCACCTTTCTGACCCTGCAGCATTCCTGATGGCCATCTTCATAGAAAGAGAACATTCCCTTCTCACGTACCAAGTCGACGACCTCCTGTGTGTCTGGAAATGTATATTCGATCTTGATCCCATAGTGCTTTTCCACTTGATCAAAAAGCTGGTAAGTCTCGGGGTTGAGACGCCCTGTGTCCAAACTGCAGTGCAATGGGCACATCGCTGACTGAATGGCTGAAATCCGATTCGCTCAAGTTCAGGAGTTCCCCAGACACCTTACCAAAGGCGGTGCAGAGCCAGCAAAGCCAAACTGGTGCATTGACTTCTTGCCCATAGTAGTTGTGCACAATATAGAAGCACAACCATGTGCTCAGAATGGATGACACAAATGTGTCATCCATGCATATTTATATAGAACATTCACATATGGAGTGCTGTAGGCGCACGAAATGACCATATTCAACAAAGGGCTGTTGCTTTGAATCCAGCTTTGTCTTTGGCCATGTTTCATGGCCAGGCCAAGCAACCCCTGCTGTTCGCCGACCATAGATATTGCACAGGGGATTCTTCGACAACTGCGTTGACGATGCATCAAATGATACCATAACACCATCAACATTCAAATGCAGAAACGGCAGGTCTTGTAGCCAGACTGCAACTTACGAGAACACTCTGTATGGGCGTCCTGTGAGATGTGCATACTCCACGAGCGCCACATCTTCAGCACCACTGAATGCAATGGCCACATCACTGCCAAATGTCTTCAGCGCCTATTCAGAGGAGCGCAAAGGCATGAGACAAGCACGCAAGACTAGCTTGCTGCCATAGCCACAAAGCCAGCGTGCTGTCCAACATTTCTGTTCTGATACTACATTATGCAGGTGGCCTTCGAGTTCAAGCGGCTGAGTGGAAACTGCCCCGTCACGCAGATGGCAGAACTGCTCTGCACTGATCCTAGTAGTCCAGAAGCAAATCGCCTCTCAAACTGGCTTGACTATGTTGAAGTCCATGGTTTGTAATAACTCGACCTCCACAGCCCCCACCAAAGGGCATGCAAGCAATGACAAATGTCAAACAACACAGGCCAGGGTGTCCGTCCCAAATCCATGTTTACGCGCAAGCCTAAATTAGCCAGGAATCGGTTTCAAGACCATGCGCGAATACCCCTAATTCCGCACGGATGGCTCGTCCCACGGCGCCGTGTCCGCCTTTGACTTCATCCGTGCGCAGTCAACCGGTCGACAGTTCCGGCCGTCGCGTGCGCAGGTACCCATGTTCGCTGCGCCGCGGAGGGCACACACGTCGCTCGGGCTTGGGCTCACGAAGCCCGCCGCAATGAAAGCTCACGAGGCCCGCAATGCGCGAACGTGGAACTTGGGCACAGAAGTCTGAGGGTTGACCCAGCAGAGCTCGCCACGGGCCCGTCGAACGCGTCGGGCAAGGGACCCCAATGCACCCACGTGGTCCATGATCAGCAGGGGCGACGCCTGATCCATCTCCGCCGCCGCGGCGTCGAAATCGACCTTCTCCGCCACAGCGGCGGCGCCAATTGCCTGCGCATACACGACACATCGCATCCGAGTTTGACAAACACACCAGAAAAGTGGCAGACAACAGACCGAGCACGCTCCGGTCACGCTACAAGCCCTCGGGAGCGCCAATCCCTTTGGCGCGTGCCCCCAAGCAGGCAAACGGAGGCCATCGCGCGGATCATGCCCTGCCCTGTGATGCCCACTGGCAAGCGCCGCACCTGCCTCTCGCCAGCGCACACGGCCACGCCGTTGTTGCTCCTCGGCAGGCGGCCGCGGTGCTGGGGCAAGCGCGGGGCAGCGACGGCGCCCGCGACAGGGATCCGCGCATGCTTGCCGGCCAACACCGCCGGCAGCCGCTCGGCGACCTTGCAGATTGGCAGGGGGAAGGATGGTCAGCGACGGTCGGCAGGGCCGCCGGGAGTGCGGCGCCAGAGCGGAGGAGGGAGGCGCACCCTGGAAGAGTCCAAAGCCTGCATCTTGTGTCCGGCGAGCACGGTGGGGTCTTGGGGAGGACAAACGGGGGGGGGCGTGCTGGCCTCGTGCCTGGCGCACGCGCTGAAATACGGGGGGGATGTGGGCAATTGCTGTACTTCGCTGGACGTTTTGAAGCCTGAAGCGTGGCGTTGATCGCGCGTTTTCAAGTCGCAACATGGCGTTAGGTCCAGTTTAGTCATGGCCGGGGGCGACGCCGCTCGTCTTTGTTGTGGGCTGGTGGTGCGTTTTGCAACCGGGCCCAAGCATTACCTTAGCGCATGCTGCGGTGCAGCAGCAACGAAGAGAGCAAGGACACCCTGGCTGACGGCCAGGGAGGGAGGTTTCAGTTCAGTGTGGCAAGTTCAATGGGCTCTACTGGGGCTGCAATGCTAAGCTCCATAGAATTGGTGGCCTGTGAGGATATTGCGCAGAGGCCCTGTGACTGTCTGGGTCGCGACTATCCAATGTGCAGGTTTCACAGAGTTTCTTGTGCTGAGTCTTGTGCTGGCCGCCATCTTGCTTGCAGCTGGCAAGTGGACAGGACATGGTTGAGGACAACGTGTCACCCCTGCCATGGATTTCGTTGTCAAGGTGGTCGTCTGGGCAGCCTGCAAGGTCTGGACAGTGTTTCTGAACCGGCAATCTGAGCCAGCCACTTAGGGTGGTGGAGAATCTGCAAGGCAACAATTCAATCGGACAAGGCACATGGGGCAGAGACAAGAGCCTTGTACTGTGAGGAACAACAGCAACTGCGCTCTGGCAGCATAATCAGGGATGGAAGGCGATGATCACAAAGAGCAGCTGGCTTACAGTTCAAAAGGAAACATGACAGAAAACCCTGCCATGGACAACTGCCGGGTTGCCAGTTGCCGGTTGCCGGTTGCCAGCTCTGGAAACCTAAAGTGGCCCCAAATTTCCCCCAGAAGGCATATGAGATGTTGATCATGCACCGCTGAAAACAAGTACAGTGTGGGCATGCGGAACAGAGACAGCCGCTAGTCTTCATTGCATTGGCATTTTCTGGCATCAGCTCAGGGTGAAAAGCACAGGCAACAAGAATGGCGAAGGTCTGCAATACACTGTTGCGATGAACAGAGCACCACACACAATCTACAAGAACAGCACACAAGCACAAGTGCACATGGTTGTTCTGCCTTTCTTTTGTGCTCCACTGTGCACATAAAGAAGCTGGGCTGGCCACAGTCAGACAAATGTCTGCAATCCCTTCTTGCAGCTTCAACAGGTAGTAAATTGCACAAACAACAGTTGTGCAATGGTGTATCCAAGGTGTGAATGGGACGAGGTTGCTGGAAACAGCAGATTATGACATGAACCAGGCAGCGTCAGGAATGATAAGGGGCACTGGCGATGCAACCATCATTTTTGCCCAAGCCGCGCTTCATCACCACAGGGGCAGACTTTGTTTGCTTGATGCCACATTTAACAACAACAAATGAGGCCCACACTGACAAAGTAGTGCAAGCGCATTGGCGGGTCAGGAACAAGACCCGCAGAGGAAACAGGAACAGAGAACTGCGGAAACATCTCCTCCGTTGCCAATAACGCTTCTCTCTTAAAGAAATACAGTTACATGTGCTGTACAAGTCTCCCACCCAACTGCGTGCTGCGGCAACATGCCGCCCATTCCCCCTCAGGACCCCTTCTCTGGAAATTTCATCAGGCTACCGAACAGGAAGTGCTGCATTATGGGGAACTTGCCCAACACCTCCGCCTTGTACATCTTCACCAGCCCCGAGTTGACCTTGGCCCAGTGCGGCACCGCCGCGATGTCGCACAGCATGGGGGACGTCTCTGACAGCGGCCCCTTCTTCACCTCCCTCACGAACCCCACGCACCGCATGTACAAGTACTCATCCCCCATCTCCCGCACCAGATCCGCGTCGTGTATGGACTTGGGCTTCACAACGGGGTGGTCCACCAGCTGCCCCGATCCCCACACGAACGGCAGGAACTGGTAGTCATCCAGCCCCCAGACACCGTGCGACCCCGCCGGCTCCAGCCAGTACGTCGTCTGCACCTTGCGCATCAGGTCCAGGTAGGACTTGAACACGCGCAGCACCAGCCCCTGGCAGTCCCCCGGCCCCACCAGCCCCAACTTGGCCAGGCAGAACAGGAACGCGCAGAACGTGGTCTCGTGGCCCGTCCCGTAGTCGATCCGCGTCGAATCGCCGAAGCTCGCGGCCAAATAGGGTCCCAGCTCCTCCGCGGCGCCGGCGAGCTCCGCGGGCAGCACGCTGGCCACCAGGCCCCTGGCGTTGGCCTCCACCTTGCCCAGCCACGTTCGGAATGCCGGGTTGCCGTATCTCAACTTGTGCACCACCGGCGGGATCTCATCGACCCATTGCCGCAGCGTGTCCAGGACGGCCAGCAGGCGATCCAGCAGCGGGGAGACCTCGCACGGGTCGGACGCCCGCTTGCCTTTCACCGCCTCGTTCAGGAACAGGATGAATCCCAGGAAGTCCCCCACGGCCTCGGATTGCAGGAACCGCGCCAGGTCCGCAGAGGTCTGGATGCGCTTCCTGGGCGCGGAGAAACTCGGCGGGGCGTCCGGGCAGGCGGGGCAGGCGGCCGGCATGTGGGGGTCGGCCTTGATCGCGGACGCGTCGTCCTGCCGGCTCTGCTGGCGGGATCGGCCGGGGGGCGGCATCGGCGTGCGGACTAAGGGGGGGCCCGGCGGGGGAGGCGCGTCCGCGGAGGCCCACGGCGCTTTGGCGGGCTCCATGGCCGTGCCGAGGCTTGCGCGCAACGGGTCGCGCGACGGCGGCCCTGCGGCGACAGAGGCGTGGGCGAGGAGTTGCTGGCAACGATAATTGGGCGGGCTGGGTTGGGGGGTGCAGTGCGGACGAGCTTTTTTTATTAACGGCAAAACCTGGGGACACGGTGCCTTGGACTGCCTTGGACGCCTTGGACTCATCGCTGAGGTTCCAGGATCGCAGCTGCGGGCCCCAAGGGACGCTTGCCGCCTCCCCCAAAAGTGCTGTACTTTATGCGCAGATGTGCCCCACGATCGCAGCCTCCGCTCGCTTTTCAGTGTGCAGATTGCTCGCCCGGGGCGCCGCTTCCCAAGTCCCACAGCCGACAGGCGCGCCGTCCGGGCCATTCGAAGGCCGTCCGGGCAACCGCCACGGGCACCTGAGCGCCATGGACCGCTCCCTCCTCCCTTCCACCTCAACCGCCGGCTTTCGCGCCTGCGGGATCAAGCCGAGCGGCCATGCGCGCTCCCCCGGAGCCCGCCCAAGACTTCCATCATGCCCCGCCGCGGAATCGGCCAACGGCGCGAGCGCGAGCGGCGCGAGTCAACAAGCCAAAAAGGCGGAGCGGCGGGGGACGGCTCTGGGCAAGACGGGCGCCGAGCTCCGAGAGGAGTTCTTCCTGGCCGCGAGCACGGGCAAGGAGCGCGGCCTGCCGGAGGGGGCGTTCCTGAACGACAACACCACCGGGCAGGAGCCGCCGGTGGAGGTGACCTTCCAGCCCTGGGGTGAGTGCGTTACGGCGCCCACGGGCTCGAACCTGCTGCGCGCCGGCGTGGAGGCCAAGGCGTTCGAGATCGGGCCGGCGTTCTGCCTGACGGGGCAGTGCGACTCGTGCCTGGTGGAGACGGACACGGGCGAGGCCATCCTGGCGTGCATGAGCGCGGTGCCGGCGGGGAGGGAGAAGATGGAGGTGACGGTGGTGGCGTCGGACGAGGCCTGGGAGGCGATGTGCGCGGGAGAGCCCAAGGGAGAGGGCGACGAGGACTTCTTGTTCGTCTGAAGGGGTGGGGGGCAAGGAGGGGCGTTTGGCCGCCTTTGGAGTGGTTTTGATTCGAGCTGGACATAGAGGGGTGTGATGATCGTGTGTTCGGTGGTGGTGGTGCGCAGGAGGCAACCCGCATTTGACCAACCAGCGCAGCGCTGGCAGGGCTGATGGCAGCAGTAGTGTTGACAGAAGGGGGGTTAGAGTGCAGACGTTGTGAAAACTATTTCGTTGATACTGCATTTCATGGCTTCACTGTGGCTGCAAGCCGACTCCAGCTCAGCGCTGGAGGCAGTGCTTCTTTGTTCCTGGGAGCGCCCCCCAACAGCATTGCCCTGCTCCTTGGCGGTATTCGTGCTTTTGGGAAAGTTCTTCCAAACCCGAACATTGTGCGCCAGGTGGTGCATGTACTGACTTCCAGAACAGACTGGCTCGGCAATGGAACACGTCAAATAGCATTCTCGTTAAATGCACAACAAGCAGAAACGACACGCGTTTATCAATAAAGAAGGCACTCATAAAGCAGTGTTCGATGCCACCTTTGCTTTTGAACGCCCCGACGTGCGGACCTTTAGACTTGGTTCTGTTCTAGACAAACAAGTTTCGAATCGCACTGCAGCCCCCGTTCCCAAGAACAAGACCGCTTTTCACTCCCAATTTCAACAAGTAATCCCTCCAGACAAGCTACCGCTCTATTGTAGCCCAAGGAAAACCCGATGCAGGGGTGGCTGGTGGCATACTGCGGCGTTTGTGCGTCTGAATCCCCACGCACAGCGACGTCCCTCGACTCTCCCCTGCCCCCGCACCACGCCCCTGCCCAGGCCGGAGCCGCCACGCCCTGGCTCACAACGGCGAGCAGGGGCCCCCAGCACATCTGGCGACGTATGTACTCGAACCGTCGTCTCTCTCGTGGAGTCAGAAACCGTCGCTTCCGCCGCGCCTTATTCACATTCCTTGCCCATCCGCTGTCTCACGCCGCCCGGTTACTGCGTGATGGCAGAAGTGGTGACATAGGAGAGGCATGTGTTGGGCCCGAGCACCCACTCGGCCGGGGGGGCGTTCTTGTTGTCCTGGCTGCCGAAGGTTCCGTCCTTCTCCAGAGAGGAGTGGCGCCTGAGGGCATCGGGGCTGGACTCGCCGCAGCCGGGCACAGAGAGTTCGCCAGTTGCGAGCTTGTCGGAGACCCAGGGGAACAAGGTCCAGCGTCCGTCCTCCTTGAGGTCCCTTCGCACGGAGGAACGCAAAGCTGTGAGGCAAGGGGGTGGCCGCGAACGTCGAAACACAGCGTCTTGATACCGGCTCCGAAATCAATAAGCGCACATAGGCAGAAGCTGAGTACTGATGAAACCGGAAGTGCGGCGGGCGCTTCGCATAACGTGTGGCCACGCGGGGCACAAAGCACCGGCCGACACCCCACAGGAGGAAGAGAGCGGGGAAGTCTGGAGGCGACGGAGCCGAAAACAATGGCTGAACACGAACAAAGCCAGTTTGCACGGATGTTCACCTGTCACACTCGAGGAACTCGCCGCCATTGGCGCTGGTGGCCGGCCTGCAGCCCTCGGGCCTGTTGTACTCCCTGCTCAGCTCTCCCTGTTTGGCATCGCGGAAGGTGTCGAACTCAGCGACGGTGATCTGTCCGACTGGGATGGGCTCGTTGGAGATGTTGAGCAGCGGGCGCTCCACCTGGCTGAAGGGCCCAAAGAAACGGCCTGCAAGTTCTGTTGCAGGCAAAAACAGCCGGGTGAGCCACAATCCAGGTCAATCAAGGTTTCACTGTCCATAGTTACGAACTCGATTTGCATACTCAAGTTCCTGTCGAATTGGGCCCGACATTTCTCCCCGTGTCTGTTCTGACACCCACTGCAGCCTAAGGTATGGCCGTGAGAGGTCAGTTCAGGACTGTTGCCAGCTGGCGACAACCCCAGAGGCAGGTGCGTGTACGCACCTGCCCTGACCGGAGAGACATGGACAGAACAAAGACTACAGAAGCAGCAAACGTTTTCCTTGCAAGGAACACGACTCACCCAGGTACTCCTCCTGGCGCACTTCCTGGGCGGCGGTGATGAGCCCCCAGTAGAACATGCCCAAGAAGAGGTACAGCGCCATAATGGCATACACCATCAGCCCTGCACAGAACAGGCAATGCGATCAGCATATGTTCGCAGTTGGTGCCAAGGGGTACCCGTCGCCATAACGGTTTCCGAAAAGATGCAGGGCAAGCGGGGCAAAACACGGTCGATCCGCAGCAGCGGTTACTTACTGATATCAGGCCAGCCCACACCGCAGCAGCCGTATCTCGTGCAACCCCTCTTGGCCTGCTCTTCGAACTCCTGCACAGCAGCGACAGCACAACCTTGGGTCAGCCCTACTTGACCTGTGAGGGACCGCCAAATGGCGCTTTGGCAGGCTTGGTGACACATATCAGGCCAGCAGCGGCGCAATATTGAGGTCTTGGGGACAATGTTGTTGAACAGCCTCAGTTGCGTAGATGGAATCAAGCGACGGGGTTGTTCAGCTTTGCGAGTCTGGGCGACGAGGTGGGGGGTGTCAGAGAAGTCCAACATAAACGAAGGAAGATTCATCGAACATCCAGGCAGCGGCTTGCACGACCACCTGTTCTGAGAGCGAGCCCGGTCTTGTCCCTTGAGTTTGTCGGGAAGCGCAGCTCCCGGCGACTGTTAACACGCAGTTCGCGATGCGTGCTGTTTCAGTGTTCATTTTTCGACCGCAGGGAGCCGAACGCAAAAGCCTCTCATTAACATCGGACGTGGACCCTGACCCCAAAAAGGCCAGTTCGAGTTTGCCAGCGGCCCCAGGCGATTTCGGCCTAGCACAGTTATTCGTACCTTGCGCATCACAGCACCGTCCCGTGCCCCGCAAGGCTGAACCCCAAATGCGATACAGTGGAACAGTGGACACTTGCGTCAGTGCATTGTACGTTTCTGGCCCAAGGTGCCAAGAACGGGAGTGGGGCGACCTCCGTCGTCAAGGGGCCCCGACGCCGTTGCGCCGCAGTCTGGCTGGTTCTGGCAGCCACAGTACTGCGTCGAGCCCTTGGAGCGGCGAATACGGTGTTCATCGTCGTTCGGGGCTCAGCGACCGGCATCCGTCTTTTCACAAACTTCAGCCAGGAGGCGAGGTCGGGGTATTGTCGCATCGAACAATTGCGGCGCACTGATGATCCTATGGCGCACCGCCTGCGCAGTTGTTCAGGGGTGGAGCAACGCCAATCGATTCAGGATCTACACCGTCGTCGCTCGCACTGGCTGTTTCTGCGAAATTTCGTGCTTTCGCGACCGCCACGCCGGTGGAAGGACTGCCGCCAGGCTCGGTGTCCGAGGGTACTCACCCATTCGTCTCCCATCTTGGAGGAGTACTTCTTATTCCCAGTCAGCGCCTGGGAGCTGGGCCCCGCTGCAATCTCCATCTTCCCCATGTTTGTATTCTGCACAGCGAAATCAGCACGCTCAGCGTTTGCACAGCACAGAACCGGACCCAGCAACGCCACGCGCCCCTGCCGCCGCGCCCCATCGGCGGCACTCCCCCGGATAAGACCACCAAACTCATCTTGACAAATCTGAGAGGGACCTTTCCCAAACATCGAGCCCACAGGGACCGCCATCCACCCCAAAAGCGCGGCGTCCACGTCCCCCCACAATCAACGCAAACGCCCGCGCAGGCCGCCGCATCGAATGCACAGCCGATTCTCCCGCCCCACCCCCCCACCCCCGCTGGGCCTGTCACCAACAACCATCAGCGGCGCGCGACGTGACATCCAGGGCCGCTGGACGGCCGATTTCGCCCAAAAGCGCGCGCAACGGCACGCCGGCGATGCCCCACTCACCTCCTCGCTCCCAGCGGACGAGCGAGGTTCGCGGCGGGGGGCACGGGTTCGCAGCGCGCGCCCACACACAGCGGCTTGAACGCGTCGACCACGAACAGCCACTGCTGCGGCCCTGGCCTGATTTCATACGAGCCTGTTGGTGGGGTTATTCAGCCGGACCAGCTGGCCCGGGACGGCGCAGCGCCGAGGATGTTGGGGCCGCTCATTGGGGGGCCGGGCGGAGCCGGCACCGGGTCCGGGGCCTCCATGGCATCCGCGGTGGCCACCCCAGACGCGACGCCCAGGGTGGCTCAATGAGGTGACATGATCAGCGTGGACCGGCACCAGCGCCATGATCCGGGACACCAATACGACGGGGGCCCGGCTGTCCGTCGGCGGGGCTGGGAGCGGCAGGGTGCGCGGAGCACGGGGGCCATCCGCGGGGCCCGTCAGAGCACTGTGAGCCTGCTGGTCTGATCCCAGTTGATCCGTGCGCCCGCAGCGGATGACTGTCCCAGCGAGGACAGGATGATGAGGCTGTTAACGGGTTTTCGCCTTCAGCCGTCCTTGGGCAAGGCCGACAATTTTGGTTTACATGTGCGACGGGTGCGGTCCACGTCAATGATGTCAGTGCGAGGGGAGGCCAGCGCGAGGACGAAGCGTTACTCCCACAGGCCGGTCGCTGACTCTTCAAGCTTCCAGTACTTTGTAGGGGTCGACGCAACCTATGCACCAAAGGAAAGCAAAGGCCAAAGCGTTTTGACCAGAAAGGCCAAAGACCGGTGTCCTCACCAAAAGACTGGGTGACCAAATGGCTGCCGTGCCCGCGTGGAGGATAAATTCTGCCAGGGGAAATGTTTTTTTGTCCTTTTTGTTGTCCCCTTCCCCTTCTTGGCCAATCGCTTGCCGCCCAGCCACCCGCAAGTGCACACCAGCCGTCCCTGCACTCCTTGCGAATGGAGTCTGAAGCTCCTCCGGGTCTGGCCGGTGTGGCGGACCCGGATGCCGAGGACGACGACGAGGTTATCCGGGAGCTGGACGTGTTCCTGTGCAACGGCCGCGTTGATGCCCAGGTGAGCCGTGCAAGAGGCATCTTTGGGGATCCTGGGCGTGGGAATGGGCAGGATGGGGCCCTCCTGAGCTCGTTTCAAGGGCCTTTGCCTCCTGAAAAGTGAAGAGCGATGTCGTGTACGGAGCATGATGAGGGGTGTCAGCTTTGGCGCAAGAAGAGTTGCCGCATTTCACCACCTGATTGGGCTCCCTGTTTATTGCAGTTGGTGTGATCAAGACGGCTTGAGCATTCTCCTCCTTGTTTGCGCTCGTTATGTCTTGATTGGCTGTTGCCGCTTCTTTTTCACTACAGAAGATGGGATGCCTGGGATAACGGCACCCGTTGATCTCCGCATTTGGTTCGTGCGCTCGTGACGTCTTAATTCGCTGTTGTCGCTTCTTTTTCACCGCAGAAGATGGGATGCCTGGGATAACTGCACCCGCTGATCTTCGCATTTGGTTCGTGCGCACGTATGGCAGTTTCAACGGCCTGAACGCGAGTTCCTTCTTTGTGTTGTTATCTCGTGCTGATGGACTCCCTTTCTGCATGCAGTTGTTCCTGCTGCAATTCCCGCTGCGACCTTCGTGGCGACCCTACGAGCTGGAAGATTGCGATGAGGTAGTGCAGGAGATGTGTCAGGGTGCGGGGTGACTGGCGCACGATCTGGGGCAGATAATGCAGCTCGAGAACTGCTTGGGGATCAAAAGATGCCAACTGCACTTCTACAGCGAGGCATGGCGTATTGAGGGCAGTTATGACGTTCACTATAGACTAGTGAGGTGTATCAAACGCGCTGTTCCACGTTGAGGCAAAAACACTCAAGCAGGATAAGACAGGAGGGCGAAAGGCAGTGAATCAGGGCAAGGGCATCATGACCACAACAGTGGGAGGAGCTGCAGCACAGGGACCTGTGGTGACGTATTGCAACAAGTAACCTTCTGCTGTTGGAGTGGCAACGTGATTGGCATACCTCGTTTATCATCACTGCAACAGGTCTGATATTCATGCACAATGGGGGGCATCGCGCTTGCTGGTGCAGGGGGCAAGTGAACAACTGTACACACAGGACAAGCAAGTAATCAATGCTCTGTGGGCACCCACTGCAGGTCAACCCCCGAGCCTCTTACTGTGCGCACAACTGGCAAGGAGCACTTGCCCAAAAGTGTAACCTCCCCCAATTCCATTTGGCACCATTTGCACCTCCCATTGCCCTGGCGATGGGCCCGCATTGTCAGTCCTTAGCCACGTGAGTGAGCAAACCTTTAGTTCACGGACGTGTTGTTCATGGCAACTGCTGGAGGTTTTCTGCACAGACCAGATTGGTTTTGGCACATCCGATTGCAAATATTAACTTCAAGTGTCCTGATTGCAGATGCGTTTCAAAAAACAAGCTAGGCGCCTGGAAATGGAGCTGCCACTTTGCTCCGACAGTGACAACTATGATGCCGATGTGGAAGATCCGAAACTGCTGATTAAGAAGATCACTCTACAGTCAAGTGAAGTGGACATGTCGACCTCCTACACGGTGAGAAGAGCTGAGATCGCCTGCTTGAAAGCTTTGCAAACCAACCTGAGCAAGGGAGGCTTGTGTTCCACCCTTTGGTGCGCAGGCCATGGTCTCTGCCTTTAAACAGGCGACAAATATGGAACTGGAGCCAAGGAGCTTGTTTGATTAATTGTTTTCTGACAGAAGATCCGTTTTCAACTCAAATGCTCTTCTCTGAATTGCAGGTTGGGAGGATCGCTAGCAATGCTCTGTACCTCACCCCAATCGATGCCGCATTTCATATGCGGCCAGACATGCGTCATTTGGACATGGCAAACCCAGATGTCAAGGAGAAAGAGCCAAAGGAAGTAGAGGAAGGCCTTACGCAGCTCCAGGTATTATGAGGTGAGAGGACATGTGGTGTGATATTGATGCTGTCCCTCCTGTGTCTTCCAATCTCAATATGTATTGCTATGATTGCACGTGTAAACACATCATACAGTGAAGCCTTCTGGCAGTGACAGGGGCATAATGTCGCTTCATTATGGGATACAGGAACTTTATTCCCACCCCAGTGCAAGCAAATTCTGAATGCATTGTACTTGGCATCTTGGTGCGCAGCCTACAAGATCAATATTCATTTGTCTTGAAGCTTAGTGACTGGGTTCCTGTCAGCCTGCAAGGGAGTCGCCTGTAGCAACCTTGTTGCTGAAGTGGTCCTGAAAGGCCTGAAGACATGGCCTCATCAATCAAACCCTTGGGGGTCTGTTAAGATCACAGTTTGCTGCATCGTTCTGTGTGCTCTGCGGGTCAACACACTTTGTGCATTGTTCCAACAAGGTCAAAGTACAGAAGAGGGAGACAGAGGCCCAGCAACAGCGACGGCTGTCATCATATGCCCACCTTGCCCGGCAAGAAGCCGAGGAAGACTGGCACATCCTGAAAAGCTACCCGAAGGGCAGCATGCTGAGCAATTCAGTCCTGAAACAGCTGTCGGTTCCAGCTGACCAGTGAGGCTTTCAACCGCACAGGGCAACTTTTCTGCTCGTTCTGCCTTTTGCAGTGACACCATTGAATGCTGTCTGCCTTTCCCAGTGCCAAGATACAGCATACTGGCCATGTGCTGGCTCAGGCATAGCATCGTGCACAGTTAATACTATTGGCTCTTTATGCCTTTGGGCTTCCCAGTTTTGATTGGATTGATTTGAGTGCATTTGATTTGATGTGCATGCATACCTGCACATGACATCATTTGATATCAGCAGAATGATGTGTTGCCATTTCCTGAACAGCTAAGCAAATTAGGATGTTTCTGTCGTTGCACCACAATAGACTTTTGGTGGGAGCAATTGACAATCTGGCGGCAACTCAAAGACTGCTGCCGCAGCACTCTGTTGGATTTTACTGCATGCAGCTGACCATCTGTAACTCCCCTGCTGCTGTGTGTAGCAGAAGGATACCTGACAAGGTTTGGACTGAATGCAGGGATGTCCCAATGGCGATGGATCGACAGGCCTATCTATCCGCCATTGCACCTCAGATCGTTAATACAGATGCACAGGAGACATCACCAGAGGCAGGGGTTGATGGGGCTGATGTCATTGGCAGTGACATGAGAATAGAGGTGGGTTATGGAGGCTTGTCTGCACATGTGGAAGACATAGATTGCTCACTGTCGAAGATGGTGACCTCGGAGCAATGGTTGATGTGGCCTACTGGAGGACAAGTAATCTGCCCATTAAGGAACTTGAGCTTCCAACACAAGCATGCGCAAGTCAACTGCATGAGCTGGTGTCTATTATTTTGTTGGCCACCTGCATGTCTGGGGTGCAGTGCCACTTCGACTGCATTTGTCTCAAACATGAAGCTACTGTACAACCATATCCAGGGCGCAGGAGAACAATTTGGTAGCAGAAATGTTGTTCCCATGTGTTTTATGTGACTGCTGTGCTCAATGTGCCCAGGCAATAGATGTCTGACTGAGAAATTGAGGAAAAAGAAACAAGAGCTGAACTGGAATTCGGAATTGAATATCTGAAATGCACATATCAGCTTGGCATTGAATGGCTGCATTTAATATTTGAATATGCACATGGCAGCCTACACAATTTACGTATGCCAAGGTTTTCTTGGTGCCTCCTTCTGTGTGGGCAGCTGTGCTCCATGTCCTGCTGCCAGCCTTGCTTGGAGTCGTGACATGATACACTGTGATTGTCTGCCGCATATTCCGATTATTACAAAAATGTGTTGTGGCGAACTGCTGAACGAAAATGGCACTAATGACAAATCAGGTGCTGCTCCAAGTCAGGCATTTGGCAGGGCATTGCGACAGAATTAACTCATCGTTCCTCAACATGTTGCATATGTGCAATAGGAAGGGCGCTTGTCCCACACACATGTTCCTCTGCATTTGGGACATCATGATATAGGGCCAGGGGCAGTAATTTGTTCCATACCTTTAATTGTACTCAATGCAGAATCCTTTGATTGCTATGGTCAGGGTGAGGTCCTTGAAGTGTTGCACAAATCACTGACAGCGATGTTTAGGAAGCATGGGGTTGCGAATCAAGTGAACATTCGACAGTGGCTGATGGAGTTTCCAGCGGCCGGAGCAGCCAGTGAAGCAAGTGGGTGCCAGAAGTCTCTGTACAGTTCTATGGTGCAGCATGTGTATTGTCTAGCAATGTCGTATTGAACAGTGTTGTCCACATCGTATTCTGCTGTTTCGTCGTTGCTTCGGTGGCAGTGTACAGAATTGTGCCGATCTGTGCAACACGATTTGCACTGGCAGGGAAGTTAGCTGTATTGCGGCTTGTATGAGCAGTATGCACTATTGAAGCTGTGCTTCTGTGGACAATTCCTTGATGGCATTTGTCAAAAACTAGCAATGCTTTTCCTTAGCCTCTTCAAGTCGTTGCCAGGCATAGATGTTTGAAAAAAATGTCTGTTAAGCGATCACTATAGACGTCACCTACAAGCCGAAGGTCAGAATGAAGTCCACTGGTGGACCACAAGCCAACAGTGACAGCGCCATAGTTTTCCGTGAGAGCTGCACCCCAGTCATGGAATCGATTCAATACCAGCTCAACTGTATCGAGCCACAGTATCCAGGATCATCTGACCGGATGTCTGTGGACATAAAGTATAACACCTATCAAAAATTGTCCATCTGGGTGGTGCATGAATTCCTTGCATGATAGACTGTGCGCGAACATTCAGATCTTGGAATGTGCAGGGCTCAGTTGCGAACAGAATTCGTCCAGACTTCAGTTCCACCTTGTGCAACACGCTTGTTTAGAGAGTCTTGTGTCATCCCAGATTTGTTCACATCACAGGGACAACCCTCTCCTTGTGTTCTGTGGTCCACGGGAAAACGAAGAAAATGTGCATGAGAGCTGACCATCCGCCATCTCCTGGAGAGTATCCAAAGCCTTTGCAAGCAGCCAAACATGTTGTCCTTATCAGGGTGCTCAGCCTCCAATCCAATTTGGCCTCTATTTGTCGGGCCCAGTTTCATGTTTTTCCACACGTCAGACCTATGCTATCACACACCGAAGTGTGTCTCTCAAGAAGGAAGGTTGTCACACAAGAGTCTCTTCCCATGCAGTGGAATGTAAAGTACCCTGAGAGTACAACATGAGTGGCGTGCAGCAAAAGTAACACTTCAGCGCACTACACCAGTGGCAGCCCCACAGCATGCAACAAACTACTTTTACATTCTTTCCCCTTGGTATATGCTTATGGCTCTCATTTGCATGGCTCTGTACTGTGCTTCGCAAAAACAACCAGCCTTCTCTCCTCTGCAGGCCAGGCCAACGACCAAGCCCTCCATGAAGCCGTGACGTCTGGCGGGCAGTTTGTGTGCATCCGGGGCAGCTACCTTGCAGCCAGGACAGGGTCTCCGCAAACAGATCCCTTCCGGGCGGTCGTGCTCGACGCCTTTGGGTCTAAGGACCTGGTCAAGCGCAGTGAGCTGGTGGCAGAGGCCAAGAAACGCGGTCTTAACATCTCAGAGGCGATGTTCATGAAGGTGATGCGGGCAGTGTGCTTGCCAAGGCCTGGGGGGTTCTGGTGTTTGAAGCCAGGATGGGATGGGAGCTGATTTTGGAGTCTGAAAACTTTTCAGTGAGATGAATCCAGCCACATGAGGGAGAGCTTGCGCTGAGGAACAGTTTGGGTAAATTTTTGGCCAAGACGTCGAGGTGAAGGAGAAATCTGAGTGTGCATGAGCGGCGATGAAAGGCACTATCCAGACAGCTGAGCGGGAGTCATGGGCTCAGGGCTCAAGGGGAAGTCGTTCATCTTGTTGGAAGCACACTTCATGGCATGTAGTGGGTGGTGCTATGAGCGGTTGGCGCCAATTGGATGGATTGCATACGTTGTGTACCAAAAATGTTGAATAAATGATGTGAGGAGCAAGCAACACTTGCATCACCACAAGGAGCCCTCCTTGGGTTCAAACAGGCGTGGGTTCTGACCTGTGCGCCTTCGAACCCTTTCAGCGATGACATGGCCTCGCTGGGTCAAAGCGCATAGCTTTGCCAACATCGATCTTCATCCCCAACAAGTTGCTCCACCGCGACGTGGGAACACCAGCAATATGTCCCTGTGTCATGTGCAGACTTTCAACTGAGCCATCGAGACAATTGGAATTTTCATATCTTCGGAGGCCACAACACCCAATCCTACTGGGTGATTTCTCAACGCCCCTGCACTCGTCGGATCTGTCCCACACGATTTGGAACCTATTTAACTCCATATCAAATAATATTGATACTGATACCACACTGCCGGCGTACCCAATGAAATTGAAACTAGTTCCAATGCATGTTGAAGCTGGTACCAAATTCACGCTAGTAACAAAAATGCCGAACGGTGTAACAAAAATGTTGAAACCAGTACCAACTAGTCATGAAATCGCTTCCGCCATAAGGGGCTCGTAAACCCTAAACCCTAAAACCTAAACCAACCAACCAAGCGCAAGCCCAAAGTTGGTCCCAGGTCGCTGCCATTCGATGACTAATTGGTACTGGGTTCAACAGTTTTTGGTACATTGTTCAATATTTTTAGTACTGGCGCGAATTTGGTAACAGATTGAATATGCATCGGTACTATTTTCAAATTTATTTGGTACGTTGGCAGTTTGGTACTAGGTTCAATATTATTTAGTGCTAACTTCAATTTTGCCTGGAACGGTGGCAATTTGGTACAAGATTCAATATCATTTGGTGTGGAATTATATATAATTCGCTTATATATAACATATAAGCGACCCGAATTTGCTGCAGGGAAACAGTGCTGCAAGCCCCCAAGGGGCTGACCCTGCACCCTGCCATCCTCGCCCAGAAAGTGTCATAGCCACCGTGACCTGGACCACGTGTCGTGACAACCAACCGCGCACTAACCCCACCCTTCCCTCCCGCCCATTGGCTGGAGCCCTCTTCTCGTAATGCCCTGTCCGCCGCCCATCACAGTAATCGCGTCGGGCGCGCGTGTGTCGCCCTGCGATTCGCCATCGCGGCCTATAAGATCACGGATTCGGGAACCTGGCATTTGTGGTGGGGCGACTGGGGCCGGGATCACCTGGGCTCCACAAGGCAGCCGGCGGCATTGAGGGCGCCCAAGTAGGCGCAATTGAGCGGCCCCAAACCCCAAACCCCACGGCCCAACTCGCCCCACTGGATCCACGTCCCCACCCTCCCCAACCACAAGCGCCATCCCGAGCGGCGAGAAGCGGGCCACATTCCGCCCACCGCCCACATTCCCCTTCGCTCCCCAGTACATATTCTTCTCGCCTCACTCACTTGGCCCCAGTTGCGCGCTCTCCGCAACGGCCCCCGTCGGCGCTCACGTGCCGTCCACCGCCCTGCCCAAGACGCCGACGTTCCCAGACGCTCTCCGCGGCCCTTCCGAAGGCCAGCGGATTGGGCTCGGGCTGCAAAGTCAATGGCGGACGCCAACCGGGACTCCCAGCCGGGGTACCACTACCGCGATGAGAGGGGCGGCAAGTACTGCCGCGACGACGCCGTGGGCCACTGGTCTTTCACGGGCTGCCTGGTGATGCTGGCGTACCTCGCGGCTGCCGCCTATTACTTCTACGTGCGGATCGAGTACACGATGGACGTGGGGTGGATGTGGTACGCCTACCTGTTCCTGGTCTTGGAGCTCACCGGGTCGGCGTCCATCATAGGGTATGCACTCATACTGATGCGCACGGTGTCGGTGAAGCCAAGGAGGGACGCGCCGACGATCCAGAACGACTACGTGGTGCGCGTCTTCGTGCCGTGCTACAAGGAGGACCTGGAGATCGTGCAGGCGACGGTAATGGCGGCCATCGATGCCGAGCTGCCGCCCAACTGCACGAAGCACGTGTACCTGTGCGACGACGGCCGGGATCCCGCCAAGCAGACGTGGTGCGAGGAGATCTCGCGGCGGTGGAGCGAGGGCTGGCTGCACTACTGCCGGCGGCCGCGCACCAAGGGCGAGCTCAATGGCAAGGCCGCCAACCTCAACTTCACGCTCAGGCGCATCTACGAGTCGTCAGCGTCGCGGTACTCGCGGACGACGGGCTTCCGGCGGGCGCACGGCGCGGAGCAGGACCCGGAGGCGCGGGACATGTTCCTGAACGAGGTGGTCGCGGTGTTTGACGCGGACATGGTCTGCAAGAGCAAGTTCTTCATGAAGACGCTGCCAATCCTGGACACCTGCGACATGGTGCTCACGCCGCAGTGGTTCTACAACGTGCCCTTGATGGCGGATATTTTTAACCACGCCAACCTGCACCTGTGGGAGTACATGCTGCCGTCCATGGACGGCTGGGGCTGCCTGAGCTGCACGGGCACCAACTTTGTGATCCGGGCGTCAGCGCTGTCGGGGGTGGGCTACTTCCCGACCTACACGGTCACGGAGGACTACGCGCTGTCCTTGGAGCTGGGGCGGCACGGCTACAAGACCCGGTACCTGCCGGAGTACCTGGCGGAGGGCGAGGCGCCCGAGGAGGTGTCGAACATTTTCAAGCAGAGGCACAGATGGTGAGGCCCCCCGGCAATCCCCATTGGTTTGACCAATGCCCCGACCCTGTTTTTGCCGACGGTTACCGGCCAACTCTGGGCTCGTCGACAGCCGCCACGGCTCGGGTGCTGTGGCGGCGGTCCCCGGGGCTGGGTTGAGGTCGCGCCGGGCGGGCGTCCGCCGCGAGCAGGCCCGCCGGGGTCCACACAGCCACGATTGGGCGCAGATTCGGTTGTACTGACAGCTTGGTAGTCGTCACTCGGAGGGGTGCTGGCCAATGTAAGGTGACCGTCGCCTAGCCTCTGCGATTCCCGTCCTCGATTCTGCGCCGCGGGGAAGACTGTGTGGTCACGTGCGGCTGGGGGGGTGTGCCAGCGGATGACGCGCATTAGTCAGGGTGCAGAGGAGCCGCAGTGTCCGTCGGCCCTCGAGTACATAGAGGGCATGAAATTGGTCGCTCTGTCGTTTTCCGTGAAGACCCCGTCTTGTTTCGAAACCCTAAAAACCACCGACCCACTGACCCACGCTCGCCTTGTCAGCGGAAGAAGAAGGGGCCTTCACGGAAAAGACAGAGGGACTAATGCATCCTCTGCGTGGAGTGCATTGTAACACTGCCGATTGTTTTGGGGATGGCGGGCTTGTTTCGGAGATGCCGACGTCTGGCGCGGCCGGTACTGCCGGGGCGGGTGTTGCCCCAGTCGCCGCTGGCTGCGGGGTTTCCCATCCCCAATCGCCGCGGCATTGTCACCGTTGGTGGCTGTTCTTAGCTTGGGATACAACGCTGAGGAATGTGAAGTGGTGGCGTCCTCGTGGCTGCGGCACAGGCCGAATTGAGCAGCTGGCCGCTGGGTGCGCCGAGAAGAAGCGGGACTGTGGGGCCTTCGAGTTCCACACCCCACGGACTGGCGTTCCTCAACAACTTAGTTGTGGGTAAATTCCTTGGCTTAAATTGAACTTCAAGACAAAAGTGGGGAGCTTGCGCCGTGCCGAGGATGATGAGCGTGCATGCATATAGGGCAGTTTCCTGTCGCTCATCCGTTCTTCTATCGGCTCGCCGCCCATTGCGCACACTTATGGAAGCCATAGAAAAATTGAACAACCAAATCCTGGCGCGCGAAGCGACAATGGAAGGCAGAAAGGCGGGTTCCTCGCGATCGCTTGTATTGGATTGATTGGATCGTCTGTGCAGGTGCACGGGCCACCTGCAGGTCTTCTTTGGAAAGAGGAACCCGATATTCTACCCCGGCCTGTCATTGAAGATGCGGGTAATGTACAGCCTGGGCGCCTACTCTTACATGTGCGCCGCCTTCCTCACGCCGCTCTTCCTCCTGGCCCCAATCCTCGCCATCTGGTTCGGCATCTTCCCAATCGACCTCAACAGGCACTACCCCCTGGCGTTCACCATCTACTACGGCATGACTCTGTTCACGGTGTACTACTCGCGCACCCTGAAGCACCTCATCTTCTTGTGGTTCGCGAGCAACGCCAACCTGGTCCTGTGGTACACCTACGCCAACGCCACCCTCAGCGTGTTCATGAGCCTGCTGTCTTGCGGGAGAAAGAAGATCAAATTCGAGGTGCGCCCCCCCCATTCTGTCGTACACTGAAGCCCACAGGGGATCCAGCGCTGCCTAACGCATGCCCCAAGTTTTCCGGAGACCTTGGCAGTGCTGTGGGCGCACACACAACGTGCTGCATACCGCCAGAGGCCCCCTGAAAAGCTGCCCTATGCTGAATACAGAGCAACGTCTTGCAAATAATATTACTGCCTGCACCAAATCGGTGACTGCTTGCACTAAATCACGTGCACACTGTGCCCTAACCTCAGTTTTAGGTTTAGGTTTAGTTTTAGGGTAAGCTTTAGGTTTAGGGTTAGGGTTAGGGCAGGTTCAGTTTTAGGGTTTAGGGTCTAGGTTGGGTAAGTTCTGGAAGGAGTTGGTGCAAGCAGTCACCGATTTAGTGCAGAAAGTCACCGATTTGGTGCAGCCAGTAATTATATGCCAACGTCTTGTGCGCCTTGACTTCTGATCTTGCGTGGAGTCGTTTTGTCGTTGGGTGGAGTCGTGTCCGTCGTCAAAACTGACGACCGAGGACTGCTCACTCCCCCTTGGGGCCTGTCCCCCTTTGCCGGGGCCCCAAGGCACGCCGGCACGATTACTGTACTCGGCGCCGAGCGCAGACGTCGAAACTGCAGCCGGCGGGAGCGTCGCAAGCGAAAACGGTGGCGTTCGCCAAGAGTCAGCGACGTGCAGACAATCGTCAGTCAAGCACGGTCGCCATGACCGCACCCGCATTATTTTCCCGCCTTCCGCCACACCGTTCGCACTCAACGTTTTGCGTCGCAACAGACCTTCTGACCGCCCTGGTTCGACTGCTCCACCCGCAGGTCACCGACAAGACGGGCCCCTCCGCGCGCAAGGGCATGACCTCCTCCATGTCCACCAGCTCCCTCACCTCCATGGTCTCGTCCGGCTCGCTGGCCGGCCTCTCCTACAACAACCCGGACAGCGACCCAGTTCGCCGCCACGCCTCCTCCTGCGGCTCCCTGGCCGACATGCCCGACACGCCCACCAACGGCGCCAACGGCCGCGAGTCGCCCGCTTTCGCCGACGAGCCCAAGCGCCTGCACATCAGCATCCCCGTCCATCCAATCGACCCTCTCGATGAGACGAAGAAGCCCCTGCTGCCCGTTTCAGAGACGCGCGCCTCCGCGCCCCCCCGCCGATCCGGCTGCACCGGCTGCGTGTGTTCGATCTACGAGTTCTTCCGCGACACCTGGGTGGCCCTGATCACCCTGGCACTGTGCGTGGGGTCCATCTACGCCGGGATATGGCTGGGTCTGGGAGACCGCCACACCGTGCACATCCAGATGGTTAGCATCCTGTGGTGCGGCTACAACGCGATCGCTCCCTTCCTGGTCATCTACTACGCGCTGTTCAACTTCCGCGGCCTGCGCGGTGTGTGCTGCCTGATGGCCGGGTTCTCGATCGTCGCCCTGGTGGCCGTGCTGTACTCCCTGCACGTTTACTACCGCGACGTGTACGACTACACGGAGGTGCTGGACAAGTCGCTGTGGTTCTACGAGGCGCAGCGGTCGGGCCTGCTGCCCGCCAGCAACCGGGTGCCCTGGCGGGGCGACTCAGGGCTCTTCGACTTTGCGCCCAGCGGCACCGATCTCATCGGAGGCTATTACGACGCCGGGGACACCATCAAGTTCGGTCTGCCGGCCGCCGTGTCGATGTCATTCCTTGCTTGGGGGATGATCGAATTTCCGAGTTCGTTCGCGGATGCCGGCCAGAAAAAGCACATGCAGGCGACGCTGAAGTGGGGCACGGACTATTTCATCAAGGCGCACACGGGGCCGGAGGAATTCGTGGCCCAGGTGGGCAACGGCACTTGGGAACACACCGCCAAGTGGGGCAGGCCGGAGGACGTACTCGCGGAGGGGCAACCCGGGGTGCCGCGGGTGGGCTGGGTGGTGAACGCGACCAACCCGGGGTCGGACGTCGTGGGGTCGACTGCTGCCGCAATGGCTGCCACGGCAGTGGTGTTCAAGTGAGTGGATGAAGACGGATGCAGGCTGGCATGGTATTTCGCCAAATCGTTCATCAAGATGCAGCAGTGCGCTTGCGTACCCTTCATCTGTTCAGCAATTCAGGCCCATAAATGGGCCGCGTTGTTATTGAATCGAGTCGATTGGCCATCGATTGTTGTCGAGTGCTTGTGCCCACTCTTTGAGCAAGACCACCACCTGGTGCAGTTTTTTTCCTTGCTGCTTGACACAATTTGGTGCCAGTTGCAGTCAAAAACCTGTTTCCACCAAGCGTTGGCAGAGAAAGTGGGTACCTGAATTTGCAACGGCAGGGGTGCACATAATTGGAGGCAACAACAGAGACCAGGGGGTTGTTTGACGATGAGTGTGTTGCCGCAGATCTGTGGACACCACTTACTCCCACCTGCTGCTAAAGCATGCCAAGGAGCTCTACGCGTTTGGCGTCAAAAGGCAGGGCCTGTATTCTGATTCTATCATAGATGCACAGAATTTCTACAACTCAACCACCTACCATGACGATCTGGCCTGGGGAGCCATGTGGCTGCACTACGCAACAGGCGAAGAAAAGTACCTGAAGGACGCCGAGAAACATATCAAGCCCCTCATTGCCCGTAAGCTGTTCGTCTCCCTCTCTTGGGTCTAAAGCATAGGGTGATGCTGCCATGCTGGTTGCACTGGATGCCTCGAATCCTTTGATTACATTTGTCACATAGACATGTCAAAACACTGCCCTTGCACCTAAGAGGCGATGTTGGGCTTGAGTCTTAGATGAATGTTGCTAATCTTATCGCATGGTTTGTTTAGTGTCGCACAGAATCCCACTGGGTTCTATTGGTGAACATTGTCCTGTCCCGCACAATTGCACGCTAAGCCTTGCACTGAACACTGTCTTTTGGTGCTTCACCTTGTGCGAAAGTCCACTTACGATTACATGATATCCAGGCCCATTGTAGTGCAAGTGTGTGTCTCTGTTTTATGCAAACGGGTCACAAAGATCTGGCCCACACTTTCTCAGCCCATCGTGTCCGCCTGATTCATTTTGTTTGGCAGTGGCAGCCGTAATGGAAGTTTAATGTCAGTTGATGGTGGAGGTCTACATGGCTGTCGACGTCCACAGAGTCACTGATTTTGTCAACTTGTTGCTGCTGTCCAGACCTGCCCTACACCACCAACTGGGACAACGTCGGGCACGCGGTGGTGCTGTTGCTGCACAGGGCTTATCCCCACAATACCGTTTACAAGAACAGCATGGAAAAGCTCATGGACAGGTGGATCTTTGAGTTCCAGTATACACCCAAGAAGTTGGCCTGGGCTACCCCGTGGGGACCCGACCGGGAGGCTGCCAACACTGCCATGATCGCCATGATTTATGCAGACGCCGTGGAGAAACAGGGTGGTTCAGCAGCAAAGGTGAGTGGCCTGAAAAGCCGTTGCAATCGACCCTTGTACCAAACAGCACCAGTATTTGTTACGAACTGTGTATAGCAGTGTGTGTTTGTTTTCATCAGCCAGAGGCCTAGGCACAGTGCACAACAGCAAAAGCAGTGAAATACGGTGATTTTGGTGCATGCATCGCTGTCGTTGTTGTGGCAATACTTGCTCCTATCAGCAGGGCCCAACTGCTGTTCAGCACAGTGCTTGCAGTGTGAATCGCTACCATTGGTTTGTTGGCCAAAGACTGACAGTGCCGCAGTACACTACCCATCGATTGGGACTCCATTGCCAGGCCGTCGCCTACAGTCACTGACGGTGTGTCAATGCTCATGCAGTATGGCGCCTATCGATGCTGGGCAATGTTCCAGATCCGCTTCATGCTGGGCGAGTATGGCAGGAGCCTGGTAACAGGCTTCGGCTACAATCCCCCCACCCACGTGCACCACATGGCCGCCTCCTGCCCTGACCTGCCCTCTCCCTGTGGCTGGGCCCAATTCCACTCGAACGCCTCCAACCCACAGACCCTGTATGGCGCTCTTGTGGGCGGGCCCGACCTCGATGGCGTGTACAATGATACTCGGGACAACTATGTTCAGAACGAGGTGTCTCTCGACTATAACGCCGGGTTCACGGGCGCTGTGGCGGGCGTGATGAAGATGGACAGCTATGGGAAGTGCTACTGGGGCGGGGGCGTGTTCCGCTTCTTCAAAGCAGTGGCTCTGTAGACATTGGGCCCTGCGGTGTTGGGCTGTGTGTCTGGCCTGAGAGGCCAGCTGTTGTCGCCCGTCGATGTCCAATTTCATTCATCGGAAGGCCTGCTTGGCGCTGCGGCGCCGGATTGTCGGCACTGGTCGGCGAGTGCTCACGCTCGACCCCCTGCAAGTCCACCAGGACAAAAGCCAGAGATATGAGGAGAACCAGGAGAACGGTGGAAGGGGCGATGGCAGGTGCGATGGAAACAACGGGCGAGGGAAGTTGTAGGAGCGTGGAGCCGCCGTGGCGAGGGGACGGAGTGTAAGTTTGGGGACTGGGGGAGAAGTTTGCCTTTTTGTATCATGTCTGGACGTGTGGATCAGGTCCGCACCATTTTTGGGGAATAATATGCAACGGGCTCTGTCACGATTTTTTCTTCTGGGGAATCGTTTTTTCAAAGGGCATTTTGTTGTATGTAGCGGATAGGTGTTCCCACAGCGGGTTGCTGCTGTTGCTGGAAGCTGCAGGTTAGGTGGGATGGGGATTTGAGGGTAGACTTCGAGTTGCGTGATGGCCTCCTGCTGTGTCGCTCGTGCACCGTCTTGGGATGGGACATCTGGGATTCAATTCAATCATTTCGTGTTGTACGTTCGAGGTGGATTTGTTGCATCAGAAATGCATGCGCGATCCGTGGTTGCGGATGGTGAGAAGAAGAAGTGCGATCCGTGGCTGCGGATGGTGAGAAGAATAGGTCGTGGACAGTGGTGCGATGACCACTGAGGTCCAATTGCCACGCGGTGTGGCTGGGCCGAATTCAGGATGGTAGCTGCGCATCTGGCGGTTCGCTGAAGCCGTGGCAGCATGGGTTTGCTTGAGAATTGACGCATCCAACGAGAAGATGTTTGAATAAGCCAGATCCGAGGGCTGGTGCTCTGGTGACGGAGCCTGGGACTCCAGTTGGAGAACGGTGAGGTTGAAGAACTGCCTCTTGGGAACGCCCGAAAATGGCGACGGCAGAATGAACTGATGAGCGTGTTGCCTTCTGCCTGGGTGCGCGTCCCGGTGTGTCTTTGGATGGGGGACGCGATGGGCCTCGTGGGCCTAGGGTAGACACGAACGATTTTATTTTCGGGATCTCTCTGGGTAGGTTGCAGTCCCAGGAACTCAAGGAACGTTTGATACCATTTAATTCACGCTACACGTTCTCGTTCAGAGTTGCACCGGCCGTTCTTGCTGCGCCTCGGATAACGTGGGTCTGGCTCTCGACCTGTGCTACGGAGCGTCGGCGAACCAGCCGACGCTGGTGGGATGGAATTGCCACACAGCCCAGCGTGCCAAGCAGTTTAGCGTGCCCCACGGGCATATGTTGTGGCTATGTTCCCGAGAGGAGGCTGTGCTGGTGCACCGTGTTCCTTGGACGGGCAAAAGAAAATAGCACAGATGCGCAATTCACAGTCCCAATTTCTGATAGTATTATTCTCTGTGCAGGGTAGGTCCCGAAATGCTATCCTCATCAGTAGCATTTCTGAACTGGCAGAGACCAACCCGGCGCCTCTCAATGTATCCAGTGTTCAGACAATCAGCAGGAAACCTGTATCCATTCCCTGCTTCCTGGCAGCGCCGACTGGACACCCGGCCCATCCAGGTGGATCATGTCAGCAGTCGCCCAAGTCCAACAACGGGCGCACCTCGTCTGGCGTCGCACGAATGCCGAACACCAGAAGCGTAGGCGCAGGTCTGCTTGTACAGCATTCATTTCCCCCATCCGCAGAGCGTCGCGCTCGTCCATTCACAACTCCACCACCTGCAGATTCACCTCCATCGCCTCTCGAGCTCACCTAAAAAAATGCCGCCCCAAGCCAGTATCGTCTGCCACCTGTCACCCAGAGTGCACTTCCGTAGAATGACGCAGCACACACGCGCTCTACAACACCGTGACACCACGCTCAACTCCGCGGCAATCATGGGCGGCGCACAGAAAAGTGGCTTCCTTCCAGCTCGAGTCCCGTTACTGCAGCTAAAGTCCTGCCGAGTGTGCTGCTCCCGTGCCACGTGCTGCCTAAACCGCGCGTTGCATCGCCAATTCTACCCGAAACATAAACAATAGCGGCCGCCAACCCCCTACCCCCACGCCACGCCACCCCACCAACGACAACGCCAGCAGTATCCCCGTTGCTAATCACGCCGAATATTCAACCCAAACCTGCCCGGCAGCGTTCCAACATCGCCGTCACCCCAACGGCCCACGACGTCCCCACAACAGGCGGGTGGCAATCACAAAGCCTACGCTCCTCCCAACAGAGCAGCCAACGCGGTTCGAGCCCGAGGCCGGTCTGCGGCCCGAACACAAGGCTCTAGCCCATCCCCTGATCGCCCTTTAGGGCCGGCGACGGGATTACCAGAACTTTGCTGAAGCAATCTCCTCCTGTGCTTTGGTCAAGAGCTCGAGCCGTCTTCTGCAGGCGTTCCTCCGCCGGGTGACGTCCGGGTCTTCATGCAACAAACGCGACAGCTCCGCCTCGTCCCTGCCGGCCACGTCCTCCTGAAAGGGCTCCAGCAATCCGCCCTTCGCCTTTAGAACCTGGCAGTCGGCACAGGACACGGATTCATGCCCGTCGCGGGGAAGGGGTGTGCAAGTGCAGTTTTGTCTACCAAGTGGGGACCAACGCCGCCATATGATTGACGAAGGGGACGTCAGGCGCAGGGCAGCCCGGACTGCAGCGATTCGCGACCGCAACCTGCCCTTGCAGAACTGGCGAGATCCACCTTGGGTGAGTTCACGCACAGCACGCGTACACGCATGCATGCACCGTCAAACAGGCCGACGGTCGGCGCTGAACAGCGACACAGTGTCGGGCATGGTACAGCCAGCGGGCTAATCGACTTGGCAGAGACAATGTGGCCAGCGGCCAGTGGCGAGTGGCCACACAGTCCAGAAAATACAAGCTCAGGGGCAAGCAAACTGGCGTTGAAAGTTTTCCACGACGATACTTTCATCTGTCCAGCATATCTGACACGACGATGACACAAAGGACCGAACACCCGGCAGACGTCTGCGTCCTTTCGAACATTCAGACATCAAAGCATTTCAGCGCGCCCAGTGTGAGCCAATAATCCGATGCGGGCGCCTCGCTCACTGGCGGGCAGCCATTACCTGCGAATGCACCACAGCCTTGGGGATGGTGTTGAGAAGCTGCCTCCTGACGAAATTGAGGTAGGCCGAAACTTGCGAAGCAATCTTCTTTAAATAATACTGACCACCCTGGTCGGACATGAGCCTATCGCTGATGTCCCTTCCTGCGCAAAGAGAATTGCAAATAGACAACACTCAGACACAAAGGACGAAAGCGCACGTTCAGGTATTGCCTGACAGAGCACGTAGTTCGCTGAAACAGCATAGCATGTCTCAATTGTGTGGCACAAGCATCATGGCCACAGGGGCCACATGCAAGGGGTTCTAAAGGGCTGAGATGAAATCGATAAACGCAGTTCCGAATGTGACAAAAATCAAGTGCACAGGGAGCGCAGCTTCAATTCACAACCTGGAACCGAGGTAACCAGGCCAGTGGCCATAATCCGCACCTGACAAGGTCTTAAACTCCTTCAAAGCGATCCTGGCTTCATCACTGGTGCTGGCTTTGGACTGCAGCTCCATGATGTGTCGGAAAATGTTGGCGGACAGATACGACGACTCCATCTCAACCAGAGTCTTTACCATCGTATGGGCGCCTTCCTTCAAAGCCTCTGCAGGCACAATCACAAAGTTTCTACCTAGAACGCCGACGGGCTGAAACACGATGGAGTCCCAAGCAGCTCATTGTCAGCAACGAGAGGTCCGATTTGAGCGACCATAGCCAAAGTAAGAAAGCTAGATTCGCTGAATGGGGGAACAAACTGCACCAACAATGTGCACAAAGACATTGCGCGATTCAGGTTCGTTGCTTGTGATATCGCAGTATTCAACATTCCCTCCAAAAAAGTTTCAGAACTGGACCAACAGCCAGGCAGTCATCAATCTTGATTTACTGTTAACCTAAGCAACAGATCATAGAATACCATGATGCCGGGCATGCAGCTCGCGACTTCGCAGAGACACAGCAAAACTGTTTGTTAACTCTGGAAAGGTCATCTATTCTGTCAATTTTGCTGTTTGCGCTAGACCATGCTATGAATTCGAGCACGGCTGCGGTTGAAATCGCGTATCGTACAATCTGCCTGGGTATGAATACACTGCAGCGAGCACATCAACGTTGTACTGCACTCTGCGGTCCTTTTTGAAGCGCCTCTATGAAGAGAAAGCACTGTACTCCGCGGTCCTTTGTGGAGCGCCTCTATGAAGGGAAAGCATGTCCTCAAAGCTGAGCCGGGTAGCAGTGTCAGAAAAGGATCTCTCAAATCCCTATCAAAACACCTCACAACCTTTCTTGGCCCATATGGTACCCACTGTATTATGGCACATTTCTCAGCGGTGCACAGACAACAATCGACATCGCAACTCACCGAGCCTGACTATGGCACAGTTCTGGATCTCTGCCACGAGCATTGAATACTTGGTCAGCCCGGCGCACTTCTCGCTCATCAAGGCCTTGTCGATAACGGACAGGAGGATCCTGTGGACCTCTTCCACAGCGCCCTGGGCCGGATCGCGCATCAGCAGCAATCCAGCCTCCAGCAGGCGTCGGTACCCAGCTTCAGGGGCGATCAGATGTGGCCTGAGGCCATCGGCCTCTGAAATGATCCGCCGCACGTTGTCCACAGCCAAGATGTCGTTGAAGGGCAGGGCATGCAGGTCGCTGTGCAGCTTCCTCTCAAACACCTCCAGAATGCGTTCGCCACCTGCAACAGGGAGGACTTTCAGTTGCCGTGGATGCTGTGTGAATCTGCAACACTGTTCAGCACAGCAGGGACACCGCTGGAGCGGGTAGTGCTGTGTGTGGGAAACAGGAACTGGCAGCTGCTCTTCAAGGTGACCTTCGCAATGTTCCATTCCATTCCCATCAAGGATCAAGGTGCCGACCATCCATGACAATACTCTGACATATGCCAGGACTCAAACGCGGAAACGCAACGTGTTTGTTGATCGTCTTTTATGCACGCATTAATCTTGCCACCTCTTTACTGCTTGCCTTTCGGTTCTACCTTGGTTGATGAGTGCAAAGCAACACTACTTGAATGCCACGATCCGATGCAAGAAGATTCAAATTAGCCAGAACTCAGGGGGGAAGAGGGACATGCTGCAACCAGGCAGCAAGTGTACAATTGTGCAACCTAGCATGCAATGGGAAAGGCTGGCTGTAGGAGTTTTTTCATACTGTGCACTTGACATGCTTTCGGCGTGGAGTGTTGCCGTTGTTAACACCAGAACAGATGGCATTCACATTGCATGTGTTGTCAACCATGTGGCCAGCAACCAAAGAAAGTGCACACCCCCTTTGCCCTTGTCCACCAGGTCCTTGAAAGCACACTCGAAGTCCCCAACTCTCTTCAAAATGAAGTGCAACATCTTTCCCCGAGAATCCATCACTGCCGGCCCAAGAGCTTCGCATTCACGTTCCAAGGAAATAATGCTGCAGCAGCCACCCAAAGCAATAGTTACACATACCCCACATAACCAACCTATCGTGTGCCAAAAAAATCAAAAGGTGCAAACGAAATCAGGGTCGAACAAAGTTTTAAATACCAACAATCAATATCATGAAAATGTAGAAAACTGTACCGCCTCCCATCCAAAGATAAATTTGTCAACACTAAAGTTTGCTGCATTTCGAGTTGATGCCGTCATCACCCAGCCACACAAGTAGCACATCAACAGGGACCCTAGGTGCATCCCACAGGTTGAATGCTTGCAATGTTCTTTCAGACAAATGGGACCTTGTGTGGTGGGCTCAATGCTGGACATTCTCTCTTGCTCGTCCTTTTGGACAATACTGGAACAAAAAAAGGGTATGACATTTGAGGCTGTGCACACAGTTGGAAGTGTGCTGGCAGCTTCACTGTTGATACTCAAATTGGCCTGATTAACAACCACTTACTCTTGCTTGATGGACGCCATGATCGACGGCAAGGCCTTCTTGATTTCTTGCAGCAAGTGCTTGCTCAGCTTATCTGCCAGAAACCCAGTGCCCACATTCTCCAGATGCCTGTAATTGCTGGCGCCATCAAAGAATTCCTTCTCTTTCTTTCGAGCGTCCTGCATGGTCATCTGTTTCCCGGAGCAGGCAAATTCACAAGCAAACTTAATTGATAAATCAAAAAGCTGACGTACAGCAATTAGCTTCAAATAACAGACTGATGACAGTAGGCAACAAGCTGCTGGCGTGGCGTTATCCTGTTGCAAAACACAATGAGAAAGGACTGTTTCGCTGAGGATTGAGACTGGCAAATTCCTTCCATGGTCGTTCCTTGACCATCGGTGACCAGTCCATGAGCCATGTCAAACAAGCATTCATCCTTGCAGCACCAGAAACCAACAGATTACCTGTGAAACAAAAGCAGGTAATCTGATCTTAGCAACGAGCATGTGAGAGTTCTATCAAAACGTTTCAATGGCGAATGGCACGGTGTCAGGAGCAATGTGGTGCCTGCCTTCTCCGCTGTTAGGTGCATGTTTTTTATTCACCCTGCAACGATAGTCTTGGCTGCCAGCATCCATGCCCGGGAAAATTCGAATGTGCTGCATGGACTATGACAGTGGACTGCCACAGAAAACATCTCCTTGCACTGCGCACACCCCACCTTGGAGTTAATGTCTGCTTGACCCCTGTTCACAACGCCAACCCAGCCATGTTTCAGCCGCAAGGTGTCGCCCTCTAAGATATCACGAACAGATGTTCCTCTATCCATGATGTCAATCTTGGTGAGAACACCGATCGTGCGGTCGCCACTAGGATCCACATCCCTGGCCAGCCTCAGTGCATCAGAAGTGGCCAGGTCTGCATTTGCAGGCGTCACTGCCAGAATGACAGCGCTCTCCACAGTGACGTACTTCCTCACCATGTCTTCTATGTCTTGCACGATGGTGGCAGGCTGCCCATCGATGGGTACCTTTGTCAAGCCTGGCAACACAACAGAACATTCACATCACAAAAATTCGCATGACAACGTTCAGTGCCGTGTCGAAATTGAATCCTTCCGTGCCCCATCGTCTCCTGATCGATGCACACAAATGCAACGTTTCACATCAGTATTTGCATGACTACCTTATTGCACACATGGGTTGTAACTCCAGTTTCCTTGCAGTTTCCAGCTGTGTGTCACTGCACCAGCGCCACTCTTAGCAGCATCCACCACGTCTGAGTTACGGGCATTTGCACAGATGACTCCAGGCGTCGACGACTGCCTGTGGCTCAATCCATCACCCTCTGAGACGAGGAAATCTGTGCCACATAGGATAAACCCCTCCCCAGCATGACTGTCCCATACTCAGAGGACGAAGCCAGATGAAAGAACCTGCACATCCGCCAGAGGAATAAAATACCTGGCATATCCACAAGCGTCAGGTTGGGCACGTTTGGAGATGAGACGGTCAGGTGGATGGGCTCTGGCGAGACCGCCTTCACTGCCTTGTTCCCCAGTGCTCGGTCTGTCTCGTCCTCAATCTCCTGACGGATTTTACCTGCAGAGGGTGCACAACGAATGAGTACTGTAGTTGATCATAACCTGCGCAGCATATGCTCATCCGGCAGCGCGCAGAGAGCGCCTTCAACAAAAAGAAACTAGGGCGCCCAATGCCTCACAGTCAAAAAGCATAGCACAGTGGCTGGGCTGCCCTGAATCAGCTGGGCAGACAACAAACAACCAAATCTGGCAAACCAGTCGTGCTCCCACAAAGCCAGCGAACGTGCCCAAAATTGCTCTGCTGCCCCACAGGGCAAGAGTGCGCGGAAGCGTTCCGTTTCCAACAGCGCCACAGCACGCAAACCCTGGCCCACATCGACAATTTCATTTCATTGTGGCCGTTCCCTCATCGCAAATCGCGACTCGCAGGCGCACGCAGCCGCTGCAGCGTACCGAAGTCGTAGTATTTCTTCCCTTTGTAGTGGGGGAATTCGCCGAACTCCTGGGCGTCCTTGTCCTCCAGGTGCACCAGCTGGAGCACCAGCGGCCGTCGGGTGACGATGCCCGTGCCCCGCGGCAGGAAGTCCTTGCCCACCACGGCCTCCAGCACCGAGCTCTTTCCCGAGCTCTGCGCCCAGACGGTCGCCAAAGGTCGTCAGGCGCGGCGCGTCCGAGTTCAGCTCGCAGTTCGCATGAGCCATCGACTCTCGGAAGTGCGAACATCCGCTGCGACGCAAATCCCAGGCGCAGGGCGAGATTTGCAGCCGAGCGGCCCACAGAGGGCGATCGAATGAGATCGAAAGGCAAAGATTCGCGGCGGCGGGTTTTGGCCACGGATCTGAACGGCGACTGCCACCCAATGCGCATTCACTGTGCACGGTGGCCGAGTCGCCCCAAAAGGTCATAAAGCCAAGCCCCGGCCGTGGAAACCGACCCACACCTCTGCAGCACCCAACCCCTGCCCTACTGCCACGCAGCATCAAGGCGCTGAGCTCCATCTCCGCCCATTTCCCCGCAGCTCCCCCCCACCCCACCCCAACTCCAACTGCAACCGCACCCCCCTGTCCACAGGACCCCCGCCCCGTACAACAGCACCTCCCCCCATGCCCTCCCATTCCCACCCCCGCCCCCCAGTCCCCGCCCGCCCCGCCCCGCCCCCGCCCTCCCCCCGCCGCCCCACCTGCCCGCCAATCACGACGATGCTCGGCAGGCGCTCCCACAGCGACGGCAGCTGCCGGGGGCCGTCGTCGCCCACCGTGTCCCCCAGCACCGTGCATGCCGCCTGCAGACGGCTGACCAAGCTCACGACGTTATCCATGCCCGCCGCGGCGCCCCGCGCCCGGGCGGCAGCCCCCTGGGTCTCCGCCCGCCCACCCACGCCCCCTGGGCGCAACCCGTCGCCCTGGTGCGCCCTTTCAGATCGACCAGGGCGGCGATTTTGGCGATCGGAAGCGATTGATCGCCGCGGTCGGTCCTGGCCTCGCGCTGCCGCCGCGGCGAAGCGGAGGTGGGCTGCTACCCGGGCGGCGCGGAGGGCGACCTCCGGCGGGGTGCGGACGGGGAGGGGGAGGCAAATCCTGCGTGTTGGTTTCTGACGGACTCCCTCAGGGTGTACTTATGCGTGGGCCACCGGCGCATTTGCAATCGGTCGGGCGGCGTGCCGTGGTGGATTACTCTTGCGGCGGGCGGCCTTAGGGCCCACCGAGCACGTTCACAGCGTGCGACAAGCAAAGCGCCGAAGTACCGAAGATGTGGCGGCTCTTCAGGCGTTGACACGTTGGGGTTGAGAATATATTACTCCCCGTTCTTGTTTGCTGAATTTCGGTTCTTGTTCCGCTGACAAGGCCAGTCCCGGTGCGTGGATCAGTAGTTGGGGTTTAGGGTGTCTGAAAACAAGAACCGAAATTCAGCAAACAAGAACGGGGAGTAATTTTATGCCCGCTGGGGTTCGAGGTGGGGCTGCGTCGGAGGCAGGCATGGCCATGGCTTGGAGACACAGGTGAGTGAACAGATTACAAAGAAATCGCGGACGGGCGTGTCCCTTTGTAGTCGTACAACCATCTGTCGATCATGGACCGGTCACCGCCATATCAGCGTCGGGTGAGGTCCACGGAGAGAATATATTACTCCCCCTTCTTGTTTGCTGAGATTCGGTTCTTATTCCGCTGACAAGGCCAGTCCCGGTGCGTGGATCAGTAGTTGGGGTTTAGGGTGTCCGAAAACAAGAATCGAATCTCAGTAAACAAGAACGGGGAGTAATTTTATGCCGTCCACGGATGTGCAGCATTTCTTGTGACGAGCCGCTGATGATTCAAGCCCTTTTGGGGGGCGAGGCTATTTCGAGCATGTTGTTGGCCTGTGGCTGACGGGCCCGGGGCGGGGCCTGACGTCTTGTGCAGCTGCCAACTGCTTAAATTTGCGGAACCTCGTGGAGACAACTCGGCGGACAGAAGCTTCGAGGTTTCAGCCTACAAGGCAAACCCCCCGCAGAACTGCCGCACATGGAGCAACAGTGTTTCGAACAAGGCTTGGTTCCTGCGAAGGTTGTCCAGGGACTTTCCAATACTGCGGCCGATTCGGAAAGAGGCCTGTCTCGGTGCACCTGGCCACTCCTTCTTTTGCTGAACGAATACGGCCTTGTATTCTCTGGGACTATGTCATGGAGTCATTCGGACTGGGCGCAGATGTCGGGGCCAATTTACGCTGATCTGGACGTCTGGTCGCCAGTGCGAAAGTGCAGAAAGCAGGCCGCGTGGTACTGCGCGGAAGATGGATCTGCTGGTCTGAAGCCTTCTCAATGCCTGTATCAGTTTTCATCAATTAAGATATTAGGGTCAAACTTAAACGCTGTGGGGAAATTGCGGCGATTTTCTGACAAAGCAACAGCGCGCAGGGGAGTAAATGGGTCCGTCGAACTCCAGTCGTTGAGGGTTCTCACCGAACCAAATCTCACTCAATGCTGTAAGTAAGCCAACAGATGATATTACTTTTTTCAAAGTTGCGCTTTTTCCACGTTCATAAACATAGATGGACAAGTACGTATTTGTCCATCTCCTTATGCTGCATGCACGTGGTTGGAGCGCGCTTTCCTGCCAACAGAAGATTTGAGATATGCGGAGACAAACAAAGAGAGCAGAAAATCACAGACACGCCAAAAGGACAACACTAAATGCATATGCAAGGTATAAATCCAGGAGCGATAATATATTGTACGTTGTCATCTCCAAGATGCCGCGCGATGGACTCACAAGTCACTGCCACCGTGTCTCAACGCCACTGACCGCAGCAAAGCAAGATTTCCATGAAGCAACATCTTAATTCCCATCATCCACATCCTCTTATCCTGGATGCTTTCTACCCACAGATTGATTTTATTACCCTTCATAAGGACTACAAAACCAGGAATGACGGCCTCGCTTCCTATGCTGCGCTCTTTGTGACCATGTCCCTCGCCGTCTCCTCCATCTACCTCATTTGCAAAGACCTCACAGATTCTTTCGTCCCCCGCCAAAATCTGTCCCGCATTCGAATCGCTGCTGCACCCGCGCCCCATGAATCGAACAGGGCAGTCAGGACGCCCCCTGATGCCCTTTAGCTGAGACACGAGCACGAATTTGTGACTGCTTGAAAAGCCGGATTTGAACATCAACCTGGTTAGGTCATCCGTGAGGGACATCTCAACCGCGGGGCCGACACATATCGTGTTGTCACGCTCCCAAGGACAAACAGGGGAATGCGGTCTTCGGGAATTGGGCTGCGCCCTGCACAGAGGCCCGTCCCCGTACACCGTTGTCCCTGCCATCATAAAGTGGAGGAAACGGAGCTTGGGCAAAATATGAATGTCCTTGATCCGCAGTCCCACAGGATTCTCTGGAGACGTTGAACCGATTCTCCAGACGTAGTTCGTTTTGCGCCTCGCGTTGTCTCGATTGGGCAACACGCCCTGTTGCCCAGCGCTCCGAGAGCGCCTTCCGACCGGCACCTCTCGCTGCCTGTTTTCCTGACTTTGAGAGCCCTTTTCGACATCTGATTCCCGGTGCTCAGCCCTCACCGATTGCCGACATTCCGCATCCAGGCAGTGGAGATGTTTGCCGCACTGATGTTTACAGCGGGAATTCGCGCCAGGAGGCAGGGAGTGGGATGCATTTGCGCGGCTGTTTGAAGGGCAGTTTGAAGCGGGTGTTGTGATCCCGCTCAAAGTACGCTTCTCTTCGCTCAAAGATGTGCCTCTCAGCTTCTTGGCCGCTGCCGGTTGCCGCTGACTGCTGGGAATCGATCCGCAGTGAATAACGCTCGGAGAAACATGCTGAGGAATTCCTCCCGTGGCATATTCGTCCGCCATAAATCCACCAGGACCCTCAGCGCCAGCCTCATCGGCGGCGCTTGCCTCAGATTCGCTGGCCACGAGCGACTCTCCGCTGATTGTCTTCATCCGCACGGGCCATTTGCCGTTCCCATCGTGAGGCTTTGGTATCTGCTCTGCCAAATGTGGCACAGGGCAGTCTGCAGCGCCGTTGAAGATTGATCCGATACTTGTGTTGGTGGCGGTCCGACTGCAGCCGACATTGCTGACTGCGGCAGCTTTACCTTTGCTTGGGAAAGCGGGGTGGCCCCTGTCTTCCATCTGAATCGAATCGCCGATCTTGGATTCAAGCTGATCAGGACCAGCTGCCTCTGTATCATTAAACCTTGCTTCTGCTGGAAATCTACCGACTCCAGCGCACGCTTGGGGATTTTCACGCTTACTTTGCTGCTGCTTACTGGTATCTCTACTACCGGGAGTCTTTTGAGTGCCGAGTACTACATTTACATTGTCCGAAGCATTCCTAAAAATGGTACTGCCGGCGTTGGCAATGCATATCATTTTGCCTTTGAGTCTTCTGGCTTCGTTGATGGCTACGCACCCCTTCGCTTTCAGTATCGATGACCGTGGTCTCAAATTTCGATTTTCACTATTTAGCGGCCCTGATCGGCGCCTCTCTCTGGAAACGTGCCGTCTTAAATGAGTGTCACTGTCAATATCTATAGACATGGTTTTATCTGGCGTCACTCGATTGTCCTCCGCGCCTTCGGAGCTCGACGCATCTTGCGCTTCTCGATGAGAGGGACGCCTTTTTCCAGCTGTAGTCTTTAAATCTGAAGCCGCAGTTTCTTGATATTTCTGGCAACAAATTATGTCAGCGGTTTCAGTTGCATATTCTAAGTTTTCTGCCACCTGAACGGTCTTCTTGTCGCCTCTGCGTAAACGCAAATCCAAACCCAGTGTCTCAAGGCCCCCTTCTTGGCGACCGTGACCAAAATATCTCGGACAACTATCTCTTTGATGCCCATCACCATTCAGGTCGACAATCGACTGACTGCGATGTTTTATCCCTGATTCATTCACGCGCTGCGTACCTTCGATGGTTGAAACATCTCCCAAACAATCTGATTTTTGCGTTCCGTCGCATTTACCATATGTATGGCGGGGCATTTGACATATATTTTGTGCAGCTCTCTCTGTAGTCGGATCCCTCGATTGGCTGCCCAAAGACAAGGGAAGTCGTGGTTGATCTAATCCCTGCTGCGTCTGCACACTTGCAATCGCTGTATCGTTTCCGATGCGGTCATTCTGCCGGGAACAGGAACAAGGCAACTTTCTTTTGCTTTCGCACGGACGACATTCTCCCTGAAGAATGGGTGTACCGGGAGAACAGCTGTGCTGTTTGCCATCCAGTCTGTCCCCTTTCGCCGGTGTGGAGATTTCCCTACATTGTGCTTCAGGAATTGCGCTCCCGTCGGGCCTGCTGTCTTTCTGTTGATCTTGTTTTTGGCATCGGCTTCTTAGAGGCTGGCACTCCATGAATAAATGATCTAGGGATTGCGAGGCATCACAGGCGCACTCCAGCGGTGCACAGATGGAGTTGTATTCATGCAGGCTGTTCTCCTTGCCATCCTTCGAGGTAACGAATTGCCTATGCGCATCTAGCTCTCTTAAGATATGAAAGCACTCACTTTCAACATCTTTAATTTGGCCCATTTGATAGTTTAGGAAGCATTCGATTTCCGAGATGTTTCTTGCACCTGGTGAAACAAGCACATGGAGGCGGTTTGCAGATTTTGCATCTTAAATAGATGCAACAATGCGTCACGCTTACGATATACTGAATAACCGAAGTGTGGAACTTGGTACATGGGGAATTTTTGCAAGATATATTGACAACATTCCAGCACTGGTAAATATAAGAAACAAATCGCAGAACTTTGCGGTTAAGAGCTTTCTGATGTGAGGCGGCGATCAATCTTAGAATTCAACAAATGTCAATGTCAAGGGGTAAAATGACGGTATCAGATTACAAGACATGCTACACTGATTCAGTGCGGTGCTCTTCAGAAGAGCACCCAAGCATCAGAGACTCACATAGAAACGGCTTATGCTCAAGCATAAAATTCTTCTCCATATCCACTGTAAATGCGGCGTCAGTTACTCTGCAGGAAATTTCCAGTAAGCGCAACCTGCTTGCACACAATACTTCAATTGATGCCGGTGGCACCACTTACATTGGCCGGCAGTACACTAAAACAGCTGTGCATTAACACCTGTACATTACATATTTCAATATACATGATTATACGCTGATTTACAGGTCAAGTGTTCGCAGAGCACACTTTGTAACGTCTCTAGTTGGGTTTTGCGCTCTCTCGCACGCAACCCCCTCGTGGTCCTCGCTAGGACACACATCATCAATCATATTTTGCGAATGACCTCCACCCGTTACTCTGAGAGCATCTGAAGAATGGGTAGTTCAATCAAGTGCCATCATATTTATCTTATGATTGGAAGCAACTTATATTAATGCAGTGCAACATAATAAAGGGCACAATATAATTGAATGCAGCACTGCGATGTAGTACTTTAATACATGATGCAATACAATGCAGCCAATGCAGTCATACCTGAAATCACTACTGGAATACATTGTTTAATCAAAACAACAGAAAGAGCAGGGCGCCGAGTTCCATCAAGATCCGCGTTGCTTTTCACCGTGTCCAGGTGCAAGCAATATTATGAATTTGATCATTTGTCCACTGGCGTGTATTAGTGCTTGTCAATAAGCAAACACATGTCGGCGTTGGGCACGAAAATTGATATACGTCAGGTGTAAACTTACCTGATATTTTGGAGGTAGGGATCCATATTGGACATCGCCAATGGGCGCACCGCGGCTCTTACAATATGCGTATTTTACTGTCTCGAATACGTTTGCGAGCTGAGGCGAAATGCATGCAAGCTCCCTCGGAGCCGTTCCAGCCCTGTCGTGGCTCGGTGTATTTTGGATCTCTCTCTTCTTCCTTGTTTCAGCGAGATGCCCTCCTTGCACCCCCAAGTGTTCACCCCTGGATTGTACTGTGAACAGAAATGAATGATCGGCACACGTAAAATTTCCCATGTGACTTACCATTTCCTCAAAATACAATCCACATTGTACCTTCAATGCAAGTGCATTCACCTTTTCAATGCTGTGTACGGATTATCATCAAAACAAAGAGAAATATAAAGTACCCGTGAGGCACTCAAATAATGCCTCTGTGCAACACTCTCTGTCGGTAAATTGTTATTAGTTAGATAGCAGCAGGTGTGGCACATATGCAGCATCCGTTAGACCAATTGCAGCAGGCGCGTGGCCTGCGCGCGTTGCATATTTGCGCAATGCTAGTGTCATCGCCTATGCCATTTTGTTATTATTGCATCCTGTCAAACTGATGACACATGCAACACAGCGCTGAGCATTGCACATGCTGCACCTTCTGTAACGCCAATATTGAGAGAGCAACTAACGAAATTATCTTCACCTCCACCATTATTGTGAGCCGAGGTGAAAGTCTTCAACCTAGATTGATTTGTAACTACCAGGGGAAAATCCCAGAACCACGGAGGGACAGTAAAGGCATTCGCTCTTGTGCCAACACCACCACTTAGGATGTCCCTAAATCTGGGCGCGAACGTTTGTATACTGAGACTTGTATTTGTATCCCTAAAGACTCAGGCACAAACATAGAAATAATGCTCAATTGATCTTGTGGGCATCGATGCTCATAATGATATCATCTGGGATACATTGAATTGGATTGAACTTACCTCTGCTTCAGCATACGTGTCATTTCAGTGATTTAAACCACATTTTTACACTTGAGCTTAAGTGTGCACATGAACGGCCATCAACGCCTTTCCCAAGGGTGTTTCTGGATTGCCAACAGTCGTCAGGCTGTATCCAACATGTCAATTTATGCCTGCTCACTCCACGCGTCAATTTTGGTGAAATCGCTGACCCTCGCAAATGCGGATTTAGCACACATGGGGGCGTACTGCTCTGTGATGCAAACTGGATTCTTGCTTCCGGAATCCCGTTCCTGTCGGAGCCTTCGGCAGCGCCTGCCCGGCAGCAGCCCCTGAATCCTGACCAGCGACTTGCTCCCTGAAGAGCAGCCATGTTGAATTCGAAAGTCAGCGGAAGAAGCAATCGGCATGCCCTCATGCTCAGATGTTCATACTTGCCGCTAACTGGAAAGGCGTGTACAGCGTCGCGTGGCGAAGGGGAGATGGAGCGCCTGTGAAGAGAGGCCGAGATAAACAAATTGCGTTGTTTGGTCCCAGCGCTGTGCCTGGTACGTGACACTCGATCACAGTTGTCAGAAGAGTGCAGCCAGAACGGCACTACTCCGGTACCCATTCCCCATGTCATCACCACCACCATTTTTCACAGATCAAGGCAATGAGGTAGTCGTCAGCCTCTATTTTGCAGCGTCAGCGGAGTTAAATCGTTTATGTCTAGGACGGCTCAGGGTGGCAAGTGCCAGATTCGGGTGTGGAGGGGAGATGGCGCTTCTCTTATTACTACAGGACAATTTCAATTCGGTTGCGGGGTAATAGGCGTGGGGACGCGCCCTGCCGACTTGGCAGCCAGCTTGGACCGAATTTTGTGTTCCGGTTTCTGGACTCACTGGCGGAGGAACCAAAAGGCGGCGTGCGCTAGTGAGCTGCGTCCCTTTTGTTGCCCCACGGCAACATGGGCTGCTGCACTCGGGCGCGTTGGAGATGCGTATAGCTCTACAGCGCTTTTGAGCGCTGTGGCTGCCAACTGTGATTGGAATTGCCTTGTGATTGTGGTTGCCTCGACATTGGGGACACACAGACCGAAAAGGCAATGCATCATGCCCGAGTTCTGGATTTCCTTCCTTGCATATTAGTTTATTTTTGTATTAGTGGGATTTGATTTGGGACTTCCAGCGCGTGTGCGGCTCATTGCCCCCAAGGGCGGGAGCAGCTGGCCGTTACACACATAAGCCCGAGCAAAATATCCCCCGTTTGACAACGTTGCGCATTTTTGTCGTCACAGCGCTGTGACATTATTGTCCTTCACCGTGTTGCCTGCAGGATTGTCGGTGCTTGCGACTCCTCGCCCCTCCCCCTCGCCTGCGCCCCTCCCCCTCGCGCACGCGATGAACACGCCGACCCCGTCCGGACCGCCACGCCCCGCTCTGTCCTCCCGAATTCCCACCAGCGAACACCCACACCACTCACAGCCAGCGAACCAGCTTGACGGCCAATTCGACCAATAGCCTTCCCCCCTCCCCCCCTGCCGGCCCTGTCCCCTGCAACCAGATCACACGCCGTGCCCCAACTCACCCGCTCACTGGCCGCTCCCCACCCGCTGTGGGCACTGCGCAATGTACTCCTGAGCACAAGCCCGACTGGACGTCAGCCCAGTCGCCCTGCAGCTGGCCTGGGGCGTGTGACCGCATCCCGCGGTTCAGTCATCCCCAGGACTGGACCAAATGGGGGTCACGCCCGCGTTCACCGGGGACCATAACGTAAGTGGCGGGGGGGGGGCAAAATGTACAGGCGCCTGCAGCAGGCGGATCCGCGTTGCCGCGCGCTGGCACAGGACACGGGCGGCCGCTCGAGCTGCGCACCGACTGCAAAGTCAGAGGCTGCCGGCCGCCGCAGGCCGGCGCCGCGGCAAAAGTGGAGCCGTTTGAAGTGGCGGGGAAGGGGATGTCGGTGGGCGTCCCCGACTGGGCCCCGCCAAGGGATCGGGTACGGCTGGGTGACACGTGAGCAGGGTGGTCCAACGCGAGGATACGATCGCACAGCCGGCGTCTCATCTCCGCGCAAATTTGAGGGTGAAGCTCTGCGCCGGCCTCCGCGCGCAGTTTGGGCGCTCATGGGGGGAGGGCTGCGACTGTGCGTGCTGCAGGGCTTGTGTGTTTCTGCTCACTCGCCGCTCGGTTGCTCCAGATCGGCGCCGCGTACATCAGCTTCGTGCTGCTGGGCGCCGGCGTGCTGGCGCCCTGGAACGCCTTCATAACCGCGGTGGACTATTTCGCGGAGGTTTACCCGGTGAGTGGGCGCCAGGCGCGCGGAAAACTGCCCCTTGCGCTTCACACCTGGCGTTGTCGATAATCAGGTTCAGTTCTCGTGCGTGGAGCGTACTGCCGCCCTCGGCTTGGGGACGGGGACCTGCGGGTGGGGGCGGAAATGGGTTCGCGAGTTGGCGGGGGAGGCTCAGGGATGCCACAGCGCGTGTTGGACAGTGGTGGAAGTCGGCTGGCGGGGACGGATGCCGCGCGGCCGCGGCGGTGGCCGAGTGAGGGAAAGGCCGCCGCGCGTCGTTGCCTGGTCAGCGGTACCGCATTCGAGGTAGTAGCGGCCTGTGTTGTTGTCTAATTCCTGCCTGTGGATGGGCGATGGTTCGTTGTGATTCTGACTGTGTCGGGCGCCGAGCTCCAGATGGCTCTGCTTCGAACGTCTGCCCGTATGTCATCGACGCATCGACGCGCGTGGCCGGCGCTGGGTTGATGTGGCGGTGCGTGTCGGCAGTTTGGCATCAATTTTGGGCAGGCGATCGGCGGTCGGCATGGCAGCGCCTGGGGGCCGTTGTCTGGGCCTGTTTCGAGGGCGCGCTGCCCTGTCGCAGTTTGCTGAGGAATGCGTGTTCACGCCCAGGGGGGACACATGGACCGCAAAATCACCGTGTGCTACATGCCGGCGATGCTGATCACAATGCTGGTTGTGATTCGTTTCCACACAATGTTGTCGAGCCGGCTTCGGATGATCGTGGGATTTGCTGGGTTCACCGTCTTGCTGATGGCGGTTCCAGTGGTGAGTGGAGGAACGGAAGCTTTGGTCGGAAGTGGAGTCGCCATAGAGTGTATCCTTTTCCAGCCGCAGGCTCCGTTGTGTGTATTTCGGAACAGCCAGTTTTGAATCTGCACAATTCAATTTATCCCTTTTTGTTTTCCTGACTTGTTGCAATTTCAAACTCTTGGCACTCCACTGTACAAGATATATCCCCAGCGTACATATTCCTGTGTGTGCAAATCACACACGAGAACGCCAGGGTTGTAATAAAATGCATTTTATGCAATCTTTTGGTTTCACTTTCGCTGTGGCTCATCGCCACACACCGTGCAGGAGCCATTCCACCCATTTCTGTCAAGGGGCTTGCATTTAGGATCCGAAGATGGGACGCAAATCCACAAAGAAATGCGACTACCTGGAAGCCGTAAGGAAAAAGGAGCATTTGACACAACTTTCTTGGAGCATCCATCTTGAATTTCGACAGTATTTCACTGCTGGACTCAAAACAATTGTTTGAAAATATTCAGGCAAGCCACTACACTGGAAGGTTGTTCATACAATGCTCACTCATTGCCATGCATTTTCCAGGTGGATGCGCTATTCGTCAAGGAATCGTCAGCCCCGCCCATCGCCCAGGCATTGACGTTAGCGGCTGTTTGTGGTACGGGAATTCTTGATGGGCTTGCACAGGGGGCTGTTCTTGGCGACGCAGCATATCTGCCAGCAAAATACCAGCAGGTGGGTGCTTCGAGGGGCTGATGGACGTCCAGTGCTTCACCGTCGTCAGTGAGGTGTCGTTTGTGCGTCTGTTGTTGAAACAGTTTCAGGTTGTCGCATTGTGAAGAAAACACTCAATTTAGGCTGTGTGTGTGTGTGTGTGTGTTGTAAAGCTTAGACCTGATGGCACAGGAAAGTCAGTGGTCACCAGAAATTATACTGGAGAGACCAATGTTCAAGTCTCACTTGACATATGTGCTTGTTTGGTACAATGCTGACGACTTCACAAGAAATTGGTACTAGGAACACCCCTCTTGCTTTCAAAAGGAATTGCAATTCAGTGGAACTTGAGCAACAATGGTCGACGCCACGATTATTTTGAAACATACTGATCGCACCGTTTTCCCGTCGAACAAACGATGTTGAATGTTCTATTTTGGGAACTCCAGTCACTGTCATAAAATGTGGCAAGAAAAACGGGTTTCCCGCGGTTCTTCTGCCTATGTTCAAATTAATAAAATGTTTAATAAAATATTCAAAAACAGCGTGTTTTCCGACGTACCTTCGTTGGGGATGGGGCCAGATCGTGGCAGGGCAGCCTTGTTTCGGCATCGAATTCACCAGCCCTTTTACGGATGTGATTTCATATGGTCACTTTATTAATCGGTGTTGCTCATGCCGTCAGGCATTTGCGAGCGGGACAGCTGTTTCGGGCGTGTTGATATCCCTGTTGCGCATCTTCACAAAACTCGGCTTTGGGGACAGTTGGCTGGGCCTCAGGCGGAGCACCATGCTGTACTTTATTGCCGCCCTCGCCGTGACGTCCCTCTGCCTGTTCCTGGCGGCTTACGTCGTTCCCAGGCTCCCAACTGTGCTCTACTACCGCGACCTGGCAAGGCTGCGCGCGTATGGGTCAGGTACGTTGGATGACTCATCAATTGATGGCGTCGAGGGCCCTGCGGCTTGACCAGTGCACTGCTTCCTCGTTGTCCGTGCGCTATCTGTGCGCCAAGTACTGCCGAAACTGCAGCAGCGTCCAATGTTCCACCAGAACTTGTGACCTGAGGCCTGTGCATCACGGCATGGAAGTCTATGCACGGTGCGTTCTTTTGCCGGCCTCAGCGTGCCTTTTGTCGATTTGCTGTACTTCTTGTGTGCTCAGTATTGTTACCACATTGTTGCAGAAATATGTGGCAACGCCGCAGGTAGTAGGGTTTGAAACTAGCTGACATCAGACGGGTGTCGCGCTCAATTTGCGAGCTCCCGGCTCACCGAGCGTCAGGTGAAGGAACTCTCAGACAATGGTAGTATATAGAGCTGTCACTGGTAATACGAGGACATTGCAAGCATTTGTATATCGTATTGCCATGGTGCAAGTATGCTCTGATACCTGTGCGATGTCCTCTTGCTGAATTTTGGAAATTCTGTCTTGTGTTCGCACCACAGTTGCTTCCTAAGAGTGCTCTTCTCTCGATTTTCAAACCCTTTATGGCCCGCTATTTTTGTGGACGGGACTAGCCCTGGCTGGGTAGATGCAATGGGCCACAGTTGATGGAATTACTGCTGATCACCAACGCTGAACGCCGACACAACAGCGTTGCATTGGTGTATTGCCACCATGTGGACCGCCTTGTGTAGGCGGATGGTTCATCAGCAGTGTGGCCCTTCCTTTTGGCAACATGTACTGCATACAGCCCCAGTTGCAAAGCACCTGCCAAGACATGATGCCCTTCACAGATGCTGTTCAGATCAACGTTCAGTGCAGCACTTCCCCCAAGAGATCACTCAGCAATGTCAGACCCTGCCTGCTGCCACGCAACACCCAGTCTGGAATGCATGTGGGCAACCCTACTCCCCAGGATGAGCAATTCAGTCCCCGTGTCTCCCACAAATTGGACAAACGTCGCTGTCCACAATGGAATGAAGTGCTGATCAGCAGAGCTGAAATTTTGTGGTGAAATCAATGGACCTTGGCAAGACTGTGAGCGCATTGACCCTCGAATGTGCATGTGTGTTGTGGTGGCAGGCGTGCTTCCAGAGCAACTGAAACTGGGAGGCGAACTCGATGTTGCCAGCTATGATGAGGATGACGAGGAGTCAAGCATGTCCTCCATGGAAGGGAGCCACAAGAGGGCGGTGGGCACAAAGTTGGCCAGCATGGAGGAGACAGCTACTGTCATTGCTTTGGCGGAACGTGGCCAGAAAATGGCACATGGCGCACAGGTGAACTTAGCTCAGCATCCCCACCCACTGTGCGCAAATGGGCCATGATCTGTCCACTTCAATTTTGTTGGGAGTTCTGAGGATTCACGCATACTTTCTCAGTGTGGCACATTAGCGTTGTTGTTGGCCATTACTTGGCAAAAACGGAACCAAAACCATCAGGGACTAACAACGCTTGTCCGTGGACAGCGCCTGGGCAACGCCCAAATGGGTAATGGGCAGAAACTTGTCACTCTTGGCATGTGTAGCCAATGGGCGTGTTCCTATGCAACGCCGACCTAAAACACTGTACATTTTATGTGTGAGGATCTCCTGGTGTCGCCTACAGCGTCCATGGGCAGTGATTTGTCATGTGCTTGCAGATGTGACTGATGGAATTGAGCGTGCAGGTGAACAGTGCCGACGAGGAGGACGACAGCGCGGCGCTGGTGCAGGGAAGTCGAAAGAAAACGGACTACCTGCAGCTGGCCTACAAAATGAGGCATCACTTAATTGGGCTGGTCACCGTGTACACCGTCACGCTCACCATATTCCCTGGAGTGGTGGCGGAGGACGTCCACGTGAGTGTGCTTGGCTCAGCCAGTGTCTCCTTGCCTCTTTTCCTTCCTGTACTTCAGGGTTGAACATCATGCTCGAGATATCAGATCTGCACCCACCCCTGAAGACACATGAACCTTACCCAAACCTTTGGAGGAATCGGAAGTCCAGTGCTTTCTGGCAGTCTCCTTTTCCCATTTGTCAGCTATGCCCATTTTCTACGATGCTTTGACCGTGCGCATTGACGCGTCAGCGATTCCGATGGGGAAGCGAGCGACACCGATGTGTCTGAAGTCGTTGCCAGACTCGCTTTGCTTGGGCCAAATAGGAAGCTGACGGCTACCTCGTTGCCTTGTTCTACAAAAGTGATGATGATGATGATGATGATGATGATGATGAAGTCGTTGCCCAGCCTCCTGATTCACCCGCACTTCATTGCATCGAGTCGTGCTGTCGCTGACGTGGCCATCCTTGCCTTCCCGCGCAGTCCGGCAGCTTGGGAGATTGGTACAACGTTCTCCTCGTCACAGCCTTCAATTTCGCCGACCTGGCCGGCAAGACGCTCCCCGCCTTCACGCCCGTGATTCGGGCCCGAAGAAAATTCGTGGCGTGGAGCGGCGCCCGGGTGGTCTTCCTGCCCCTCTTCTACGCCGCCGTGATGATCTTTCCCGACGGGCACCCCGGCGTGATGACCCTGCTGGTGGTCGTGCTGGGGCTGTCCAATGGTTTCGTCACCACCAACGCCTTCATGGAAGCGCCTCGGGGGCTGCAGGGCCAGGAGGTCGACCTGGCAGGCAGCCTGCTGGTCCTGGCCCTCTCGATCGGCCTCCTGATCGGGGCCGGCGGCGGCTGGCTGTGGCTGCTCGTGGAGAGTGTGTAAGCGAGAGCGGTAGACAGTGTCTGAGGTTGTGGGTTCAGGTAGGAGTTGTGCAGGGGGTGCGTGGGGGGCGGGCAGTAGTTGATACAAGGAACGAAGCGATGGTTGCCAATGTACTGATACACAGGGGTGCGGGGGGATGTCCTGGGTCGTGAAACATTGGACTGCAGATGAACGACTTGCCTGCATCGGGCGCACGCATGCAGTTGGAAGCTGGTTGCACTAATGGGGAAGGGCACGTCGGGGACAAGAAACACTACAGCACATGCAAGTAGGCAATGTAATCCATTTCATTTTGGTGTTGACGACGCGGGGCTGCAGCGGCAGTGGAGTGGCTGGGTACTCGATACCGGACATTGGATGCATGTGGTCACCTTCCAACACTCTGTCGGGCCACCCGAGTTTTGGCAACTGTGCACCATATCATCAGTACATCGTTGGGACAGCCTCTGGGGCAACGAAAAGCGGCCGACTCCGTCAGCATCTCCGGCCCTCTGCATTTGAAGTCAAATGCGAAACTCGAGCTCCTCAACTCAAGAGGAATGCCACCCGTCACCCGCTCTCATCAGCATCAGCCACAGATAAGTGGGGCTGAACTGATGAACAGCTCTGCCATTGGCGGCGTAAGATGTTCAAAGGGAATGGTTCTCTCACACCTTCGCTCTCCCACTGCAATCCGCTATATCCATGGTCACACGATCCGTTCGAGCTCCTTGGCGTAAATCAGTGCCTTCTTGATCAGCTCCATGGACGACACGTCTTTTCTTCTGGCGTCCGCCTCAGGCTGAAACCTGATGTAGCCATTCTCGACTTCCCAAATGGACTGCACACCCAACACAGTCATTGACATCAGCAACAATGCGCGACCAGGACAGCTCCCAAATGGTGCCGCCTGTGACCATGGTCTCAAGTCGGATGGCCAGTCCACAATCATGAAGTGATCACGATTCATGACCTGCCAGGTCCGAAACCAACGTCAGCCAGCGAAAAGAGCCCACTGGCGGAGCTGCAGGATACAAACTCCGAATGCTGGTGCATCAACGATGTGTTCTTCCAAACACAGCGTCAAACAAAGTCGTCAATGCTGCCATCAGATCCCAGGTGCTTAGTGAAATGCTTGTTTGGATGCATTTGCCAACATTCATATAACAATGCCCATGCTCTCACAAGGCGGCGATGATGGTGGCTTTGCGAGCCACAGCCGGCATTTGACGATGGAGATTCAGGACCATTTTTAAGCGCCGCTCTTGATTCATATATCCTGTCAGCAATGCAACAACCACCACAAGCAGCATGTCACCCAGGTCCCAAATAGAGATTTTGCACCTGGCAAGGACCTGCACAAGCTGCTGACGAACAATCGACTTTGTTGGTCAACCTCATGAATAGAGCACTGCTGTGGCAGCAACATCTGAATGAATGCTATCCAAGTATGGGAACACTGTGAACACCAAGCAGAAGTGCACAAAAGGGCTATATCACAATGACTTGCCTTTGCGTCCTGATCGCCAACAATGCCCTCATCCATTGGGTCGTCGTCCTCCACCATGCTCTGCTCCTCTCTCAACTGCTTCTGCTTCTCAACCATCTGAGGATCGACAGCATAAGTCAACAGTGGCGCTGGGGGTTTGCAAATCAAGCTGACTAAAACTGCAGCCGAGTCGGCTGTGCGGTTGTGCAAGGCATCTAGCAGCACATTCAATGATCAAGGTCTGGATGCTGAACGAGGGTTGATCTCTGTGCCACATGCAAATCGCAGATACGGAAGTCAAGCACATGGTGAGTGGTAGCAGTCAATGCTGACACAGCGCAGGCTGAGATTGAAGTTTAAGAAGGCTGGGTGAGGGTTCTCCACCAGCCATATGCCATGATACCATACTTCAAACCCTGCCACGCCGGCACAACAAAAGCGAATCCTAGACAGGTTCACAACACAGTGCGCGTCAAGACCTGTCAGTTCTTTTTTCACCATCCCTTTCCAACGAACAACGCACTAGCCAATGTGCACATCTTGCATCTATAGCATGAGGATGCAGCCATTCTCTGGATGCAGTGGCCAGACATAAAGAGCGCTGCAGAGAAAAGCAATCTTTTGCGATCAACATTGTGCCACATGACAAGGAGAAGTCCTTGCACTAAATGTGGCGATTTCTGGGGCCACAGTGCAACCACGGCATCTGGTCCCTCGCAGCCTTTGTTCAGCATTCCAAAAAGCCAAGAGCGGAGCAGTTGTTTGCAGGCAGTTGCTGCTGTGCGCACTGACCTCTTTTGCGAAAGCCAGCACTTCCTTGTCACTCTTGAACATCATGAGATCTTTCGCATCAGAGACCTTCAATTGCGTGTATGCTTTCTCACAGCAACCAGCGATCTCGTCCCTGAAGGTGCCCCAAGCACGGCAGTCCAACAATCAGTGCTGGGCAACCTTGTCCACAATATTGACACATAGCTCAATATTGACATCCTGTCATGCATATCACTGCCTTCCCCAGTCTAAACACTCTGCTGGAATAGTTGTCTTGGAGCTCGCTAGCCAAAGTGCGTGTGTTGATGATGAAGAAATTACGATGATATTCTGACACATCTACCAGGTGAGACAGTTGATGCAAAGCATGCCACCGATTAAGAAATGGGACCGTCCACCAGCTACACAACTGTTCCTCATTGCAGAATCCTCAAAACTGGGTCAGTCAGAAACTGACAGCAGTCACCATGTACCGCAAATACCATGTGTCAAACAATGTCCCTGCAGGAGAACAAAACTCAAGCCTGCGAGTCACCAAGGGTGTGCTGATGAACCAAGACTGAACCATGAGCCTCAGACTCCAAGTTGCTCCAAGTGGAATGAAAACAACAGCAAGTCAAGAACACAAGCATGTATTGCAATTTGCTTCGATGGAGGCATCGCCAGATTGGTGAGAGGTCACACACTGCAATGTCATGACAAATGCAACAAGAAATCCAGCGACTGAGGCTTGTGCATGCACATCTTTGCGCACCTCATCGTTGTCACCAGCTGGTCCAGAAAATAGCTGTAGTACTCCGTGAGGTTCTGTTTACATCTGAGCACTTTGTTGTAAGCACCTTCCATGAGCCATTGCTCCAGCTGGATGGCGTGCTTGATGTAAACGTCCTGTTGTTGCACCTGGGCAGCAAATGGCAGCAGCTGAGACTGACGCAGCCTCTGTCGCAATCAGATGCTTCATTTGTCTCTTGACAGTGTGCATGCTGGTACAATCTGAATGGGAAGTCGAAGGGCCAAGGCCACAGACAGGCAGCACAGGCATATTCTGTTGAGCTGAACTTGGTGGAAGCCATTGCATCCGTGCTCACAGAGGCTTCCTTCTGCTCGCAGACAGAGAACACAGGGAGCTACTGTATCCCACACAGCATGACATCTGTTGGGGGTTTGCAGTGTGGCAAGGAGTTTAGTTACCCCTGGCACAACCGACGGCTGATTTTCTGCCTGTGTCGCTACTTTTTGGCCAACTGCAGCATTTGTGGCAATGAGACAGCTGCAAATCTTGACAGTATCTACCGAACAACAGCAACAGCAGCAGCCATCCAAAAGCAGAGAAGCCTCTCATAGACCAAACCCCGCAAGACAACAGATGGTAACGAACCTTCTCCTTACCTTGGGGGCGATCATCTCCAGCTCTGTGTGAAATTCGGCCGTGCAGTTCTGCACCAAAAGCCGCACAAGGTTGAGGCCCACGATCATGTATTCATTCTTGGAGGGCGGCAGCAGTTCCCTGGGCACACATGGACGTTCTCAGGCCCCATGACGGCACCACAACCAATCATTCTGAAGCGCAACAATGGGGCAGGTATCTTCCCGACAATGAGTTTTGGAGATGCTGGTCCACACACTGTGCGCTGGCATGCTCGTATCTATCCCCCAATGCAACATTCTCCCCATATGCAGGGAACAGGGAGAAACACATGTTACCTATCAACGAATGCCAAACACCTATGCACAGTGTAGCATGAGACAGGCCTGTCGGTTCCCCAGGTCACTGTATCCCACTACAAAATAGACTGCTAACCGATGTTTATCTCTCCAACACATGCTCAAATAACAAAAGGCACTATTTCTTTTTGTGTTGTCAGAATCAATCAACAGTTTACCTACACATCACAAACAAATACAAATACACTGGCTAGCAACATTGCAACAGTCAAAATCACAGATGCAATAGTTAAAAAGCCATGCTAAATTACGTTTGCTGTGGACACAACTGCTTCATCAGAATTTTCCTGAAGGTAGAGAGGTTACCAATCCTTGGTCGCTTTCATCCAGATGGTCAGTGATGCCCAGACATTTACGAAGCAGCAGAGCCCTCCATTCCAAAATAACAGTTTCTTCCTCAGGGATGAGTAAACATTTTGTCCCACCAATGCAAAGCAAAGGAGGCTGGGCATAACATCTACCCGGGCACTCCAGAAGAAGTGCAGTTCATAATCAAGCAAGAGATTTCTATCCCAGGAGAAAACTTGCCCCATGGAAAAGACCTGGAAGCAGTGCGAACGTTAGGGTGAGCAAGTCTCTGGTATCACACCACAGGAGACCCTGCTCTACAGATCAAGTTTCTTTGGGGCTGCAGTATAGAGGCATGGCAATTGACACTGGATGCACCTGTGAAAATGGAAATACTTGATACAGTGGGCAACAACGTGGCCTTACCCTGTGCAGAATCATCATCTTGCCTGGCAACATATCGAAACAGTGCAATTTGCCCACCAAACCAGCTGTACCTTGAATACTCTGCAGACTTCTGTGGAAGGTAGGCATCAGACATCGCCTGATAGGTGCAGCAAAGGCAGCAGTCTGCCATATTTGATGAACACAGACACTGCAGATTTTCAAGGAAAGCTGTCAACATCGATTCAGGAGATGTACTACTTGTTGCACTACCTCTGATCAGTGTAGTAGGTTTGCAACTGAAGAAAATTGCGCTCAAACGCTTCTTCATCCTCCAATTTGATGCTCAGCAGCACAGCGTGCTCAAGCACATCACCTTCACACAAAAGCAAACACAAACCAATCAGTGGCCCTGTTTCCAAGAACAGTAGGCTTGACCTCAGACCACCACACCACAGAGCAGCATTAAATGCACACAGTAATGCCCCTTATGTCCTGCTCTTAAACTACAAAAACATCCACAATAGTCGATCCGACTGCAAGATCACTTCGTCTGGTGGCTTCTGCTGCCACTCGTTCTTCCTAGCCAAACGTCCAGAATACAAAAAAATGAGAAGAGAAGGCTTCACTCACGTGCGAGGGCATTTTCTTGTGATGCAGAAGGTGTCTTCTCACAGATGGGAGGCAGACTTGTGAATTCGGTCATCGTGATCTGAGTAGAAGCAAACCTTGCAATGAATTCCTCAAGCAGCTACGATACAGTGCGTCAGTTAATACAAAAGACAAAACCGCCCTTTCCCACAAGACTTCCCCACAAGCACTGTCCGAAAAGCGCCTGTCCCATTCCAAAAGTTGGTTGATCCAGGCATGACAATGCTGGTGGCGGCGACCAGCTGGTATCTAGTTGCTCCAATAGGTGATCAAAAAATAAGGATCGCAGTTCTTGCTGCGTCACCATTGACATTTGTCTGGTGCAAATCCGTTGCATTTGTCGAAAAGTAACAAAGCAGAAACCTTGCACCTAAAATGCAATGTTGGGCACTGGCTGCGCCAAGAATGTTCAGGCGGGATCTCCACAAACGCTTAAATCCAGATCCACAGTCAATTGAGCTAATACGCCCATGCGTTCGAGACGCTCTTACCTTCAGTTTCGTCAGAAGGGCAGAGCATTGCTCGTACTTCTTGCTCTTGAAAGCCGCCTGGGATCCAACCCAACCGTTTGAAAGGTCAGGAAGGGAAATCGTCCAGAAGACACCGCCACCGCGCATCTCCGATTTCAACGTGAACACAGACACCAATGACTTTCCCGACCGAAAACAAAAGGCGCAGCCGGCCACAACCTTCCACAAACTTCGCCGGGCAGAAGACGGAATCCCACAGCATGCAGGAACCTTCCATCCCGATGCATTCATCCCAAAGATCGCCGCATCCAAACGCATCCCCACGGGCGGCGGACTCTCGATCCGGCCCGCTTTCCCGATCGGCAACCGCTGCCGGAGCGCGGCGGGCCCGCACCTGGAACGACTCCACGGCCTTGGCGAACTGCTGAAGGGTCACCATGGTGCCAAGCAGCCACCGCCTGACTGGGCCCGAGGGGCCCTCGGCGGAATGGCGGAGCGCGACCCTGCCCTCCGAGCGTCGGCTGCAGCTGCGCTTGGTCGAGCAGGAAGAGGGCGCGTTTCTGTCCCGCGGGCGGGCAGGATGCTATGACTTGTATAAGTGCGAGTCCCGGGGGACGTCACAGCATGTAGTGCTGTTCCTCAGTGAGGATCGATATGCCAAGGATTCTGAAATTAGCTCGTTGGGGGTTAATGAATTAATTACATTTTATTATACTTGATTATACAAACACAATATACATGGGTTGATGTTTGTGGCTATAGTTCAATTCTTGTGTAAGCTCCCGCCTCCCACCTTCAAGGGAACTGGGTGCTGCCCGTAAACGGCACAATGAGGCTGCAGTGAGGAGATACGGCCCTGGCCCAAAATACGGTGGTGTAAGCACGGTGAGGTAAGGCGGCTACGGTGGCTACGGATCGGGGGCCGACGCAGCAGAGGCGCAGAGGGGTTCGCTCAGCATTTCGGTACAGAGACGCGAAAATTGGGCGTTTGTTCTTTTTTTATTCCAAAATATTGCATCACATTGCAATGTCCAGGGGACTCTCCAGCTCTATCACACGATGTGCGAGTCTCGTGCAACCTAGGAAGTGAGCGCAAGGCGATGCAAAGCACCCAGAGGTGTTTGAAAGAAATTCGAGAGTTCATTTGTTTTATTGCGGAAGGAATGTTGCCATGTCACTGTTGCGTTTCGTTGTGGAAGGAATGTTGTTGTATCGGCGTTAATTGTTGTGTGTGACTGATGAGGCAGTTCTGATTTGTGAATATAACGTGGGTTGGCGCATCCCCGGTGGAACTGTGGCGACAGCGACGCACAAAAGGGCAGAACCTCGAGCAGCATGAGGACACTTCTAACACGGACATTTCAGTCAACGAGCCGACCACTTTGGTACAGTACTGGATAGTGCAATGCGAAAGCCTCAACACAATAGTTTAGGCTGGTGCTGGCAAGGTGTGCTTGTCCGTCCCCAGCCGCCTCAACCCTTTTGAGAGCACGCAACGCTCCTTAGCCTTGGAAGATGAAAACCCTCGCGGTGGAGCACGCGAGGGCAATTGTGCGACTTAACAGCGGGGATGGGATTCTTTGCGCAATTGGACGGCTGCAATGCAGTGGCGATGGCATCTACGACGATGCCATGGACGATGACATCAATGACAGCTGACGGTGAAAGAATTAACGGCCATTGCATGGCCACTGGCCAAGCTGCAGCAAAAGGGTTACAATATTTTGAGACATCTGTACATAGACCGATGACGAGGCGCGGGAGGCCGCCGGTAACAGGAGACCATCCTTTGCCACTGTGGATCAATCCGCAGTGGATGGATGCCAATGGTCCAGGGTACCTTTGTGACGAGGCCGTGCGATTGCCCCATTTGAATTCGAGCGTGATCCGTCGCATTCAATTCGAATCGACTGTGCGGGCAGGACTTGGCCAGTATTTTGCTCGCACGTGGGGATCTGCAATGCAGAGTTAATAGAGCGGTGCCGGCCCTGCGCAAGACGTCACACAACACTATTATCTGAGTCGCACGAGTGGCCGAGTGCTGGCAAGTGCATTGTAGTGCCATTGGGCGACTTAACTACAGGAAACGTGGTGTGATAACTGCGCTCAGTGGAGAGGTCAGTCAACCTCCATGGTTAGGACAGCTCAGCACACTGGGCCTAGAAACATTGCGACGGCCATTGGGACCCTGTGACACAAGAATTACATTACAACGTGCTTGCTCCTTGGCAGGATATTGAACCTGCACATTTGAGGTTGCAGGACTATCAGGGTCTGGCACATGTGCTAAAAGGCACATGAGAACCTGCAGTGGCACAGCTGGGATCAGAGATTGCCCTGCTGGAAGCAGTTGGCAGCCTAGTCGCCTGACTCGTTACGAAGAAAAGGCCCTCGAGGCTGATCTGTTTGCGTTTGCGTGGCTCCACGCAAGAGCGAATATGTGCTGAGGTCAATATATAAGGAAGCCCCACGGCCTGCACGCTAGAAAGCAGCGACAGAGCGGCAAGCACAACATACAGATTTGGACGGGCTTCAAAAGATGTTTGGCATCATCACAGCATGTGTTTGCGAAGCAGGTATGCCGGGAAAGAGAGTCCCACATGCTGGACATTCAGGATCGTTCCATATTTTGACTAACAGAGTACCTGGCGGAAGGCACATTATCTGCTAAATGCTATCGAAGCACTCGCAATTCAAACAGAACACAAGAGCAATTGCTCGCATCCGGCGAAAGCCCTGCCCATGGGCATTCATCCCCATCTACACGGTTCAGCACCACTCTTCAAGCGGTCATGACTTTGCAGGTACCACAACGACCTCCTCAAAAAGCTTGACGCCACTGTGCATCAAAACCTCCCTCTTCACAACGTCAATGAGGCGTAGCATATCATCGGAAGAGCAAGAACACTTGTTGAGAAAGAAGTTTGCATGCCGTCGGGACACCGCAGCACCGCCGAATGTGCGGCCCTTCAGTCCCACCTGGTCGATCAGCGCGCCCGCACTGATCGACCCGCCACCTGGGTTGCGGAAAACGCACCCAGCCGTCCTGGCTGCGGCAGGCTGCGACAAAACCCTCCTGCTTACGCACAATGGAGATGATTGGAAATCAGGGACTCTGCTCTTCATAGCGAAAGGGTTCACTTTTCTTCAGAGCAGAGCAACCAGTCTCGGGGTTTGCAAACTCCGGGGAAATGGACAGGCGTGAATTAGTAAGGAATCTGGCAACATGAGAGACGTGTTCCTGCAGATGAAGTGGGACATATGGCAGCTGCGCACCTCTGGATAGAAAATTCGCCAGTGAAAGCACAGAAAGCACACCGACTACCCGCTGGGCGCAATCACCGGAGAATAGGTGTCTTGCGTTTGTGTGCACTGCTTATGTTCTGTACTTCATGCCATGGATCTGGGACATCCGAACTCCACTGAGGTACCAAGTGCCTGGCAGCTGACCTTGAATAGTCTGGGTTAAATTTCAATTTGTTCGACGCCCACCGCGTTGTTTTGTTCGCCGCAGCGGGGACCCGCTCGACACAATTGTGCAAAAGCCACCAGTGCTGACCTGGCATACTCCAAACTCCAGGTGCTGGTTAATGCCTGGCTTCAGGAAGCAGCGCCCTGTCATTACGTAAAGCACCACTCTCGTTTCTCTGCCAGGAAGCAGTGTGCAGCAGGGCAACAGCATTGTTGTCAGCTCATTTTCCGCGTGGTTTTGTCGTCCTTGCTTCATTTTTGCGAACTCACCGTCGCCAGTATTCAGTGGCTCGCTGACGAGCACGGTTGCACCTCATCAACGAAAGGGTGATGGAAGCAATGGCGACAGGCCTCTCCATTTGCTGGAAGATGGAATATCGGTAGCCGAACTGGAGGCAGGCTCCATCGACAGTGTGCAACCGCCCGTCACCATCAAAGTACCGCACAGAGGAGACGATGCCACCTGTGTCCTGGAATTACCCAGGGGAGGGAATAATGTGTGGTTAGCAGCAAAATTGTGCGAAGTGCAAAGGTAATGATGAGTTCACATGAGGTCACATATCATTGCCTTAGTTATCAAGCGTCTTCATTCATCCAATACCCACATGTCGTTCCCCAAAATAATGCTGCAAAATGAACATGAACCGACATCGAACAAGGTGAAGGGTATCGACACTGATTTCCGAAGCACTCTCCATTCTTGTCATTTTTCCACACATGCGAAATCCATTGGAAACTGTGAACATTCCCAGCTAGATGGAAGGTCAGCGACTTGTCATAATCTGGAGGATTCTATCAGCAAACAGATACGCCAGTCCCACCTGGCCATGCGCCCCAGCATTCATGTACACAGCGCCCCCCACTGTCCCAGGAATCCCAATGGCAAACTCCAAGCCGCCCCATCCAGACCGAGACAACTGGGCGCTGAGCTTGTTGATTGGGTATCCGGCACCCACAGAGAAGAAACCATCGCCCAGATGCTCGCAGTGGGCGATGCGATTCAGAATCACAAGACCCTCGAATCCCCTGTTGTCGAAAAGGACATTGGATCCATTCCCCAAGATGAAGACAGGGCGATCCTCAACAGCTGCCCATCTGGCAGGAGAAGGAAGCCATATACAAGATGTGGTCATTAACTTGTTGAAAAATATGTCAAATTGTTTGTGTTTGAAACACTCAACGCAATGCCTCTGATGTCAGTTTTTGAACAGTTGTTTCTTGATAAGGAGTCACAGGCCTGTCCTTGCACCTTTAAGGAGATGATGGGCAACCATCAATAACTGTGAATGGCTGTGCAGAAATCAGGCCTTAAGGAGTAGCTCCCAGCCTTTTGTGCATATTTCGCTTTGTGCAAGCACGCAAATTTTGGTGCAGGTAGGTTCGTGCAGCTGCTGACTTGCCCCAACATTTAGTGCGTCAGCAGCGAGCTTTTGACTATGGTAACTCAGCGTCGTGTTTTTGCTGGAGGTCCGCGATTCTGTGTGCCTGGGTGGAGCACGCCTGGCTGCAGAAACAGCCACTGGACTCTGAAGAGTGGACGCTGCAGCGAAGGTGGGACCAATGCACGTACCTGAACGCCTTGGACATGTCTTCGGCACTCTTCACCACGGCCAGCGCCTGTGCCGGTCCCCCTGTTCAATGCCATCGTCAAATCTGATCCTCTCAGGCACGTCAAGGCGCTGGGGGGCGTTGGGATCGGGGCTGAATGCACTCAAACGAAGAACAGGCCATTCTAACGAAGGCGATAGGCCTTAGGCATCGAGGATCACCTATGTTCCAGGTGCAATACCGCTTCAGGGGTACGTTTTGGACAATCTCTAGATCACCCATACTCCTGGTGACGCGCGCGGTGCCGCGCAATCTCCTGCTGCGCAACGAATGGGGCCACCGTCCGTCCCAGACCAGAAAGTGGCTGGTGGACGACCCACTCCCAGTCGCCATGGCGTGCGGGCGGCCGCTGTGCGCTGCCATGGGTGCAGACAACCGCAGCCTCTTCAGCGGGTAGGGCAGCTTGCGAAAAGCAACCCCCCGCAATCCTGACTCCCTCGTAGTGACTTCCTTTGCGGGACATGCACACCAGCTCCAGTGCCAGCCGGCCAGTGGGAAAACAACGCCAAGTGCCGTACAATGACTCATCAGATGGCAAGGAAGCATTGCGTGCGCTGCGTTGCGAGCGCAGTGGCAAGGGCCCGAAAGGCAACCAACCCACACGGCCTCAGCCGGCCTGCCCCAGATGACCACACAGCCAGAGCCACTACCACCTCGCGGCCCAGCGGTGCCGTAGGCCTCTCGGATCCGCGGCGTTGCCCTGAACGCTGTGCCCCCAGGCGGGAAGGTTCACCCCATGCAATGGCATCCGGGCGGGGGCTCCTTCCACGTGCTCGTCCGCATGGGAGCGAAGAAGGTTGTGCAGTCGATCACGCCCTTGCCGTGGATATCTTCGCCTGGTCGTCCGCCAGTCGTGCTCTGGGTTAGGATCCGGAAGATTGGATTTGGTTCTGTGTGTTGCTGCCTTGCTTTCTGTGGGTGGGCGCAGCGCCATCTATGGGCCAATATGTTTGGGACGCACTTCCACCGACAGGTCAACCCACTTCCAGTTCCTGTTCAGGGTTAGCACATCAGAAGTCAGCATCGTTGGATGCTGTCTGGGCGCCGGACCGGAACTGTTGCGCAGAGCGTGCCTGCTTGCTATGGCCCAAAAGGCATTCGTCTGGTGTCTTCATTCCCGTTTCTTTCTTCCACAACGGGAGCAGGCATCGCTTCAAGGGCACTCCCTGCTGTGCATATTGGACGGCAATGAAGGCTCGTCCCCGAACACCTGCCGTTGGCTGTCTTGATCTGCACAGTTCTGGCCTAGGCGCCTGTCACACTCGGCATCAGCCAACTGCCCATATGCCCGTCACTCCCAACTTCTTAACAATCAGTGCGCCCCACAACAGGGATTCTACAGTTACAAACGTTGCTTGCTGTTACACCGCTCCTCATCTAGTCAAACACTGCATTTGTCCCATTCTGCTTCTATGCTGGAATTCATGGACGACAACACCCCTCGACACAAGTCCAGTCGTCACCACTTTCCTGGCTACCTTGTCAGGCCCTGTTGTGCGTCCCAACCTTTCTGGGCTCCATGCCAGCCAACTCAGACAGGGCACAATGGCCGTACTTCTGCACAGCATACGCCAGATCGGCTCGCCCAGCCCCTTCCAACTGGGCCCGTGTTGGAAGGTGGGCAGCCTCTCCCTTGTCCTTTGAGCCGCTGGCATCCATGAAAGCCTTGAGCTCTTCAACCACTTCCTGCATGCTGCCCCATTGTCGGTGTTTCTTCCGATTCATGTCGACGCCCATGCGGGCAGCCACGGACGAGAATCCACCCTCGCGATAGATGGCCTTGGCAGGGCACAGATCGTTAGCTATGGATGCAATGACAATGTAATTATGCAGGCAAACAAAATACGTAACAGTGTTATTCACAATGTGACACTTCATGAGAAGCACAATTTTTATGCGTGCATGTCCATGGAAGTCCACTTCTGCGAGGCACTATGCCTCTGGCACAGACACAACAGGCCAGATACCTTGGCCGTGCAGGTAAATCCATCTGTTATCTGTGCACCACCAGAACATCCTCCACTCAGCACTTTCTGCATATTTTCACACCTCCGAAAGTGTCTATGCCACACCAATCCCCCATTTTGCAAGTCGTGTGTTGTATGAGTGGCAACATTCACAGATATCATAGCGATTGCTTGCGGCTGTCAATTTCGTGGCAAGCGAAACACATGCACAAGGACAGACAGGCAACAAGAGTGAAAGCAAAACTCTTGAGCTCGACCACAGAAGCTGAGAAGGAAATGCAGGGAATGCAGAAACTGCCGGCGCAACAGGATAAAAGGTGCTCGCATTTATTAGACAGGGACACGTTGACTGTGGACAGATTTCAATACCATCCCCATAATACTCACATGGACAATATCCCTCCGGCCACATTGCATCAGCCAACCTTTTCTGGGTATCGATGTCAGCTGATGCTTGTCCATGAAGCCCCGTATCTCTAACTTCAGTGCGTTAAAATCCTCAATCTCTGCACGGCTGTTGTACACACAAGGACGGCCGAGTTCGTTTCCAACTGCCTTGTAGCCCCCATGGTACTTAATTGCGTGGTGGAGATCATATCGGCGAGCTGTAGAGTGCAAAAGCTGAAACTGGATCTGGAGGGCAACACTTGAGCAGTGGCGTGTGGATCACTAATGGATGTATGCCACCAACAATGTGCTACATCGACCAAAGATGGCTACAGTACTGTAGAAAGATGACTGCTGGCAGAAAGCAAACGTGCATAAAGGAAACATGGTCGACAAGGCTCAAGGCAGCATCCAGCACATTGACTTTCGAAATCGTAGGTCGGGTGTCATGCGCAGCCCGATTCCAGCAGCTAAGAGCTGCAGGTACAATTCTGCGGCAAGTGCTGCTGTTAGTAACAGGCAGTCAGGCAAGAAATGTACCAGAATAGTAAGATTGGCTAGGGTGCACAGGAGTGCCACTGCACTTAAGGGCTTACCTGCTTTCACCACAGTCTCGGAGGGCATGACTCTGTCTTCCTCGTTCTCCACAAAAATTGTGGTGCCAGTGTCATCAAGAGGAATCATTTCAGGCAACTCTGGCATATCCAGCGACACCCTCTTTGTCGCCTGTGGTCAATCCCAATAGGCAATGCAGTTGGCAACATGCCCTCTAATGGAGAAGAAAACATGTCCTACAAAAATGTGCCACGCGTGAATATAAATTTGGTCATCTTCCCACAAAACTGAGCTGTAATGCAACCAACAAACCAGAAATCTAGGGGTACAAGACAATAACAGATCATTAGGGAATGGAACATGCATGCTGAATTCAATTTCCAGGTGCTTGCACAGAAGCCACACACACAATGTGCAAGTTGGTGTATATTGGCAGAGTAGCAAGGTATTCCTTTTGCCCCCTCTTGGCCAATGGGAGTGCCCCACTCTCCTCTGGGACAATAGCAGAATGTGTCCACCAACCATATGCACCTCGACAATGTATGCGTAAATGCATCAGCATTTTGACAAATCTGCAGAAATGCATTCAACAACAGCCCTTTTATGACTGGAGATGCAACGCAGCTGTGCATCGACATATCCCCACAGGCAAGCATTGGGCAAACGCTCATTCCACCTGATTGCGGTAAACGATCTCTCCTTCCTGATTTTTCTCCTCTAACCAGCTCCCAGCAATGAAGTATGTAAGCTCCTGGTCCAACATCTTAACATCCTCCCAGTAGCCTGTACCACAACTCCAGTTCAGAGGAAAACAAGCAGAACAAACGGGACAAGCCATGAACTCATCGTCTAGCACTTTGAGGCTGAGGCCGAACCGATTCTGTCAGGTACAAGTAAATTTGACAACCGTGACAATCTCCAGAGCCCAGCAGCGCTGCGCAGCCATTTACACCAAATATTTGGAACAATCACTGGAACACAAAAAATTCACTTGAAGCTGCCACCACCTACATGTCATAGCATTTGGTGAACAGCAGACTGCACTATCTGTACAGACAGTTCGCACATGGGAGAATTTGCATCATCTTCCATAAGATGGAAAGAATCTGGACCAAATCCAATTCGAGGATCTAAATCATTGCCCTGGGGGAGGCACCAGTTGCATTCCTATTCACTAACAAGGCAAGCTCCATTCTCTGAAGCATTGTCATTTTTGTATTACCTGGGGGCTTCCTGTGCGGTTTCCACCCTAGTCTGTATGCCACCTCTGCGAAACCGCCAGCCTTCCGTATCAAAGCAACCAGGTCCCCCCTGCCTACGTTCTCGAGCTGCTTTGCTCCTGGCAAGCATTTGATGCCCATTTTTTCTGCTGTGCTTCCGGCTGGTGCTCCTGTTAGTGGCAAGAACAACAAAGGGAGCAGGTGAGATTTCCACCCCAATGGACACCTGAGAACTGTGTGGAACTTGGCTGTATTCAACCATGGGGGCCAAAGAGTTAACTTTTGAAAATCTTCATTGTCTGGGGCACTGTCTCGATGTGGATCGATTGACTATAAAGGGTATTTGCCAGCGGCCCCCTTTTGCACAAGTAGTGACTAAGCAGCACGAGTAATGCGTGTCCAAATCGTTTAATTTTGGCCGGGCTTCACAGCCTGGCCGGCCTTACAGCCATTTGCGTATCGCTGCACACCTGAGTACTGCTCCAGCTCTTGCCTGAGCTCATCGATGATTGCTGTCACTGAGCCAAGGTCCAGCAACCCCTCAGGGGCATCCAACATGACCTGTTTTGTCCGCAAATGCACTCCCGTCACAATGTCTGGTACAAGGGGAATGAGATGTGAGACAGCAGGCTCATCGATGACCTTCAGATATGTCTGTTGGACATTCCCTCCATCGTCAAAGGATAGCACCTGCACCAAAATTTATGTATCCAATTGAGAAGCCAAAGGCCCATTCGAGCTCTGCAGCAGATACTGCTTCCATGTGAGGGTGTGTGACCATCATACTGTGGGCATACCTTCAGCAATGCAACACAGAAGCGGCCATGCTCGGAATCTTGGCTTGCCAATACTGCATAGAAATAAACCTTGGCAGCTAGAGATTCAACCCGGGCACCATGTTAGGAGCAACACTGAGTGCATTTTCCTGGTGGAAAAGAGTGGTGAGTACACGCACAAAGAAACATGCAGGCAACAAGCACATTGGATGCACATTTGCCCAGCCTTCCAAACTGTAGGCCACTGTTTCGGCCTGAGGGTCATGAGCACAACAAAGAATTCTAACAACAGTGCAATCCAATCAAAATGAGCCAAAGATTCCAAGCTATCAAGCACCTTGGATAAATATTTTCACAGATTCACCACTGATACTCAGTGCAACCACTCGATTTGCCTTCCTGCATCGCATCCATTTTTTCTAAACAGTTTTGGCCCACTTCCCAGAGGCGTTCCCCAGACAAACCAAAATGCACCAAAGGATTCCAATAAGCAACTGCCACAACTACTAATAGCCACATATAGCCACATACTGGTCTGCCTGGGGTTGAGGCCCAACTGTCTGAAAGTGAATCTCTCACCTCATCCACCACCCCAACAGGCCGACTATCCTGCTGTTCAATGACCCTCCATCCAATAAGGTTCCTGGCATCACCGCCCAGCTGCAGCGCCAGTGCCTGCTTGAGAGGGACTGTGGTTGCACAGGATCGCTCTATTGTTTAAACAGCACTGCACAAATAAAGACTAAGCTCGCCCATAAACTTGTTTGCAATAAGCCACACATTAATTTGCGATTATTCACACCCATAAATATTCATCAATCACACATCATGTACTCAATAAATGGCTAAATACGAACATTTATGAAGACTCGGTTATTGAAAGGTGCAATATATTCAAGCAACATATGCTACAGCTGTGCTCAGGCCTTTGCAGAGCTCCATAGTGGTATCGCATCCTGCTGTGCCACGGTGGCAGTCTACAAGATAAATCAGAAAACACAGGCAGACTCATTTTCACAGTACAGGAAGATCAGTGGTGCCCAATGCATCGTCAACATGCAGCACTTGTTCAAGATCATGCAGTATAGTAGCATGGCACCATTGCTAGCCAGAGCATACTTGCACTGCAGAATATGTACCTCTGGCTGGAAATAATATTGGGCACACTGCAGCAATACAACAGCTTAGACCCAAGAAAACCACAAATTGCACTCTGAGATGTTGATTAGGGTGGCTACCATCCAATGGATCATTGCAGCCTAGCTGCCAAGTCGTCCAGCCAGGAATCTCATCTTGCGTTCTGACTCACCTCCTCTGAGGGGGTTTTGTGGCGATTTCTTTTTGGCCCCACCGACACTGGCCCTGCAGGCAAGCACGCTGCGCTGGTGAAATGGGAAAGTGAAACACACTGTGAGCCGATGGGCACATGGTTTTCTTCTTTCCAGAGGTTCGCCCAAACCCACAAACGCCATTCTGGTGCACATTTCCAAGAAGCACCCTGACAACAAACTCCCCATGCTCCTTTTCCCACAGAAATTGATCCCTGCCACGCCCGAGGCCACCCAGCGACGGCGAATGCCAAATTGCTCCCCAAACATTCGATGCCCATGCCACAGCCGCGGGTGCCGCCCGGCAGAGAACTTGCCGTTGCCCGCAATGCACGCTCATCTCCCCCCCATTCACCACAAAGTCATCTCTGGCCGCCTGCCCGCGATCAACTCCGGGGAGTCACTCCAAAATCAACAGAGCCCTCCAACCCCGGCCCCCGGCCCCTCCCCCCCCCAAGCCTTCACTGTGACGCCCACCTTCCCGCGGCCGCGGTCACAGCGGCGGACTGCCGGCGCCGCTCCACGATCGGCTGCGCGCCATGCTGTCGAGCCCGCGAGGTCGTCTGCGGCGCCGGCCGCGGCGGGGCCACGTCCAGAGGGGCGCCAAGCGCCGGCATGCGGCGCGAATCGGCAGACACCGACCCATTGCAGGCTGAACTACCGGTCAGCGTACTGCTGAATTTGTGGTCCAGCGTCTCCCCTGCTTCCGGCCATTGGCGCATAAAATGCCCTTTTTGAATTTTCTTTCCTTGTTTGGAATTTTGTTATTTTGGGAAAGATCTTGATGACGCCGGATTAAACCCTTTTTGAATGGTTGCTGCAACGCACGCGGTGGTTGGCGCCACCAGGAGCACCTTACAGACTCATGCACACCACCATATCGCCCGTGCCCAGCCACCGCCGCCGGCTCCAGTCACGCGCACTCATCAAACATTCACCATAAAGTCACCCACACATACATGCACACAACATTCCGTGTCCACATTACCACATCACCCACAGTATCGCTCAACAGTGCCCAACCAGCACTGATGCCACTTGCGGAAGTCGCGGCAACTTCAACAGTCAGGACACCCAAAACTAAGAGACAATTACTGAACAAACAATTGTTTGTGCTTGCACCAGTTGCAGCGCCAAGACGCTGCGCGTCTCACCGTTTTTTTAACCCGGCCCCTGACATTTTTTACCCCCTCTTCAACACACGCACCTGACTTCGCCCAAGCTCTCCCCGCACCGTCAACCGGCCAGCTGAAGGCGCAACCTTGCCGACTGAACTACGACTCGCCTCCAGCGCCTCCGGCGTCCACCCCTGCGTGCGCCGCTGCCTCCGTTACCCTCCCCACACGCATCCCCCCACCCCATCCTCCGGATGCAGCCAGCGGGCGCCCAGCCCCCCCAGCCCTCGGGCTCCCCGCCGGGCGACGAGCCCGCTCAGCGCGGCACCGACGCCCAGGGCTTTGCCCAACTGGTGGAGGGCGCCAGCGACGTGCGCGTGGACATGGCGCGCCTGTCCGCGCTGATGGGCTGCCTGGACGAGCGGCTGCAGCGGCGCAAGCGGCGGGCGCAGGAGGAGGCGGTGGCGGGGATGGCCAAGGTGAGGGCGGACGCGGGCGGCGGGAGGCACGCCAGGGCGAGGCGGAGGGCGGAGGGGCTGATCCGCGGCGTGCGGGAGGCGCAGGCGGAGGTGGACAATCTGAGCGCGGAGAAGGTGGGGCCGGGTGGTTTGGGTTTCCGGGATGCGACGGTCGGCACGGTATTCCGGTACTTCGGTGAAAGGGGCGGGGGGGCCCAAGGTCGGGGACGTGGCGAGTGGTGCGTGGGGCGAAAGGGCAGGCAGGGCGGCCACAGCGGTGCTGTGCGTCGCCCCTGCGTGTCGATGCGCCCCGCGGGCGGTCCGTTTGTGCTTGTCGTACGCCTGGGCATGGGCGCTCAACCAGCGGCTGGGTTCGCGTTGGTGTCGGAGGTCCTCTGCGGCTTTGGATCACAGTATGGTGTTGGGAGGCGCCGGGCTGCCAGTGAACTGCCTCGCGTTGTCAAACGTGGCCGCGATCGGAGGTCGAAGCTTTCCATCCACGGTAGTGCACCATTGCAGTCGCCGCTCTTGTTCTGTTGGATTCTGCTTCTCGTACATGCCTTGTCTGGTGTGGCTACCAGAGGCCAGGAACGTCTCCTCCGCTGCATCGCGCCCAGTTCATTGGCAACATCGTTGACTCTCTCAACCCAAGGGTTGAATGGGCAGTAGGTTTTCAGTTGTTGATGAAGGCAGAACGTTTTGACAAAGTGGCCCTTCCTGTTATGGCTTGTGTCTCTTTGTCGGCCTGCAGAAGACAGCCACTGCTTAATCCGTGGCAAGGTCCACGCGCAACGACCTGGTGTGGTTGATGATGTATGGAAACAGTGGTCAGTTCACCTTTTGCCCAGTCAGTCACAGGCTGAAATTGTGGTACACTTACTACCCCAACTGAAATTCTGGCATGTTTTCCCATCCAGCTTGTGCACGTTGTTCCTGAATCTGGGGCTGCAGTGTCACCCTGTGGAGTGAGCTGTTGTACTGCAACGCTGCACCCCATCTCCCCAGCAACCACAGTTGCTCACATTGCGTCTTGGGAATCCTTTCTTGTGGTGCTATGTTTACTTCTGAAGGGCAGAAGTAAACATCTTACTGTTCTTACTGTAGAAGTCTACAGTAACTGCAGTACCAAATATGCTAGGGCTCTGTAGAAGGTCACTACTCAGTGTCTGTAGGTTACACTCATACAGGCTGGTTGAATGCTGTGTATGAGGAAGTATAGCGCCCACAGCTCTCATGGAATGCACTTGGATTCGCATAAATGAGCTGACTGGAGATGTCTGGATTGTGACAAGCATGTGTCAAAGTGCAGCACAACAGACTCAGTGTTAGCAGCACACTATAGGAGTGCCAACCCCAGCAGGAGCAGGCCATGAACAAGCTGCCCAACATCTCCACGCACATCACACTGACCTGTCTAATGTGTCTGCTTATGCCAGATTAACATCTCCCGGCAGCTGTATGACAGCTTAGACAGATTCATCTGTGAGCTTGACCGCCGTTTCACCCTTGTCAAGAATCACAAGCCAAATCAAGACGTCGTACCGGTTCCAGTTGCTGAGCCGCAATCGAAACGGCCACGCCATGCTGCCGAGGGCACCAGCAATGGTCAAGAAGGTTTGGAGAGCCCTAGCTCTCAGTCAGATGTACCACTTGCCAGCAGCAGCTCTGCCCAACGACAAACACTCGAGGTCGAGCCAACGTACTGCACATGTGGACGTGGGTACTTTGGACTGATGGTGTGTTGTGATAACCCAAACTGCAAGATAGGGTGGTATCATGCCTCCTGCCTTGGGCTCAAGGATTCTGAAGTGAGGGAGCTGCCATCCAAATGGACATGTCCAGCTTGTGAGCAGGCGAATGGCGTTGACGTGGAGATACGCCCAGATTAGTAAGCGCCACTGTGAGGCACCTGTATATTGCAATTGTGTATAGCAGGAGTTTTCCATTCTATCGCAGCAGGATTTGTGCATGCTCCCGTCTGGGGTTACCTTTTGTGTCTGTGCTGATAGAGTTGGGACGTTGACACGTATTTTCTGGTAGCTACAGAGATGGGTTTTATTGTTAGCTGGTAGGTTGCCGCATCTTCAACAAACCCACCGCGCTGAGTGGCCGTTGCTTGCAGCAATTTTTTGGTGCACTTTCTGTGGACCTAAAGCGACTACTGTGGGAGAGTGGGATCTGGCTGCTTGCCCCAAATTGCGGTTGGGATATGTACGTTCAAGCGGAGGAAAGCTTTCTCGAAGGCGGTTGTAAATGCCGAGAACCGCATTTTTCAAGCAACCTGTGTGTTGTAGGACAGCACTTGTTTCATGTGGCCAGGAGCGCTTTCTGGGGTAATGTTCTATATAATTTGAGCAGCTGTTCTCATGTGTTCTTGAATGCATATTCATTATCCAACCACGGGAACTCAACCAGCTTTACCGATGCACGGCAATCGATACCAGAGATCGTTGGAATGCCTTCATTTCAACATTTTGAATCCCGTGTGCTGCCAAGTGCCGGAGCATCGTTTGTTCATCAGTGTGGATGTTTGCGCAAGTATCCTCTCCATTCTGTACTTATCGTGTTGTGTGAAGGGCTCCTGAAAATTCATTCGCTCTGGCACGGAGGAGAAAACACCAAGTCGCGAGAAGTGCCTCAGCCAAACGTGAAGGCAACATGAGATGCATTGTCCCATTGTCGGACAATTGAGGTGCAGCCACTGCTCCCTGGTGCCCGGTCTGGCTCAGCAAGTGCCCTGTGCAAAGCGTACCTGCTACGATGTCCAAAGGACTACCAGTGAAGATGTTGAAGAGCTCAAAGCCCAGATTTCCCGTCTCTCTGCGCACAGCCTTACAGCCCACATCTTCATGTCGCCAGACCCCCATCCAGGGCAAACACCTTGCTTCTAGGAGGATTCCTTGGAAGCTACGGCGCACAGCGCAACCTCCCCAGCATATGTTGAACCAAACTCACCAGCCCGTTTCCTCCTAACCTCAACCCCACCAGCTCCTCTTCTGAAAACAGAGCAGCGCCCTTCCTTAATTAGAAGGCTAAAATCTGCTGGGAAATCGAGGAGTAGCTCAGGCCTGGAGCTAACTCGCGGATGGAGCGACGACCTGCAACAACACTCGATCCAGCAGGGGAGCCCTGTCCGGAAATTCCTCGGCCATCGCTCTGACGGCCGCCATGATCTTCTCCTGCTTCTCCACAGCCTTCTGCAGCTCCTGCTGCAGCTGCTCCGCGTCCCGCCCCTGGGGCTTGTACTTCCCCGCGCCGAGGTCCTCGAATCTCTTCGCGGCCCTCTGGTGGTGGGCCGTCGCGAACAGGGCACGGGCCTTTTCGATGGCAGCCTGTGCGCGGATCGAACGTTATTGGAGCTATTCGTGATCGAGGGTATGAGGGCAATGTTTTCGCTGGAAGTGAGATTCAGAAGGCTCCCGTGATTGCAAGGGACGCGCCCGTGAAGTTTTGGCCATGTCAGTCCTCGCGCTGCCTGCCGCGCTTCACACACTGGCAGAAATCGCTTATGCGCCCATTAATTGATAGATAATCTCCACATGGCCACGTGGGGATTCACGGCAATTGTGGCGTGTACCAAGGCAAACTTCGACCAGCACGAGCAGCGCACCCCCTCGATTTCCCCAACAAGCTTCGCCTCCTGCGCTTTGAGCTCCTTGCACTCGTCCGCCGCGCTGGCCAGCTGCTCGGCGACCTCCACCCGGTGCTTGTCCATCTGCTCCGTCCTGCTGTCCGTCGCCTCTGCCTCCTTCTTGGTCGCCCGTATGCTGCGTTTCAGGTCGTTTTTGGCCTTCTTTTGCTGGGATTCGGTCATGTCGGGCCCCTTGCGCTGCACGGTGGCCTTGCCTTTCGTACTGATGCTCTCTCTCTTGCTTATGGACATCTCCATCTCCTGCTAGGGGGAAATGCCTTGCCTGAGTCCACTGGCAGGGGCAGAAAAGTGGTGTCCCTCACCCCTGGGTGAGGTGGAAGATGGTGCCAAAGTGGTGACAACCATCGACCACGCTAATGTCACGATCGCGATGTCTTCAAAGCTCGTTGTGTTTTCGGAATAGATGTCTGTTAGCGTGGATGCAAGGAGAAAATGAGCACGGATGTACCCACCGCCACTGTTGCAACAACGGCAAATGAAAGCGGCATAGTTTGAATCAGTTGCTTGGTACCCGTTTGAGCACATGGTGCATAACTGGGTGTTAATATTGGAAAGTTTGATACTTAAAGTATGAATGTCTGCTGCTCGAATGGTGGAAAGCTCGCCATTTGGTGCAAGTCCAACAAGGCATACCCGCACCCCCAAGATGTCCGCTGCTGTTTCTGATGTTTTGGACACATTCATAGGCTCGCTATTGTTGAATAGGCTGGGTGGCAGGGCTCAGAGGCATCGCAAAATTTGCAGCACTGATGCTCCACAGCATAGGATTGGCGACAACAGAACAACAACAACACACACACCTGAATAAGCTTCTCCTGCAGCCTGGTCAGCTCCGCGAAACGCAGCTCCATCCTGTGTATCTCTTTTCTCATGGCCGCCGCCACGTCCTGTCCCACCTCAGGATCCAGCACCTGACAAGATTTGGAGATGTTTCACGTGGATATTGCATTTCAGGCGTCCTGAGCGAGGGTGAGTGCTCCAAGCAGCCTTTCAGGCGCCACATCAGCGTTCTGTCATTTCCTAAAATGCGCCCAAACGCGATTCTGCTTGATGAAGATTCGGCCATATTTGACCAAAGCTTTAATTGAAATTGGCTATAGACTGATTTACCAATTTGCAAGGGCTGCAGATTAACTTGTTAATCTATATTCGATATAGATCGCATGGCAGCACCATGTAATCTGCGCCACACTGCCTGCTAGGATGTTACCTCCTGCATCTCCTTCTCCAGCTGGATGCGCCGCTCCCACAGCATGATCTCCCTCTCGCAGTCGATGATGTCCGACAACACGCACCGCTTCTCCTCCCTTGCTGCATCGATCTGCGACTCAAGCCTCGAGGCCGCCTCCTCCATGTCCTTGAGCTCCGCCATGACCTCGTTCTCGAGGTTGAAGTTGTCGTTTTGGAGGACGGCCTGCAGCTGGGTGTTCTTGGCGATGACGGCGTTCAGGCGCTGGATGTAGGAGTGCATGTGCTGCATGCCCACACCCAGGGCCTTTATTTCGCTGGTGTGGTGGGACAGCCTGAGAAGATCGATGTCCAGACGTCAAATAGAATATCTGTGAGTCAAGTGGAGTTTTTTGCCGATCTCACCTTCCCCTTCTACAGACACTCAGTTGTGACTTTTCAGCAGGTCATTTAGAGCAATATGGTGAAACTTGGTCGCAATCCTGCGTACGCGTATTCAGTCGGGACGCATATTTCTCAACTAACTGTTGGCGACAGATCCGCCGATGTGCTCATTGCACTCACATAGGCACGATCCTGGCCACATTGAGAGGGCGTCCTCAAAAAACTCACTGTAGTTCCGAGATACTAAGTCTATGTAGAAAAATTGTGGAGGCTTTGCATTTTAGACCGCTGACAAAATACAGTACCATCGCGCAATGAAGCCAACATCAGCCACAACAGCAAGACACAGCCGCAGCCGGGAAAATGAAACAGGTGTGCCTCAATTCTTTTCCAAGAAATACCGGATCACGTGTCTTACTGCTGTTCGAGCCTCCGCCTCTTCTGGAACACCACTGTGTATTTACAATTGATGGTCCCCAGCGTCTCGGACACTTTGCTGTTCTGCTTCTGCAGTTCCACGAGCTCCATCTGGAAGCCAACCCATCGGCGCTGCAGCTCCTGCGCCTCGACACCTTTCTTGTTGATCTCCCTCTGCAGATTGTTGATGGTGGCCTCCAAAGGGCCAGTGGACTCATCCTGTGTCGATAGGGCATGGAAACGCAGGAGTCAGTTCGGGACAACTGTGAAATGTAACAAAATGATGGACTTACCTGTGCAGCTGATCTACGTCAACTGGAACATCCTAACTTTTACATTTTACATTGGAAGTGCTCCAATTAAAACATTCAGCAAGAGAATGTGCTGAATATTTGAAGGACAAAATGTACTACCATACTATTAAACCCCTTCATATTGCATCGCCATTTTGCCATTTATAGCTCGTTCCGTTCATGCGCATTCACATCACTTGTCTTGGGCGCTTGTAGCTCATTGATCAAGCTGTACAGATAGCCCTTGCATGAAGAATACGTGTTTTGTGAATTTACAGTCCATTTGGGTTCACGAGCATTAACCCTAAGATCGAAACCATAAATCCAAATTGCAAACTAATGGTCAGATGCAATTCTTAAAACCAGCTGGAACTTGCTGTTGGAAGCTGCCAACACCTAAAACCGGGAGTTTTACCAATACCCGCTGCGATTGCCGAACCAGGGCTCCGCAAATGCGTAATGAGCGAGCTCAAAGCCCACAAAAAGGTGATGCTAGAACACAGATCTCAGATGTTGACGCCTGCCAATCCTGTCAGCGCTTGAAATTGTGCAAATGCACCGGGATGGCGCTCATCAACACCCACCTGCATGTCCGCAGTCAGCTTCTCGTACCTCCTGTTAAGTTTGTCCACCGCTCGCGTCTGTTTGTCGATGTCGTCATTCCTTCTGCGAATGTCGACCTCGTACTTCTCCACCACCGCCTCTTTGTCCTTCAATTCTTCCAGCAGCAGCTTGACCGTGGCCGTCAGGCGATCATTGTGGGATTGGGTGTTTAGGATGTCGACCTGCATTTCCCGGTTGCGCTCATTTCTTTTCGTTCGCCGGCATCAAAAATTCCAAAGGGGCACCTAAATCGCCAAATGGAATGACCGATTCAAGTGAAGTTGGGATGGGAGAACTTAAAGTTGAACTATGGGAAGTTCATATCATCGCATATGTGTTTGTGCGCTCGTCTTAGTTCGGGATTACCTAAAATTAGGTAATCCCGTAGGTAAATTTCTGCATTTTGGAACCACTTTATCAATTGATGCCCCATCCAGTTCGCGCGTCATTGGCTTCTTCAATCGCATCATTGTAAATACGGACCAAATAAGCATTGTGGCGGGCCATTTGCTGATGAACATGGGAAAAATGCGCAAAAAATTCAGTTTAATGTTGCGATTGTGAAATATATTTGCATTGGAGTGCACGATAACCTTGCAGCTCGGTATAGATCTCCTCATGTGCAGAACGGCAGCAGCCTGAAGATTTAGAGTTGCTGCCGGTAAAGGCCCGGCGATCCACATGCACAGTGACATCGTGCATACACAGTTCAAGAAATTTGGAAATATATTTTTCCATGAAATTCCAGACTGCAATCGTCTGAACCAAGATATGGACATTTAGTCATAACAATTGAACCACTGTTTCTCAATGCCCTTAAGTTAATGCAGGTTGATTTGCAAAACGTGGCATATCATCTAGCATCGGACCTCAGAATTCTCCATGCCCCTCAAAACTATCAATGCTAGTATCACACACGGCAAGACCGAAGCGCATCTTCAGTTTAATGGTTTGCAGATTAAATGTGCACAAATTTTGTACAAATTCTACAAATTTTGTAGGTTTACGGACCTGTAGTTTGGCAAGCTCGTTCTGCATGTCGATGGCCAAGAGCTCCTCCTTTCCGACTGCTTGCCTCAGCTTGTGCGTGTCCTTCATGGCTTTCTGAGAACTTCGCTCCGCTGTGCTTTGTTCCCCAAGAGTGGCCGTCGTGGATTCAAGCAGCTCCTGAGTGCTGGAAGACAGCTGGACACATGCACGTCTACATTCAGCAACATCATCGTGAATTGACGCCAAAACGACGGGGCCACAGACTAAAGTCATTCCACATAGGTCATCCAAGGACATAACGGTTTCATAGGTATCACTATGCATTTTTTACGCAGAATTGAAAGTTTTCGACAAAGGCAAGCAAGTTTTGATTTTCTTGCATACTCTGCAAATACACCCACTACATGTGAAGACGCAGAACCAACAGACCCACAAGCATCCCTTTCGTAACGTTTACTTGTTCATTTGGCAGTCCAACCCCCCAACACACCCATAATGTACTATGCTATTTATCAGCATATCATGCATGTCGTCATGGAGTAACGAAGGAAGCATGTGAAGAAGAACGCAACCTGGAGGGTAGCGTGTGAACAAATTTTATGCAACATCGATAAAATTGATCATTATATTTCATTCAACAAAGGCGCGCGTGATTGATATTGGCTGCAAATTTTTAAACAGCAATTCCACCAGTCGGCTCAGTCTACCCACCTTCACGTACGCTCGGGTGACGCCCTCGCATTCCGCATTGATGGCCTTGCTTTCCATAGCAGCCCGTTCCATTTTGTCTTCAGTCTGCTCCAAAGAGCTTTGAAATTTAGTGTACATCTGCTGCAAGTGCTCTTGCTGACCTCGAAGCTCAACAATCTTGTGGGTTAAGTGCTGCATGTCTCCCTCGCTCTTCTGTTGCACGGCCGTAAGCTGCTCGTTCTTCACCTATGACAACCAAACACTGCAGCGAGACTTATTTTGGGTAGTGCGGACACAAAGGAAGCTGTGAGGCAAGCTAATTCTCACTGATTTTTTAAGGGGGTACTCTGCACAGAATTTCCTGAAGATTTTTCTTTATTACATGTCGAACATATGGCCACCTTCATGTAAATTCAAGAAGAAATCTACAGGATCAGCTTTTAGGATCTCGTGCACTGCCATGTTGGTGTGTAGTGTGGCATATGTGTGCAACGGCTAGAGGATGCTGTAAAATTTTTGCACATAATTTTGGATGAATAGAAATCGCGATATTGGAAAGAAGTAACGGCAAATAATCGCATTGATACACCATAATTTGCATTATTTACTCAAAATCGGAACTTCTAGTTCGCACTACGGCCTTGCAATCATTACAGTCACAAGCAGCTGCACGCAGACTGTTGCGCCTGTCCATTTGACACACGCTCATCCGTGGATCAATCCAAGTAATCATGCTTTAATGCAACATTATATCAAAATCATGATCACCAACAAGTCTTCATCCAAAAATCAACAGTTTGGACCGAATATAGTGCGCTCACATGTCTGCAGAAATCTTGCCTGCTCTCGAATGACATCCCTCTTATACGCGCCCATTTCCGTTTCCATCGCCATCATTTGTTCCTGCTGCTCTGAAATCGACATCTCAATGTCTTTGAGGGTTTCATCCCGTCTTTGGATGGCCAATAAACTTGACCTCCACTGAGCAAGCAGCTGCTGCTTCTCAAAATGGATGCCAGCCATTTCTCCCTCCGCTTCCGCCAGCATTTCCTGCGAACAACGCAATGAGCGCAGCTTCAATTAACAAGGGTCGGGACATTGATCATGTAGCAAATGTGCGAACACACGGGATGCGAGTGGATCAAATGAAGGGATGCGATTCACAAAACGTTATTGGGTATATACGTGCCCTTGATCGCTTACGAGCTGCAAGGACACCGCTTTATATGGTCGAATGTTAGTTTAGTGAATTGCAGCAGCTTCATCTAAGTTAGTCGATAGCTGCGAACTTGCATGTCCAAAATCATATATCCTCCAAACGGACAGGGCCGCATACATGGCACAGGAGCCCAATCTGATCTGGCATGCTCCCCGAATGCCATTATGCAAATTCTATATTTTGTCAAATTGAATTTGATGGATGGTTCGTTTTGAAGTGGGGATTAGCGTCCGCTATGCCGGAGGCAGCCACACCTGCGCCGCCCTCGTTTCCCTTTTCTGTGCTGCAAGCTGCGCTGCAAACAGCTGAAGTTGTTTGTTCTGGAACCTGAGACTGTCTTGAAGTCTGTCGATCAGAAAATCTTGCTCCTTCTTCTCCTTTTCCAGCTTCTGCACGGCCTCTTCTGTGGCGTACGCTGCCCTTCTGGTGACGGAAATTTCCCCCTTCATTTCCTCATTGTGCAACTCAATCTGTTTCAATGTGGACGCCAAGCGATCCAGCTCTCCCTGGAACTCATCAGCCTGCGGCCCATCGTAATCTCGGAGTCGTCAGACGAGAATCGAAGATCGAAGTGTTGACAAGATTATACACTTCGGGTAATAAAACGACAGATTTTGGGGCTTGCAGTACATGAGACAGATAAGTCGCAGCGATACTAGGATTCGCTCAATCATATTGACTAGAAATAGAAAACGAATTTCTTGCTGCAAAAGACGGTGTTAGGTAAGTCCTCATGCAGATTGCCCAAAATGTTATTGCCGTAAATTCCAAAGGCCAAACAGATTGAATGCCACTTCTTGCACATCAGGATTTGTACGTTCATTTTGCAACACGCCATCTTGTCTGAATAAGCATGCCAAGAACCTCCAATGATTAAAACCTATAATGGTGCGCAGATGAGTCACTTCCCCATTTGGCATGAGCCCGTGCAACAATCAACATAATGGGTCGCAACCGATGAGCAGTGCGCTTGGGATGGAAATTACAATATAACCTTGTAGGAGAGTGAGGGAGAAGCGCTGCCGAAAGCGACAGGGTGAAAAGAAGCGACAATCGGTCAAATGAATATTCACATCTCCCCGCCCTGGAGATTTACCTTTGCCCTTTCTTGTTTGTTGGCGACCTCATTCTCTTCAACCTCTCTGCGAAGCGATGCAAGATCGTCCTCTGCCTGGTACCGGGAGTGCCCAGTGAACAGTGCAAATTAAATTTTCGCTGATGATGAATCTCCGTATCGACAAAGCCACGCATTTTCAACAGACTTGTCAAAGCACGGATTCCATCCACACGCTGCAAGGCATTCTGCAGTGTGTTTCATTTGTATCCCTGTTTTGATTGATCACTGGGCGGAAAATACATGTGTTCAGACACAATGGAATTCATCGTACATCATGCACTACCAAATGACGTTCGCAAGCCAGCCTGATTCTTCCATTGGAATTCGCATATTCATCCAGCTAGGCGCTGAATTCACTTTGATGGGGATCACTGGCTGGAAATCGCTGCATGTGCACCTGTCGCCGAGTCCTGCTGGTATTGTTGTAAGTCTCGTGGGCTTTCTCCAAAGCAATCTGTAGCCCGGCGAGCTGCTGTTGGCAGCCATAAAGCTCCACACCAATGGCTTCCCGATGTTGTTGGGCATCCTGGAAACAGAGCAGCCTCGGTTGAGTCAACACTCAAGAAGAACGAACATGACAGAATGTTGTGACAAGGCACAGCCAAGACATGCGCAGCCGACAGCTACATATGCCGATGTTTCTCGCGAACGACTGAATTGGATCGTGTATTTCATGGATATATCTCTGGCTGTCACATTCATCTGCTGCACTTCCTTGAAGTTCGCTGCACTGTTCCGTAAAATTTCCCCATCCTAATCTGCAAGACTTTACAGAAGTCAACGGCTTATCGTGAAACCTAGCTGTCCTTGCACATCCACTTCCCCGCCAGCAAACGTCCAGCCAACCCCCGGCGCCCCCCTTGCCAACCACCTTAAGCGCCTTCGACTTCTCCCTGATCTCCTCGTCCACCGCCTGCCGCGCCTTGAGCAGCTGCTCCCTGAGCGCCTGCTGGGCCCTCCGCAGCAGGGGGTGCTCGGGGTTCATGGCGCCGTCCTCGCCGAATATCAGGTTGTTTTCCTGCTCGTCCTCCTCGCTGCCGCCCGCCCCGCCCCCTTCAACAGCCACCGCCGCCTCCCCCTCAGCCATCGGCGCGGCGTCGCCCGCAGAAGACATCTGCCTGGCCGTCCAGCTGAGTTCCCCGCGTTGGGATCCGGAATTGTCCCGTTGGGTGGAAGGGGGCGAGGGTTATGGAGCTTAAGGCCCGGGGGCGGGGTGGGAAGGTCTGACGGCCTCGAGGGACAGTGTGTTGGCAAATTTGCAAAGTCGGATTCGCTGAGTTGGTATTTTTTTGTGAGACTGTAGGCCTTCTAGGTTACCAAAATTGATAAGTCGGATTTGCTGAGTTTGAACTTTGAACTTTTTTCTGTGAGACTGTAGGCCTTCGAGCAGTCTGTATTTTGGGTTGGAGGCGGCATGAGATGCTGAAAGCGACTGCTTCTCACGTACTGGAGAGACCGCTGGGGGTATGATTCCGGAAGGAGACTGCAGTGCTGGCCCGATGTCTCTGCGAGGTGGCCCACACGAAATCCGACGTCAGCAAAAGCTGCCGGGGTGCGTGCATGTGTCAGCGGGGATTGTAAGCAGTGGAAGACTGGTGGGGGGGGTGTTTGCAGTCTGTTTGTGTCGTCACAGAGTCTTTGGCTGGCGCGAAACCCGTTCGTTTTGGAGCATTGTTAAATTGTGCTTCCAAAGTGCGCGGAGCACGTGCCACAGTGGATGATTGCAGGAAAACCGGCGACGACCGTCCAAGTGGGTAAGGATGGCGACTGTGGCATCCGCTGGATGCTGATGCACGCGATCGTCTTGGGCCTGTATGGCATGGCACCGAGTGGCCTTGGCAGGTTGAAGCAGAACATCTGTACATCGTGCTACAAATCCCGGAGTCCAGCAAAGCGCAGTGTGTTGGCGTCAATATGTGCATGTCCACGTTGTCCATTCTGCCATTGGCACAGTATTCCTATGAAAGGACGGTCAGATGGCGGCGTCTGCTTGATGGAGAGGGATTGCAGCATCGTGGAAACGCAACTGCGCGCACACAATGTACTCCCTTTAGGGAGCTCCTCGCCAGAAGGAAACAGCACAACGGTGATGAGACTGAAATCCATATAAATTAAAACATTCACCGCAACACAAACTCCATCAGCGATGGATCATCGCAGCACAAAGCCAGCGTCATTCATTGGTTCACAACCCAAACAATTGTCACAATCGCATCCGTTGAAGGCGCGGCTGCCGAGCCCACAGCCGTCTCTGCATGCCCTCCACAAATCTATCTACGTCTCCCACATGCCCATCGTCAGGCGTCAATCGTCATGGTCGACTAATGTGACTATCCCGAGTCCATCATGGCGCCCACAAACCTGTCGCCAATCCCCCTAAAACCATATCCCCTACCTGGCTCTAAACATCCTTTGACGTTCTATCCATTTCAAAGTGCATTCGTTTTACGGCGATTCCAACTTCCACCTGACTTACACAACTGCTGTAGGGCCACGCTGAGCAGCAAGCCTTGGCCATTGCTGGCATAGCGGTGTCCCTGTGCTGTTCCATACACTGCGACGAAATGTGCGAGAGGCACAGAGGATGGTGCGCCTTGGCATAGTTGACATTTGTGCATTGAATGCATCATCGGCAGGCTGACAGGTTGCCACACCCAGCGGGCACTCGAATCGTGGCTTCGTCACGCAGGCACCCCTTAGGCGCCAGCAACACCTGCATTTATTGCTCGATGAGAGCATTCTGCGTGAGCGCACCCATACATGGCAGCCTGGGCCTCAACAATGTATGCCCATCCAATAAAGTACAACCTAGGAGTGGTGTGTGCAGGTGCAAGCCCTTCAGTCCTTCCTTTTGAAGCCACTGCGCAGGTGGCCATTCTGCAGGTGGGGTGGCAGTTCCTCCTGTGGCTTGGGACGGCCCAGAGTCATCTTGGGGCCAGTGCCATTCACGTTGGGAATGAACCTTGAGGTTGTCCTCCTGACATAGCCTGCAACCACCGAAAGGCACTAATTTAATAGAAAGACAGGATGCAGCATGCTTTAATGTGCAGGCTACAGCTCTTGGCACAGCCACTTAGGGCAGGCTGCAATGCAACACCATTTCTGCTGCGCTGGCCATGTTGAGAACCAAAAACTACACCACAGTTAATTCCAACAGCAAGGATTTGGTTTTGATTTGGATCTGGATCCGCAACTATATTTTAAAACTACTATGTGACTTAAAGCGATTTGAGACTAAGGTGAATTGCAAAAGCGAAGTACAACAGTGAATTCAATCAAAGCCTTCAAGCCATTGCAATAGACCCCGAGGGCCCAATACTCTGGATATGGGACACCGGAGACACAGTTTAGCATTAGCCGTCCTACTGGAGTCAGCAATACTGCACAATGCCGTTTTTAGTCTTGCTGTCCAAGGGTGTTTGTCAACCTCATCTCTGGACATGCAAGCAACAGTCCATATTCTGTCCTACATCGAACAAACAAAAGTGCATCGAGCTTTGCATCATATCCCACAACGTCAATACTGTCAGACACCACTGTTGAGCTGAGGATAACAACGGCACTGCACAGCACAACACACACATGCCCTCATAACTGCTGGCTTCATCAACCAGTGGCATGCACAACATCATGCAAGGATACACTGAGAATACCTTCCCATGAAGGCACGCTGGAATTCATGCTGACCACCTGAAGCTTCCAGGATTTGACAGTGGCACACGAAGGAGCAAAGGGCCTGATACTGAACACTGATGTTCCATTCAGCACACATGCTGTGAGCTCTACTCACCCAAGCCACTGCACAATGTGCATGAATAAAGCCGATGGCGGCCTTTGTGGTTCGATTTCATCTGGCCTGTCCCCTTACACAGGGAGCACTCATCTTCATAGACATAGGAAGGTGTCTGCAGCAAAGCGATCAAACTTCAGTACCATCATGTGCAGAAACTTCCATCTGTGTGCAAGGGGTACAAAATAAAATATATCATACCCATACAGTCCAGCCAGTTGACCTAATGCCAAAATTGCCAGGTCCTCAGCACTGCATGCGAAACAGCCAGGGGCAATGCTATAGAAGCATGGGCAATGCTCACACACACTATAAATAAGTGCCACACTCTGTGCTGCATACGAAAGGAAACTTGCTGAACATACCCATCGCAGTCCATACATTATGCTGGTATCAAAGACAGCAGATGTTGTACAAAATTCACAAGGCATTCCGTTTCAGATGCCTTGAAGATGGTAAAATCACTTCCAGAAAAGTTTCAACTGAGCATTATCTTCAGGCCAAAATTTGGAATCCTCAGATTGCATTCTTTGTAGTGTCAACCAATTCACCTATAATCTATAATGTCTCCTGCTCTTTTCGCAAAGATGCGAGAAGCAGGACAAAGAACTTTCATAGGAAACGAGCAACACACCTGACATGTCTGATGCATAGGATCACACTCCAGCTCACGCTCTGTCTGTGTCTGTTGCAGCACACAAAGGGGATGAACAGACACTATTGTCTGTCTGGCCACGATGGCGTCAGATTTATGCATCATCACAACGACTATGTGAGTTCTTGTCTTTGGGGTTCGCATCAAATGACAAAGACTGTTCTGACCCATGTAGGAGGTTGTCTGTTTCACCATGTTAGACCCCAGGACATCAGTTTGTTGATGGGTTTTTTTTAGGGAATTTTGATTCGTTCATCATTACAACCCACACAAAGCCAACATATGGCAGCTACGCCACGGCAGAGCCTATCCCTGCCTGCTGGAATGCATACACAAGGAATGTGAGAATAGGCAGTGAAAGTCGATGCCAACGTCGAGTGTGGCCGCTGTTAGAAACGTGTGGTCACTTAAAGTGTCGAAAGCAGCATGAACGGTGCAGTATCAATTCGGGGCAATCCACACTCTACGAGCAGGGACTCAGGTGGACAGTTCTTTCCTACAGCTAACAGCTACAGGATGAAATACGAAATTCTGGACATACTTGGAGGTATGTTAGCACGGGACAGAGACTGCGTTTTTGTCAGCGCACTTCATGATACATGATCAACAGGAACAACAACGGCAATGCCCTGTAAACATGTTTCAGGGGAGCTTGGCAGGCTCGCTCCTCGTTGGGCACACCAACAAAGCGTCCAGGGGCGCTGAAAACACCCCTCCCCCTTGGAGGTGCCATTCCTGCCAATCAACAACCCTGGATGCCCACCTACCTCGCCATCCATAGGCAACCCGTCGTACGGTGTGTAAAGGGAAAGCGGCAGTCCCTCCACGCTGCACACACAGCCAGCCAACGTCACGTCCACCCAGAATAGAGCCCAGCAAAAAACGAGGAAACAACCCAGCCCAGTCATCAATCCGCACACTCACAACCTGATCGGCCCACCCGATCCCCACACGGTCGCTTCCCAAAGATCCCAACGTCTGTGCACAGCATGTTCGCGTGGGCGCAGTCCGCACAACATCAACAGCGTCCCTCCAGCCGTTGCGCCCCAGCAGAAGCCTGAAATCACGCGACCACACCGCTCTGCTGCTTGGGCCCTTCCGCGCCCACCTTGGAAAACGCTTGATGAGCGGCTCGCTGTCGAACGGGTGCGCGTGACCGGAGCCCACCGCCCTCGACGGCCCGCAGCATCGTCCCCCGGCCTTCCGCCCCCGCCAATTCCGCCCCGATCGCCCTCCCGCAGCCACCCACGGATGCCGCCGAGCCAGAAATCGATGCCTTGGATTCACAACGCCGCTGTTTGGGGGGCCCACGCTCGCCATCCCGGCCACCCGCTAAGGCAGGCAGGTGGGCGGGGGCCCGTCTGCGCGCCCAGCCGGGCCCCTCCCGGCCTCCTTGCCCGCCGCTGGCTCACCGCGTGCGGTGGCTCGAGAACGAAGGGCGCGGCATCCGCGTCCTGCGGCGCGTCGTGTGGCTGGGCGCGGCGGCGAGGCTGAGGGTGCTTGGTGGTGTCACAGTGGCGACGGCCATTTAGGCAGCACAGCCTGTGCGTGCCACAGCGGTGCCAGCTGTCGCTGTTCGCTGTGGGCATGTAATTAGTCCCTCTGTCTTTTCCGTGAACATCCCTTCTTGTTTCGGGTACCCTAAACCCTAAACCACCGACCCACTGACCAGCGTTGGCCTTGTCAGCGGAAGAAGAAGGGGTCCTCACGGCAGAGACAGAGGGACTGATGCATTCTCTTCGCATTGCGTGCAGCATCGCGAAAGAGAATCGCTGCTGCTGTGTACTGCAAAAACGTCACGGCTGCTGCTTGAGGAGTTGAGTTTTAGGACTGCTCGTTCGCATGTTTTGTGCGTTTCTCGGCTGGTTTTAATCAAGATAAAGCGCGCGGACTTAAGACGCGTGCATATCTTGTACTTCATGTACTTTAGGCAAAAATGTGTTACGAATTCAGCTATTTAAGCAGCCAACTACGCTTCTGCATTTGAGCTGACGTCTACGTTCTGCAGTTTTGAAGCTGTTGCATTCCTACGAGTTTTGGAAAATTACTAGTTTGATGATGGCCCACAAGCGAAACTCAAGCATGGCGACTATAGCCAACCGACCGAGGAACATCATCCCTGTGGGCAGCAATTTCAACACCTAGCATTCAGCGAATTGAGAGTTGTAGGAAGAATGCTTTTACGGGCAAAGAATACATTTTGGCTGCACAACCCGCTCAGCTCCCGCCCACGAGACACTGAATGCCTCGGTGAACGGCTCTCACCTAGCGTAGGCACTTCCAAAGGGGGCCTTCCAACTTGGGAGTGCCTGAACCGATAGCCACGATGCCTTTTGCCACCGTGGGCCACATCGAGTACACGATGCCCATCAGGCATCTCTCCAAGCAAGGTAAACCCTCTCATCCTGGACCAGAACATATCGACCCCTTGCCCGCTGTGGGTGCTTCCCGCCCTCCTCCTCGTCAGCCACAAGATTTTCCTATAGACACGTCTCTTTAGTCGAAGTTCTAAGTATTTGCAATCAAAAATAGTCGAAGCTATTGATGCTTGTTCATCACGGGGCCGACGTAAACCCAGCGTTGCCGCGCAGCGCGCGGAGCTCTCAGCTACAACTTCTTATGTGTTGATGGGACTTGCGTGGCGCTGGGGATGGGGCTTGATAATTGTGCCATGGTTTTCCAGGTATGGCTCGTGCGCGGGTGGTTGGGCGCAGGCGATTGGGTGCCCCTTTGGCAGGCTCACTGACTCGAGGCAATTGACAACGGTGATTTTCCCTAGGCAAGATTGCAACCACAGGCAGAAATCTCCAGGGGCTGCAGGAAGAGAAAACCGCGATGAACATTGTTCATTGAATAGAGCACAGGGAAAGAAGAATGCGCTGGGGACGCCCCTAGCGATGCTGATGTGCCACATCCACGTTTTGCCATGAGCAATGCTAGGAAAATCAGTTTGTGGCCCCTTCAATGCAATGACTGCATTTGAACAGTAACATCGCCAAAATATTCAACGGGGACTAATGCACGGCAATGGTTGCATTGTTTCAGCAAGCGATTGTCTTCTGAGTGATTCACATTGACCGGGGCCATAGATGTGCAAGCAGATGGAAATTCTGTGGCAATGGATTTGGCAATGTCCAACAACCTCATCTTCAAAATGACGAAGGCTACAGGTGGTAGCTGAAGGTCAGACCCCAAGAACCAAAATGAACGCCTGCGATGCGAGTCGCCAACATGCAGGCCATCTAGAGGTGGCAACTTTCCTTGCATGCCCCTAGAGGTGTTCACAACATCCCTGCGCTCGGGTGTTCAATGTTACATTTAAATAGAGCATTTTGTAAACTAGAGCGGGATGTCATGCATTCGGCAATCTTATTCTGGCGATTGATGTTTGCAAAGGGCAGCGGTCCATTCTGGCCGTTGCCCCCAGAGATATCACAGCAAAATCGCCCTCAAACGGGCAGCTGAGCCATGTAGACAGCCTCAGCACCACGTCAGTTGAGGGTTCACTGAACGACCAAACTTTCGCTCCTCTCATGAGCTGGCTCTTCACGAAGAATTGCTTGTCGCGACGACGACGACCACCAAGAATAGCAGCGACGGTAAGGGGAAGTTTCAACCGGGTAGCAAACGTCCCACTGCCAGCCAACCATGCAAATGCACTTGTAGAAACTGTCACCGCTGCCGCTCAGAGCGCCTCGCCCGGTCTCAACTGCTCTTCAACAGCCGGCGAAGTCAAAACAACAGTCAAGTCCACAGGTCAGGGCGGCCTTATCCATAGCACGTCGGCATATGACAGGGAAAATGCTTCCTTCCGCCTCAACAAGGCAGTGCAGCGATGAGACTTGGCGAGTTCTGGCCGGCAACTACACCGCACTGAAGGTGCTGTTCTTGAACGGCAAGGAAACGCCTTGAAAACACGGCTCAGACTGGCCTCGACATTAGAAAAGGTCGAGCGCTATTGCGCTCAGGCTGTGGCGAAGGTTGCGCGCACAGCCAGGGAGTCAGGCAGCCATGCCGAACACCTAGACCGCCGCACGAGACACACAGGGATCCCACGCAGTCGTTCTCACAACTGCCATGCCGAGTGCAACAATGGAGAGTCCCCCACGGCATTGTCGGCGCCCCTGGTACTTGTAACCTCCCCTATGAAGCCCCTCCATATACCCCTCCATATGAAGCAGCATCTTTTGATTCCGCGGAATCTTTGCGCCGCACTGCCGTGTCATCATCATCATCATTATGAATTTTTACAGAACAAGGCAATGAGGTAGCCGTCAGCTTCCTATTTTGCCTGAGCAAAGCAGAGTCGGTGATTGGTACATTGGAATCTAATGAGAAATACAAGCAAAATATATGATCTATGAACTTTCGATGCCTAGAAGTGATAATCGATGGTAATACATCAGACGAAGTGTGTTCGCAAGCTGGCGAGCTTGAACTATAGCAAAAAGTACTTTTGCATTGCGACATCGAAAAATACGAGAGTAGCTTCGACGGATGTTTTCATAGGCTTTGCAGTGGAAGAGAAAATGAATATTGTCTTCAGGTGCCAAGTGGCGTAAAGGACACAGTCGCCTTGAAAATTCTGGAATGGATTGTCTCGCTTGGTGTCGTTGATTCTCGACTTCTAGAAAATGCACCCCACAGCGAAAGCGTAGGAAGAAAGTCCTCAAGGAGATAGGTTGTAAAGTTGACAGGAATCGTTCATATCGGTAGACTGGCTTGATGTGCTTGTACCAACGCTGAATTCTTGAAGAATGGCTGGTGAAGACATTGGCGATGTGGACGTGTTTGTAGATCCGCTGAAAGGACTGTATGTCAACTGGTATAGACTCCGTGAAACTGAGATCCGGCCAGAATCGATGGAAGAAGGCAATGATCCGTCCATACCACGATCGAGGAATGGTAGAGAATTGTTGAAACCCGGACTTGAAAATAGTGCAATGAACCCGAGAATTGGGTACTTCCACCATTCGATTCCAGTATCGCATCAATTGTCTCCATAAATAAATTCTTAAGGAAGTGCTCCCATTTCGGCATATATAATCCCCAGTGGCGTATGGCCGTGTCACCACAAATCACACCGGTGCATCCCACTTCCCGGCCACGTGATGCCCCACGGGGCCATATTCCCATCAAAAGCTACGTGGCGCGTCCGTGCGCCCCTCCTGACCTCGTCTCATTGCGCCCTATGGCAAATCGCCCAGGGGGCACCCCCCCTCCATCCAAACGGCACCATCGCACATAAAATACCATATCTTGCTCACTAAGGATCCGTTTGAGGTGAAATATTTTGCAAACGATTTCTTTAAAACACCTCTACATACCTTGGGATAGTAACAGGATATGGCAAGTCTGACTTGCAACTGATTGATCTTTTCAAATCCAGATTCGATCAACTTTCACAAGTCCATTTCTCTGACTGATGGCACCCAACTTTCCGTGACAAACCATCTTGCTCTGAGCTAGGGGGCACACTTCTGAGCAGCTTGCATGCCACAGGACGCCAGAATTCTCCAGCACCATGCCAGGATTACAAATCCAGCCGCAATACATTTGCATGCCTCTCGTATCAGCCCAGCGACCTCCCGTTCCGGGCGTGCATGGTGCGCATGCTCGCTCGAACTCACGGCGCTCCGCCACACAGCCGACCACGCAGGGGGAAAGGCCTGCCCGTTCGCCAGGGCACTTCGACCTCGATCCGTCTCAATCGACGTGGATCTGCCATCCCCCATCGGCAGCACCATGGACAGCCACGACCGTCCTGGCTCGATCAACAGGCATTGCTCAGAAAAACTGACGCGCAACCCGGCTCGCCAAGCCTTTCTGCATCCAATGCCCTCGGTCGCGCACGGCTGTAGCCCTTGCCAAAGCAAACGCACGTGCCCAACTGCGACCTGGGTGCTTCTCACTACTCCACGGTGTTTTCCAAACGTGTCTGACACCGGTGTGCTCGTGACGCGCGCTGCCACGTACTGGAGCTGTGTCCGGCATCACAACTGCATTGTTTCAGGTTCTTGGGCATCTAGCTAGGCTGCCGTAGTCTCTCTTTGTCACTGACGTCATCTCTTTGCATTCTGAGTGCCTTGGGCTTGAGTTACTAGAAAATTCTGGAGCACCCCTGTTGATGTTTTGGGGTTTCTGCTTCATTGAGCGCCAACCTATTGGATGACAATCGGTGTGACGAAGGTGCTGAGGCTGTCGACATCCCCTCTGCATAATTTCTGGATCGCCAGCTGATTGATATCCTTAACTTACTAATTTTTTGATGAGCCCCATTTATTGGCGATCAGAACATGTTGTCATCCAATCTTTGGCAAGCCTTGTACCGAAATTGTTTCACGTGTGAGCACATCTTTCAGCAATGCTGAAATCAGCCCAGAGGTGATAGTGTTCAGTTTTGACAACTACCGCTACCCATTCCAAGTTCTTCACGGGTTTGTCGAGCCAGCATTCTGTCGCCAAGATCAATCATTTGCCAACCTCGTGCTGGCTAGACACATGCCCAACTATGGCCCAACGACGAAGGCAACTAGCGAGCCAAAGGTGGCGCTTTCCAGACATGGCTGACACCTCGTGGACACACGCGCATTTGCGGGCACCGGGCAACAACGATGTCTTGCCACGTGGGGAAAGCGTGTGTGTGACGAAAGCGTCCGCGTTTCGGATCTGTCAATAACTCGACTTCATCGCATTTCTGGCGTACTGCTGCCCAACAGCTCTTCCCAGTGGCGACCCAGTCAGCGAACTCGCACCGCCTTGTGGCCACATCAATGGCAGCTCGTGATGTGCTGATGATGGATGAAGTTAAAGGACCAAGGGCTGTGCTTCAGGAGCTGCAATTGTCGGGCTTGCCAATTAACGGTCAAATGGTCAGGAGATGCTCGCGGAGGTATTCCCACAGGCCGATTGTCTGGTGGGCGGTGTGCACTTACGGCCGTGCAGCACTGCCAAACTTGACTTCCAAAGGGGACGCTGTTCCCACACAAAGGGTGTTGGTGGCCGCTATTGTAGTTTCTATACGCGATTTCCGAAAGGCATGCTGTTCCCACACACAAAGGGTGCTGGTAGCCGCTATTGTAGTTTCTATGAAGATAGGTGAATGCAGGGCTCGTCGCCTTCTTTAGGGTTGGTTGCCTGTTGTCCGACTATGAACTGATACTTCCTCAACCGTTCCTAACCACTCTACCGACAACGTCGAATGCGAATACACAAATTGGGCCAATCAATCGGGAGATATCTGCAATGCAGATGATCCAGAATTCTTTGACACCACACAAAAGAAACTTGCAAAAAGTACACGGCTTTTACAGTAGTCATGGGACAAAACCAGACGTGCCACTCTTGCAGCAAACACATTCATCATATTGACTACTGTCCACCAGCAAACCTGCAACGGCTTCATGGCTTCATTGCTCCATTACAGGCAGCATTGCACATTCGAAAGCTTGTATCATCACCAGGCATTCCGCCCTTGCACAACGCCAACTGGGGGACAACCACTCCCGACAATTCCACCACATATACATATATATAGATCGCTACCGGCACCATCTGCCCAATATGGAAGGCATCTCCTCACATTGTCGTGTAAGAAGCTCGAATTTCCTTGTCTTTGCATCGACCATGCACCAGAATATTGTGAAGGCGAAGAGGGCACAGAGTGGATAGCCCCAGAGATATATGCCAGGGTGCCCCTACATTGGCATCAGATGTGTTTAGCTTTGGTGTCGTTCTGCTTTAGGTCGTGCCGTGGGGGTCAAGGACAACTTGCTGTCGTCACGAGCACAACCGTTGCTGTGACCGGTCCATGGCCTCCTTGGGCGCAGCGACAACCAAGCCAAACACACCGAAGCCCAGGCATGGCACTTCCGAGCAGATGTCTTTGGAGCTATCCGCCCAATTCACTCTTTGTTCCTCCACAAACGCACTCTCTGCCGGTTCAAGCTCTCAGCTGGGCTGTGAACACACAGCAAAATGCAAAGAGAGCAACACGAAGACAAGGATACTCGAGCCTCTTGCTTAACCATGCACTGAAGAAAGGTGCCTTACAGCATACAATATCCCAGAGGGCGTCACCAAGCTCATCCGCACTCCACCACTTGACTCCACTGCATGGAACATATTGAATGCAGTATCTGCAGCATCTAATCAGTGTCGGGGACCGATACCCACAACAGGCGGGTGAACTAATTGCATTCAGAAACAAGAATAACTGAAGCAACTGATCCAACGCCATGATCGCCAGAGGGGCGAGGAGGAACGGGCGGAAAGAACACACAAGCTGTGCGCTCACGTTAGGCCATCACGACACCGAGAGCACCATCACCGTGTGGCCCACACTACGATGCACGGCGCTTCAAGCCTTTGCGCGGCTGCTAGGCCGCTTACCAGACTTCGGGACAGCCGACATTGCACTGCAGCCAAGCGCATTGATGGTCCAAAGGGCCCATGTCAGTTGATGAAACACAGCCAACGTTGGCGAGGAATCGCTGACACCACAGCAGGCGGTGTCGCCGACGCGGTGTTCAGTGGTGCTGCACACAGATCGCAACATCCGAAATCGCAGCATTCGACACGCGCCTCGTGGATAGCATATAGCTCAAACACGAGCACCCGGAAAAGAGCGCCTGCCAGCACCGATCCTTGTCCTGATCCAAATAGCTTCAACGGCTGGCAACATTTCACCCGGCCTGCGCCTCCGCCGCGGAAGACTGCTCCATTCTCGCGACTCGCCCCGCGCCTATCACTTCAACAGATCCCCGCCTGGGGCCGGTTTCTCCCCTCCAAGCGCTCCCTTGCCCAGCCGCCCACAACCACCAGCGCACTGGCCGGGCTGAAGCACGAGGCGGCTCGATCCTTCCCGCCGTCATTCCCCCCTGATTTCGGCACCTGGTCTGAACGCCCATGCGCTGTCCGCATCATCGCCGCCCTGGCAGGGCCTCGGCCGGGGAACGGCTGGGCGGCCCTGGACGGAAGTGGCCTTGCCTGCGGCTGCCGGCAGCGGCGGCGGCGGCGGCGGCATGGTGACAACCTCAGAACGAAAGCACAGGAGTCTTAAATAGGGGGAGAATCAAAGCCACGATCCCGAATTTGCCCCGGAAGCGGTACATCAGCGAGGCGAAGGCGGACAATCGAGCCGGCAGTCAACCAACCGGCAATGTCGTTTCGACACGTCAACTCTGCGGGCCAGGCTGGCAGCTGCTCAACAATGCTGGGCCCTGGCCCGGTCATGGCTGCCCCTCGCAAACCGCAGCAAGCCAGGGTGGATATCTCGCTGCTGGGTTTGCCCGCAGCCAATGCTGATCTGGCTGCGGGTGGCCTCAGGTGCTGAAGCCCAGGAACACCCTCTGGCCCGCTGTGGTGCTCCACACTGCGCGCCTCAAGCCGCCAGCAGGAGTTGCGGTCCAATTTCTCAGATGAAAGCCGTCCGACTGCCGCTCAGAAACCGTGGAATCCAGTTGGCGAGGCTGCCAAGTTGAAGTTGCTGAGCCTGGGAAGCGCGGAAGAGCCGTCCCTCGTAGGCAGTGCTGGCCAAAGGCCGCAGGCTGTGCGACGACCTGGCTGCGGGCGAATGGAGGCTTGACGGAGGGCTTGCAGGCGTGGGGAAGGTTTGGATCCGAGTTCTACCTGGCTGGGAACATGCTGATGGGACTGAATGGATGGCCTTTTTCGCACTTCCGGATGCTGTCCCAGGGCCTTGAAAAGCTCCCAGATACCAGCAGCCATCACAGAAAACGTGAGCACGCCTCCAATGCATTGAAAACCCAGCACTGTGAGGAAATCTTGGTCATTTCTTCTTCTTTTTCTTTCCAGTTTTGCCGCCCTCGCTCTTGGCGATGTAGCCGTGGTCCACGAGCAGGTCCCTGGCGACGTTGTTTATGAGCTTGAAGCGAAGGGGTCCCAGCAAAGTGCCGCCGAACCAGCGGGTTACGACCACCGCGACGTCTTGAACGTCAGCAATCTGCAAGGGTGCCCGAAATTTTAGAGATGTGACGCCAGCGTCCAAACGGGCATTGATCCACTCACTGTGCTGTAAAGCAACCGTGCCGAGCCGTTGTGCACAACCAGCAATAGTGGACACGCATCACTGAAGATTCACATTGGTCAGCACTGGGAAAAACAACGGTTGAGCACACGTAGTGCACTGGATGTTTGCCGCTGGAGCCGGTGCCGAAACTATTGGATGTGCCATGGTACACAAGTCTGGACACAAACATCATGACTGTGGTTGTGGACATTGGGCAAGCTATACGTGCAACTAGGGTTCTAAGTGCATTCGGCAGCCATCCTTTGGGGTCAACAAGTGGTTTGCCCAGCATTTGACTACACAAACAACGGCAGCTCTTAGTCAGTGCTTTTCTCAACACATCCAATGCGACCCCGAGCCTGTGGTAAGCTTGCCTGCAACATGTGGAGTAGCCTTGCCCCTGCTGCTGCTTCGCCATCATCGTCGCAGTCCTGGATGAAGGTGTTCCTTTGGGTGTCGTGAATGCGGTAGGCCAAGATATTGTGTGTGGCGTCACGGACTTTGCGGTCGTCCATTAAGATCCCCACAAATGCCTCCACCTGGTCACGAGAATTAACTGGGCATAGATGGCTCTGCCAACAGAACAGGAAGCACCAACTGAGAACATCAATTGGGCACTGGAAAGAGAATCCAACACCCACTAATCCAAACACCACCAATCACAGACAACGCATTGACATGCAATTAATCCAGCCACCACCAATCACAGACAACGCATTGGGATGCAATTCTGAGGTTCCGCCTGGTGCCACCCATCTCCTTGCAGCCGCAGGGCAGATCATATTCAACATCACCAAAGTGTGATGGTGGCAAAAAAAAACATTTAGCCACATTATTCACCAGTTCTGGCATCACCTGCAGGCAGCAGGGGCACTGTTACTCTCCGTCATGACAACTGCAACTCAACAGGATCTCCAATACACACCAGTACTATCCCTTCCACAGAGGTAAGGAATTTGGCCTCATCTGCATATGGTAGTCCAGAGGTTTGGTGCAGAGAAGGACATGACTGGGTTCGTTTGGTGTCATAGCACAATCCCCTGCAATACCTGGAAAGTCGACTTCTTCTCTGTAAAGGGATGTCCATGGACGACGCTCGCCCGTAGTGCCTCATATTTTGGGTTCTTGTCATTACCAACAGCGTCATGGCTGTCTCTGTGCTGTGAAATGTAAGAAGCAAAGAACCTCATTATGGCACCCAGGCACATGAAGGTTCTGTGAACCTCATTATGGCACCCAGGCACATGAAGGTTCAGTGCCCAACTCTCTGGGTACCTGTTTCCATTCAAACGAGGCTATCCACTGTGTGTACAGCCAGGCTGGTTTGCAAAGCAGTCCATCTGCATCAACTACAGATCAGCAGGACTGCACTGGCATCACCAGCATTTGATTTTTTCAATGAGCAACACAAGGGTCAAATCAAGCACAGCACATTTGATGTGTCACTCCGATCGAAGAAAGGAATGCCAAATGACCATGTCAAAGTCCCCCACTTTTCATTAGGCCCAAAACTGGCACGATCCAAACTCATTGACTGCGGAGAACATTTAAGCAGAATGGTTGGTGTGTATGCTGTCACGTGCACCACACTTATATCATCGATGTGGATGGCCTTGGAGGACGACAGTGCATAGTATGTGGTGTTGCGACTGCCCACAGTGATGTGTGTGACAGTTTTCAGTGGCTGTCCAATGTCAAATTCTGAGGCCATGGGTATCAGGGGAATCTGTGTACGGGGACATCATGGCTTTGCAAGATTCCAGCAATCCTAATAAGCACTGAGATCCCAGCACCAACTCAAGTCAATACTCGGCATCCGTCCACCAAGGTCACATCATGGGGATGCCATTTCACAAGGCCACATATAGATCTGCACATCAATTTGTGGGGCATGCATCGCTATCAGTAGTGGCATTTTAAATGACCTAGCAGATTGAAGCACGACAAAGAGCTACTGAACAGCAACAATATGCTTGTCACACCTCCATTTCTAAAGCGTTCGCTGGTTCTTCCTTCAGTGGTGCCTCGTCTGTCTTCACACAATTTTCCTCATTGCTTTCTGCGCAGGGCGTCCAGTGATCGGATTGCTCCCTCAGCCACTCTACCCAGTTGTACAAAACGACTTCACCTTTGAGCCACCCACAGGTGCCAAACAGAGCACAAGACATCAGCGCACTTGCATCGGGGAGAACAACCTCCGAGTCTATCTGGTTGTGATGTTTGTCAAATATGTGGAGTATCTGCCATGAGAAGCATTGTATCTATATATAAGTCTGTGGACATTTTGTTTGAGTTCAGAAATGGCAAGCCTGTCAGGTAGTGCGAACCCCCCAAACTCCAATGCATTTGGCGCGCCAGCACATTGCAGTGCTTTGGCAGACACCGTCGCCAAGTCCACCAATGAAGCAAAGTAGTGCGTGTCTCTGCTTGTTTGCACAGCTGCAACACCGTGCTGGCACATGGCAATCTTGTTGCATCATTGCGCCCTTTGATGCATACCATCCGAGACTTAGCCTGGGAGATGCAAAAATCAAGCTGTTTGGCACACCCCCCAGCCCAAACTCACAACACAGACCATGTCTATGAGGATATACATTGTACTGCGAAATTTTCAACCCTTCCGCATAGCAACGGAAAGTTTGGCTTGTTTTTGCAGAGCAATAATAAAAGGGTAACTGTGCCAAGAAAGTGCAGAGCAGCCCCCACTGCAACGAGAGGTCTCTGCACTGCTCATGGCATCTAGCGGCCTCAGATGCACAAGTCGCTGTGGGGTAATGGCCTGTCATAAAATTCAGAGCAGAAATAGTAACGGTGAAATTTTTGATGCAGAAGGGTTGAACATTTTGCAGTAATATGCTAGTATGTGATGGAGACATATTTCCTGTAGTAGAATCAGTACATGGTAACGCAATCTGCATGACAGACCCAGCATTCTCTTGCCACCTCAGGTACAAACAAACAGTCTTTGCCACTGGTGGGCATCCAGATGGATGTCTTAATCAGCCATGAGCAAGGCCACTTTGTCAACGAGGTGTTTCTTTGCAGCACCACAATTACTGTGCCCTGGGCCCCTGACAGCCACAGCACAGTGTCAGCAACAGCACACATGCCAAACTGAGCTTTCCCCCATGTATACCTGGGATGAACTGCTGATGTAGCTCTGCAAGAGCCCACTCCTTAACTGCTTCAGGGATATGAGAGGCTGCAAGGGATATCCAAGGAGGGTCCATCATTGGGTAGGTTGGCAGCATTTGAACTTCAAGGGTCAATCGATGACTGGCCGATGCTGATGGGATGTAGATCTGTGTACACCAGAGCCTTCACTTTATTGGGGATACACCAGCAGTGCAAAATTCTGCAAGGAGGCCTGTGCAAGTGCTGAAATTCAAAATCTGGGAAGACAGACAGAGGAATTGGCTGGTGGTGTTATGCTTGGAATGGCCAAGTGATGGCAAGTTAGCTCTTTCAAAGTCTGAAGGGGGCCTACACACTTTCGCACACTACAATTGAACAACAGTTTATGCATTCCACTGGAAGACATGACAATGCGCAGCCTGGCTAGATTCTGAAAGCAGACGATTAAGCAGACATATCCAAGGAAGTCTTGGACGAGTTTTACTCCATAAGGTTCAAATCCAAAAGAAGACAAAGTTAGCTCTTTCAAAGTCTGAAGGGGGCCTACACACTTTTGCACACTACAATTGAACAACAGTTTACGCATTCCACTGGAAGACATGACAATGCACAGCCTGGCTAGATTCTGAAAGCAGACGATTGAGCAAACATATCCAAGGAAGTCTTGGACGAGTTTTACTCCATAAGGTTCAAATCCAAGAGAAGACAATGCTGTTAACAGGCTCACAATCATTTCCTAGGAGGGGTGTGCCTATTGTACAAAACTCTCGTTTTCTCTTTCAACAGGCTGTTTTGCCAGCAGGATCAAACTGTTGCGCATCGTGTGCGCAGTGTAGCACTGGAGGCAGGCATTTTTCAGGAGGTGGAATGCTCAGAACGTCACCAAAAACCAGAGGCACAAGAACTTTGATGCAAATTCCAGAAAATGTTGAAGCAATTGACGCTTATGAAGACCTACATTTTTGGTCTGCATCCCAATTCAGTTGCCGAGCATACACAACATGGGCTTGCTGCACTTCGCGATACCTCACAGCGCCCTTGGTCTTCCAGTCGCCTGAAATCTTCCCCATATATGGCATCCAGTGCCCCCATCTCTTCTTCCTGCAGTTCTGCAATTTCTGCCACACAGCGATGCTGTTCAGTTGATCAGGCCGCCCACTACATTGAGAGCATTGAAATGGGTGAGCCAGGCCAATCCCATAATTTTATCGCAGTTCTCAACGGCGCCATGTACAGAGCCACGCAGAAGAAAGGCTGGATTGCTTGCGCCGGTACAACACCAGGCTCCAAACGGACACGATTCAAGGCAGTCTTCCCCGTGAACGTGGCCAAGCTATCGAAGCGCAGGGGCAGGTGCCAAATGCGGCAAATTCCGGTGGCAGCCTCGGAAGGCCAAAGGCAGGGTGACTTGGAGCCACCGCGGGCCTGAGGGAACCACCAGAATTGAGCAGCAACGACGAACACCAGGGGCCAGCTTCAAGTTATAGTTTCTGCATCACAACCCCCTAGGCGCCCCGTGCACCCTTTATTTACCCTGCCGTTACCCGAGCCCACCTGCGGCCGCCGACATTCTCCACCTCACAGCCCGTGCTTCGAGTGCTGTGCCAAGGTAATGGCTGGTGGGCCAGCGGGGCCAGAAACCACATGCTATCAACCGGTTCGCGTTACACGTGACACACAAGTGCGGGGTAACGAGCTTGGGACGCTTGTACTTAATGGCGGTACATTGGCCCGAGTTCCTGTGGGCGCTGGCTGGGCGGGTGATGGCCGACAAGGAGGACGGGGACGAGGACGGCCTGGTCGGCCCGTCGGGAAACAGCAAGAATTCCTGCATGGACCACATGGGGGAAGTGTGGAGATGCTACAGTAAGCCGCGATGGGATAGAGGCTGTGATGACCTGCATGCACATAGGGATCGTCAGTGGCATGCACGAGGGAGCCATGCCATTCAAGAAAGGGGGGGGGGGAGGGGGGGTAGGTGTGTGTACGGGGAAAGGTCTAACTAACGGCGGGGCAGGGAGTGAGGGGTGGATTGGGGGAGAATTTGGGGGACAGACTGGGGGCGGTTCCCTTCAAGGGGGGTGTTGAAGGCGCCATTCTGCTGTGTAGGGCCTGGCAACCAGCTCAGGAACTACTACATGTATGGAGAAATCGACGACTGCCAAGCAGCCCTAACAAAAATGTGGGCCTGTTTCAAGGGGAAGCTGAAATTTGGACAGAAGGTGAGCTTTTGGATCCCCCTTGTGCCCATGTTGAGTTTTAGAATCCAGTGGACTCTAGTCATCCAGTTTCCGATCCTCGACACGGCGAGCCTGAGGTTCTTCAGTTGGCTAACAACACAGGCATTGTGTGTCAATGCTCCAAGCAGCACCGATGTCCTTTCAGCATGCAACAGATTGTGTGACACAGATTGTGTGCCACCGGTGTGCTTGTTGTTTTGCTAATTTTGTTGCTGCAGGTGCATTCATCGCTTGCTGCCATTGGCATCGCGATTGTGGTTTCTACTAGTCTGTTTAGGAGTAAAGATTCAAAGCAACGAATTTTGCAGGCACAATGGGGATTTGCCAAGCGCACTGTATGTGCGCTTGCCGACATGCAACACATCAAAGAGAGCCAATTATCTCCAATGTTGTTCACTTGGGCCAAGAGTGGTTAATTTAGTACATCTTAATATTTTTACATGGAAAGTGGTCAATTTGTTCAGGATACAAGCGCTTAACATACTCCTGCAGATTTCAACCCTGGCAATATAGAATGGGGTCCAAGTGCTGTTTTCCCACTGGCTCTGATTGGCATATCTCTCTGGCGCTCAGAATCAACCTGTTGATGCTGTACCTGCCTGCATTTGGGAGCTCCGCACCAAGCGCCAGGCTGCAGAATTCTGGAAACAAGAATTTCCCCATGTTCTTAGCCAGCCACCAGCAACTGATGAGCAGGCCAGCAGTACAGATGGTGGCTGAGGCAGTGCCACAGACTCTGCAGAGAAGACGTTAAAGCTTGAGAGTTCAGTTTCTTGCTTGGGCCTGCTGCCAGCCAGTAGAATTGAATTTTGGTGCTCAAAAGCATCAGCTGCTTGGAAAAATTCTTCTGTGTCACTGCATACGAAATGGAGCATCAACCATTGTACAACAGGAGAAATGCTGGCTTGTCAATCTCATCGGGAATGGCCAAGTTGCTGGGAAATGTTAGTGGCCAGCACGCAATTTGCTGGGCTGTTTTGTGCATGGGTACCACCACTGCAATACTTGGGAATGTTCCCCAAGAATGTCATTGAAAGGATGTCACACACAGGATGGAGAGACGCTGCAATCAGTTCCTGGCACTTGCACTCAACAAGGGCAAAATATTGCCATAGTCTTTCAACAACGATGTATGGGTTGTTTTGTGCCCATTCCAGGTAAATGTGGCTGTGTGCTGAGGAATGGCTGTACGCTTGGGGTTTTGTTGGTGAGAAAATATCCAGAGGACAGTCCTTTGCCGAATTGCGGATAAGCGTAATCAGCGCCTTCAAGGCAATGAAGGCAATTGTTGATGAGGCACATGAGATGTTCTCCTATTGCTGTGTAACACAGCAAGGACTTATCTTTGAAGACCATGGGCATGACTCCTCCGTCACTACTTAACTGTTCGCTATTGACAAGAACAATTTCGTCCTAAGAACGACTCCTGAACTATAAAGGGAGGTCAGAATTGGCAATATCAGGTCCCAAAATCGCGAGCATCGGTATTGGCCAACAGTCTGGCATACAACCACTGAGCGGCCCCAACACTGTTTTTACCCTTAACCTTAATGTTTCAAATTAAGTGAAGATAGTTCGTCTGAGGCAAAGCATATCTGACAGACCGAACTCCCCACAGTTGCGTGTGAAGTTAGCATTCGTTCGCTTTGTGAACGAACGTCCAAGTGCAATTATTTGATCATGGAATTAACCTTTTCCGCTGTTGAGGAAAGGTGGCAGAAAGTTCGGTTATCCGATTGTTCGCAATTCATTTGTGCCTATTCCTGGGAATGGTGTCGTGCCAATGGTTCTGGCAGGCAATCAACGATTCCTCGCAAGCCATGGGCACCTTTGCGAGGCACAAAACTGCGGGGCTGCCTCCAGTAATCGTGCTGGTTTTTGCAACCCTGGGTGTCTTTGTGTTGCCGAGGACTTGTCAAGTTCGGACAACGTCTACGTATCGAAAACAGTTGAAGTGGTCATGTGCCGATGGTCCTTTCTCTGGGTCCTTCCCCCAAAACGTTTCTCTATGCACAGGGCCCGGGCACGAACCTTCAACCGCGCGAGGCACCGCGTGTGAATGCATCAGCCACCATGTGGACGCTGTGCACATTCCATATATGCCAGCAGTGGACTGGCGCCCAGCGCCCAACACCCACTGCGGATTCAAGACCCGCGTTGTCTTGCGCATTGGCGCTGCTTCGTCCAGCCACAATGCCCATTTGATCCTTGCACATCCAACCGCAAAGCCCAAGAGCGCACCAATCCATTGGGGCCCGGCATCCCGACGCCGGACATGCGCCCCGCGTTCCCCAGGCGCAGTCTTGCACCCCGTACAGAGCCGGGACAAAAACCCTACAGATTCGAATGCCCATCCAAAGTCTCACAGCTGCCATTCCACCTGTCTGGTGCCCTGTCCAGGATCTGCGGCATCTCTTATCCGCCAGCTGTCAATCACGCGAATCAGATGGCTTGTACTAAGACCCCCGCCCCGTCGCCGTGCTCCGCGCGCGGGCCCCCTGTCCCAGTGCCCGGGATGCGACCTGTTGGCCCCTTGCCATCAACCACCCCCCTGCCCCCCATCACAAAGGCGCACTGCGGGAACAACCCCCCAGTCAATATCTAGTTGCCAGTTCCCCCACGCCCCACTGTGCAATGCCCAGTGCCACGGCTGATCGATGCCGGGCCGGCATACAGATGAGTCACCTTCGACCAAGGTCTTCATGCCCGCCGGCCTTGCCTCGTGGGCGTCTCCGTCATCGGGACAGGAACCGACCTTGCCCAGGGCTCTGCGCGGCTGAGCCCCCAGAGGGGGGCCGTCCCACCTATTGGGCCCAGGATCAGTCATTTGCGCCCTTGGCAGCGGCGTCGGCTTGACGTTGGTTAGTCCCGCCCCTCGTGTCAGCCTTTGGAGCGGGTGCCGCAGCACGGGGCCCCACGGGTGCACTTTTTAACAGGGCCCCCAAGCGCCAAAGGGTTCGTGAGACAGCACCGCCAGAAAGGGCCGCCCGCACTCCCGGCCGTCGGCAGAGCCGGGCGAGCGCGCGACAGCTGGGCATTGCTGGGAAGGCAGGGGTTGCTGATGGCCGGCAGCGGGGACGCGATGGCAGGGGGGCCCAAGGTGCGGGAGTTTCCAGCCGGATTCATATGGGGCACGGCGACGTCGGCGTACCAGGTGGAGGGGGCCTGGACGGAGGGCGGCAAGGGGCGCAGCATCTGGGACTACTTTTCCCACACGGCGGGCAAGGTGCACGCCGGGAGCAACGCGGACATGGCGTGCGACCAGTACCACAGGATTGATGAGGACGTGCGGCTGATGGCCAACATGGGTGTGAAATACTACAGGCTGTCGATCGCCTGGACGCGGATCCAGCCCACGGGCACGGGGCCCGCCAACCTGGAGGGCGTGGCGTACTACAACCGCGTGATTAACGCGCTGATCGCCGCGGAGATCGAGCCAGTGGTCACGCTCTACCACTGGGACCTGCCCCTGGCGCTGCAGGTGTGAATGCGCGATCGGAGCGCGGATCGTTGGCACTGGAGAGGGCAGGCCGGCGTTTGCGCCGCCGCGGTAGCTTGTGCGAGGGAAAGGTGCCTTGATGACGCGCGAAAACGGTTCGCATGTTTTGCCTCGGGGTGATTGATTCCGTCACGGTGTTGGGGCAGGTGGAGCGGAACGGCTGGCTGGGCGGGGAGTACGTGATCGACGCGTATGTGGAGTACGCCCGTCTGTGCTTCCACCACTTCGGCGACCGCGTCAGACGGTGGATCACATTCAACGAGCCGTGGTGCGTGACCGTCCTGGGCTTCTGCACCGGCGAGCACGCCCCCGGGCGTACGGGCCAGCCCTGGACGGAGCCCTACCTGGCGGGCCACAACCTTCTGCTGGCGCACGCCAAGGCCGTCAAGCTCTACCGCGATGAGTACAAGTCCTGGCAAAAGGGGCTGATCGGCATCACGTGCAACAGCGACTGGCGGGAGCCCTTGCCCGACGCCAACCCCAGCCGGTACATGCGCAACTGCGAGGCCGCGGAGAGGACGCGGCAGTTCTTCCTCGCCTGGTTCACGGACCCCGTGTATTTCGGGGACTACCCCGAGCTCATGAAGGTGCGGCTGGGCGACCGGCTGCCGACCTTTACGCCGGCCGAGAGGGCGCTGATGAAGGGCAGCTCGGACTTCTTCGGTCTCAACCATTACATGACCACTTACGTTGCGGTGGGTGGCGCTTTCGCGTGGGGTCCGGTGACGGTTATGCGCGAATCTTGGGGCCCCGCCAAGGGCACCACCGCCATCTTCTCATTTTCAGCCACAGTGACGACGAAGTTTGAACATCACGTTGCGAGGGCAGCCGCGCAGGAGATCATTTGGTGATTTCGGGAGGCTGCTGTTGTTCGGGCGTTGCACGCTGGGAAAAAATTCCTTATCATAGAATGCACCAAGTTTAGGATTATTCATCATCATTATTATTACATAACGAGGCAATGAGGTAGCCATCAGCTTTCTATTTTGCCCAAACAAAGCAGTGTCTATGATCTGTTCATGAAAATCTAATGTATAACTCAAACAAGCCTAGGAATTTAAGAATTTATAATGCCAAGAAGCGTTTGTCGATGATAGTACATTAAAAGAAGTGTCTTTGCCAGTTGGCGAGCAGGAACTGAAGCAAATAGTGTTTTGGCTTTGCGATGTCGAAAAAGAGTTGCGTGCTTCGGCGAAGTTCAGCATGTGCATGGCAGTGGAAGAGAAAATGAATCTCATCTACTGGAGCTGACTGGCACAGTGGACACAAACGCCTTGAAAATTCTGGAATATTTTGCCGTGCTTGGTGTCGTTGCTGCTTAACCTCCAGAAAGTTTAGGATTCAGTAAAGGTTTTCCCCCGATTTTGGATGTGATATGTGGACGTACACATTGCCAGATGATGCAAATTACCCCATTCCGGTTGCTGCCCTGGTTTCATGATTTGTGCAAAATTTTGTTGCCCCGGAACTGATTGGATGGTGAGTGCCTTGTTGGCCAAATGTGGTCAGTGTGGGAGCAAGTTGGATTGGACAGAGAGAGAGAGAGAGAAAAAGCGGCCCAACCACTGATTGTGTTGCTTCTTTCTTCCAGGACGCCGCGCCTGGTGCTGCTGTCGGTTTCACAAGACCTGAAGGCAGGGCGGATTGGGTAGTGGTGGCAAACGGCAAGGAGCGTGAACCCGAAGTGGAAGTCACTTCGCCCAAGGGCGGTGAGGCACCCCAGTGGGGCGTCAAGAGCCTGTGGAACTGGGTGCAAGGGGCCAAAAGCAACGAAGAGGTAAAGGCTGCGGATAGCCCAGCCAAAGCTGCAATGCAAGATGCTAATGCTGTGGGGTGGTTTGCTGACCAAGGGTCACAGTGGTCCAACGATCCGAACTGGGCAATGACGGACATGGGGTGGGCGATCGTGCCGTGGGGCTTGAGGAAGATGGTGGGTTGGATTCAGAAAAGGTATCACCCTGAGGGCGGAATCCTCATCACAGAGAATGGGTGTGCATGCAAGGACACCGATGTTGCGGTGGCCAGGTGCGACAAGATGAGGGTGGAGTACCTGCACGGCTACATTTCCGAGTTGCATAAGGCCATCACGGAGGATGGCGTGGACTGCCGCGGCTACTTTGTGTGGTCGCTCATGGACAATTTTGAGTGGGCGCATGGGTATTCCAAGCGTTTTGGCATTCATTGGGTGAACTACGACACACTGGAGAGGGTTCCCAAAGAGTCGAGCAAGTGGTTTGCCAAGCTCATCGCCACAAACAGTGTGCCTCCGAATGCATGAGCGACGTGGGCCCCCTTTTGGGTTGATGGTGCCCGTTGTGCAAGGGGGACGATCCTGAAGCCATAGTGTGGTAGACCATCTTTTGTGTGTGTCTGGGGAGAGTACACAGTGGGTAAGCCAAAAGAACTTGCCTCTTGGTGATCGATCTGTCATGGTCATCCAGCAGCCATTTTGAGTCACAACACAAGCGTGGCAGAGGCGGCATTTTGGTTTGTTTTGATTACTAGTGCATTGTCTGTGGCCCATGGCATTCTGCACATATCTGAGGTGGCAGGGCAGCTGCCACTGCAAAAAAGGGTTTCGCAACTGGCGAGATGCCGAAATGCACCCCTTGGGAAGAGCCGCTCTCAGGCAATGCACCGAATTCTGTTTATTTATCATGGGCGCGAGGGGTTTTCCAAGCCACCTGGCCCTAGACAGGCCTCCAAGGCGCCTGGCACAATTTTGCAGACGATTGTTGTTTACGAACCACCGTGCACACCATGGTGCACAGTGGCGAAAATCCGTTGCATGATAGGACACAGCTTCATGCAGAAGGTGTTTGTACAGGGCTGCCAGTTTTTGCTTGAGGGATGGTTGGACCAGATTCTTATCGCCCGTGATGGGAGACTCGACGCTGGGATTTCATTGGGTTTGCAGAATAGGGCATATCTGCTGCTGCTAGTGCTGCTAGTGATTGTGAAGACACCCCATCACTTTGATGATGGGGTTTGTGGGGGAGTAGATGGATTCATGGAAAAGAACATTGCATTTGTCACAGTTTGCTCTCTGCACAGCCTTCTGCCATGCACAACATGGAGGATCCTGGCAGAGGGGCACTTGTGGAAGAATGTGATACCTTTTTAGAAGCATCACCTTGTGGGTTTTTGGGGGTGAGAAATTGCATTATTCCAGAAAAAACTACAGGGTCGCATAATAGAGTTCGAAGTGCTATGGGTTCCTATGTCATGATGTGATCTGGGTGTCTTGCCAACGGTTTGCCGATTCTGCTGTCAGCCTCGCTCCCACAGAGGCCGAAAATAAGGCAGCCGTGGGTTGGACCTGATGTGTGTATATCTTGCATTATACTTTTGGGCTGGGGGAAGAAATCCCCGCTTGAGGGGCATTAACGTGCAGAGCCAATAGGGCGAACAAACAAAAATGGATGATTGCTGATGTTCTTAAGAAAAGTCTCACATTTGCATTGATGTTTGGGATAGCGCGAGGCTGAGGCCGTGGCACAATGCCACTTACAGGGGCCGTGCGAGAGGTGGGAGGTATATATTTTTTCAGGAGGCACCTTTGTACATGAGCATACTGGCATCAGATGGGCCAATTTTCATATGATTTTCAGGCCCTGCGGTATGTGCATGTGCGAGGCCCGAGCTCCACACAGGGGATCAGAAGACGCATTCGATGACCGAAGACTTTGTGCACGTTTTGTTATCAGATTGACAGCAGGCGAGGCGGTTGGTTGGCCTTTGACGGTACAGCGCAATGCCATGGTTGCATGTCAACGTGTGAAGATTGGCGCCAATGCACGTCAAGTGGGGCGGAGAAGGGCGGGATGTAACAATAGCACAAGCACTACACTGGATAAAAGTGTGAGGGTGTGGGGTCTCGGTCTATCTGTGCGTGCGTTTTGTGTCGGAGGGACGGTGGTTTTGAGATTACTGCGCAGCGGGCGGAGTGGGAGGGAATTGGGAGTAGTTCATCGCCAGCATTAGACGAAAGCCTTGGTGTGAAGAATATCGATTAGGAAGGACAGGATTGGGAATCTTGTTGTGTCGACGGCGGGGAAAACGGGTGGGTGGGTTTGCGGCCTCGGTTGTGAATTTTGGGAGAAGGGGAGGGGGGAGGGGGTGTTGATGGGGACATCCTGCCCGTGGGGGGTTCATCTGAAGCGCTTGATGGGGGGTTCTGACCTGTAAATGTGGTTCCCTTAGTTGCCAGTGACGTTTGAGGGGGGGAATCTTGGTTGGTTGCATGTGCTTTTGCGAAGGGGCAGTCACGACTGGCTAGTACTGGGGCATTCATCCCTCACTCGTGTTTGGCAAGTACATGATCAGTGACGCGATGTTGTACTGCAAGTATATAGCTATACTGTTGGCCTTCGCCACGCTGTGCCCCATTGCCCATGTCTGGTTTCTCGCTTGCACCAACACACGCACAAAGTCTATTTGGATATTTTCAGAGCTGCAGTGACTCCAAGTCCTAATGGCGTTTTGATCTGGGGCGGCGATGGCCCTCGTTTAATTAGGACCTTTCAATGACCTGTTGGCTCACCTGCTAGTAACTCGACACTTCAACAAAGCAGGGAACGGCAGGCAACCTTGCGCCGTGCTTTGCTGAAGAGCGTTTTGTGCGGAGGCATTCTTCACAGTTTGCATGTCATCTGACGCCCTGCAGCTCATTTGCCTTGCTGCAGCTCAAGTCCCGGTCATCCACAGTTCAACCCTGATTGATCAGTAAATCTGCAAACTCTCATCGACAGGAACTGTCCAGGCGTCTGGGACAGCTCCTTTGGCGCGTTGCCACTTTGCTGTTGTGCACCACCCTCACTCGCTCGCCCGTGCCATGGGCTGTCACCGTCTCTTCAGCTTTGATGATGGCCTCATGGACCTTACGCACCTCGCTCGGTCGCTGGCGCTTCCAGTTTGCCAACGAGGTGAAAGCTTCCAGCCATTGGGCACTAGACGTGCTGGGGAGTGAAGGAAGGATAGATCGCGATCGAAGGCTCCCATGCCAACAGTGGCTTGTTGAAGTTACTGCAAATGGATTGTAATGAATAGCCATCATTGCTTTAGTGAGCTGCCCTACCTGCACCGCGGATGGCAGGTGCGGGTTGTGTGCCTTTGCCTATGGGCATGGGTGCACCGCAGTAGAGGAGGTAACCACCGGGTGGCGATGGCCATCAATCGAGGATATCGCGGCATGGGGCTCTCGTGAGTAGGAACTATGCCAGCTCGCAAAGACAGGCCTCCTCAATATGGCAGAAGACCTAGAGCTGTTGCCACAGGACGGAGCAGCAAATGCACTGGGAGTGGTAGAAGCAGGAGGCATGGAGGAGGGCAATGCCCCAGTAGGGGGCGCAGTTGAGATGACAGATACACAAGAGTCGGCAATACATCGAAATGAAGGTTTCTTGGGTCCAATGAATCATGGAATGCATGACTCAGAGGATGACTATATTGACATATGGGAAGCTAACATGAAGCAAGAGGAGGTGGTGGAGAATGGATGGCAGGTTGTGCCACAAGTCATGGAGCAAGTGTTGCGGGGCTCTTTTAATGGCCTCCATTGGTCCCTTTTCTCCGTCGCGCATCCCACTTCATCCGCCTGCACCCGGTTAGGCCGATGGCCCCCTCTGCCGAACCCGGCGGGCGTAATCAAGGTGCTCGCTCGTTCGTTGCACGGTGGGCCCTCTTGCGCTTTGGGATCGGGCGGTCCTGCCGTTCGAAGACGGCGGGTTGCGAGGCAGCTTGCTCCCCGGGCCGTGAGGCCCGTGCGGAGCGTGGCAGTGAGCCAAACGGGGTAACAGAGTGGGGAGCAATGCACCCCCGCGTACATACTGATAGTCGGCCACATTCCGGCCCGGCCACCCGTCACACAGACACCACAGAATGTACATCAACGTGTCACGACTGTATCGCCCGGCATACCCCCGTATCGGACCCACTATCGATACACCGTAGCCCAATCTACCCCCACGGCCTGTCCCTTAAGTATAAGGACATCCCTAGGCCACAAACTACTCCATACCTGGGGGATAATAACAAAGAAAGAGCCTACGAGTATCTAGAGATCACAAAGAATCTAGATAATGGGTCGAATCCCATAGATGAATAATCAACCAAAACTAACGGTCATATTTCTCTTGACCCCCATGTGTTTCCACAACAATACTTCCCCCTGGGGAGGAGTTTTCGCCCTCGAAAACAAGTCCGCAGTCAATGTCCTCGATCGGCTACCTAATGGCTGACCTAACTGCAAAGCTAGTATCACCTCAGACATACTCCAATGACCATCTGTCCAATCCCTCTATAGAATTTTGGGATATGTTCTAGTGTACAAGAAAATCAACCGATCTTCTTGCTATCGGGACCTCTTCAGTATCACTGCAACAGATGCTCATCTCAAAAATCTCTAAGACAGGTCTCTCCCATCACTATGTCGGATGTACACTCGTGTTCATCTTGAGAGCAGAAAGATGAAATAATGCTATGACTTGTGCCCGAATACATCAGGTCGGCACGAGTGCTATCTGCCTGTACACTAAGTGTGTTGCCAGTCGACCAGGAGCATCCGACTATCCACTACCTGACAAGTCTAATATAAAAATAGAAATATATGAGCCAGCTGTCCATCCGGGGATCGGTATAGATCTACTGATAATCCTCTTTGTCCTAATCCCTCAGATGGATCTCTCCGATGTATATTTTCCTCTTTGAAACTGCAATGTACCTTAGTCATTCCATCTCTACATCCACCATGACAAGGTACCCCAATAAAAGATTTCGCAACTCCTCACTGCACTGATCAATCATAGTCCTCTATATCTCAGCCCAATCATCAATCAGTGAAACATTGGTCTGGTCTCAACTTCCGGTGTCCCATACCACTATCAGTCTTACCAGCACCAAGCCTCCCGTCTCAAGGACTGAATAAAACTCAACTCCACTCAGATCTGAAGACAATGTTATACAGATCATGCACCACTGTACTGAGTCAACAAAATCCCAACACCATGGAAACAAAATGAATAGCCCCAACTGCTCTCTCACAAAGAATAAAAGTGTTTGTAGCTCGTTTTTGTTTTTACCTCTCTCCCGGATCCAGAGCTCATAAAAGAATGACAAATAAAATCAACAAATTTTGTCCACTTCCTTCCCGTCTGTGCCCTCAGCCGGGATAGTCTCACCATAGGATGTTATGAAAACTATCCGGTATCCTCAAAAAATTTCTCAATCAGACATTTGGCGCCATTGTCCGACTGTTTTCCGGTTTGGGCCTAGCCAAAT